TTACTTTTAACCCAATTGAGTTGCCATAATCAACATCAATAATCGTATCAAAGTGGAATTAGAAATAAAAAGAAAAGAAAGTAAGGAAAAACATACTAAAATCCCAGATAACTGTGAAAATTTCGACGAATTTGCGTGTGTTAAATGTCATATCGAAACAGATGATTAGTGAATGTGCGTTTGAGTCATAATTCTAGAGACACGATAATAATTGTAAAAGACTGCATGAGATTAGCAATTGTCTAAGTAATTTTAAAAGAAAAATGAAAATAATGTACATATAATTATTTAACAAAATAAGAGATGCGTATGTTAATTATTTTTAGAAAAATTAGTGAGTTTATGGTGAATAGAGTTTTTAGGAATAACATATTTATTAAATTTTGTATTTTCACCCACTGCTGCCAACTGCACTTCCTCAGCATCATTTGCTGTACGTATCAAGGAGAAGAGATTTAAAATAATTGTTCAAATACTATCCCGGGTCAGTTCGCCACGGTTTTTACTGCGAGTTCACGTTTCTCCAACTTTCAGTGATGTTTTAATTATGATACATGGTTTATATATTATATCTGTATTGTCATATAACATAATTAGTTTGTGACAAAAAACAAAAACAAAACCAAACATAATATAGCAAAGAAATAACATTTCTTTATGAAATGAACATATGGAAAAAAATTATAAGACTTCTGCCCTAGCTCAGTTCTATAATGACTGTTTTATAAAGGAGCCAATATTTATAACATGTTCCATGATAGAGGGGTTTAGCATTTCTTTTACTTTTTGTTCTTAACGGTTAGAGATAAAAATATGAGAAGGTAATCAATTTTCACATAGATTATCCCTTAGTTTTTTGTTAATTTTACATTCAATGAGGAAGTGTTTTCGTCCTCCAGCAAGTGGCACAGTTTACATATATTCAATTTTCTATTTCTAAATTATGGTAACTAATTCTCAACTTAGTGAAGCATTTTCTTATAGAAAGGTCATTAGAAGCTAAATGAAATTCCCTATCCAAGCTAAGTTTTAATTTTTTATAAAGTAACAGTTTACAATTTTCATCATAACTATTTATTCTATTTTCTAAAATATTTTTATATTTTCCTTATAAGGTCCGTGATTTTTTATTCCCGGGTTTTTCTTATTCCGTTGATTTTCATTCTTTTTATCGAGAGCTTCGGTTGTCTACCCCTTCCTTTCAAATTGTAAAAAATTGACGACATTTTATGAGGGGGGTTACCAAGTTTCCTGATTAATACAAATGATTGATAAAAAACTGATTTTGGCTATGAAAAACCGGACTAAACAGGACCTGTGTGTAGTATAGTTTTATATTACTATAATTATGACAATGTCAATATTTAATGACAATGGAGTCATTTTTTATGACAATGTTGTCATTTTAGACACATTTCACATTGCTAATTTTGTATTGTTTGTTTGTCACATTTAGGAGGGGCCCGATGGGGGGGGGGGGGGGGGGGGGGGGGTCTCATCACGATTCACGAGTTGATTTTTTTGTCAATCACGATTCACAGAAAATAAATTTCCATGATCACGGATCACGACAATATAAAAAAAAAAATCTGTAGAAAAACGGATCACGATAGCGAAAATGCGCCGACCACGAAGAACGAAAATAACCCATCAGGCCCCTCATTTAGCCGTGCAAGCATGAATAAAGTGCATCACAAATTCGATTTAGTAAAAAGTGATGTTGAAGTACTAGTACAGTTTGAAATGGTACCGTGTGTCTAAAAGACACATTTGATGCACCCTAAAAAAAACGGTAAAACATTCTATTATTAGTTGAAAATCTTAAGAAAATCAATATCCTTATTAAATACAAATTCTTAATATATTATACCTGTGTAATGAAAACGTGTTAGTTGTATGAGTAGTTAGTCGGTCAAACCTTGCATCCTGCATGGAAAATTTCACTTAAAAAGACAAAGTCCAACATTCGGTCATTCGCGGAAAATTATAGGAGTAAGCCGGACAAGCCATGTACCCTGCATGCCTTATGTTACCAAAATAGCAAACTTCAGTCACCTGTTATTTGTTGGAAATTTAAAACAAAAAGCCTCACAATGCGCACACCTTTAGTATATATCCTAATATCAGGTACAAAATTTTAAAAAATCTAGCTAGAAAACTGTACTTCCGAGAAATTGGCCGTATAAACCATATACCCAGCGAGAGACGGACGGTCGGACGACGGACAGGGGTAAAACAATGTGCCCGATAATTTTTCGCGAAGGCAAAATAAATTAGGCATTTGGTGACAAAGCAACTTTTTTTAATAAGAGCTCATATTTGAATGGCAATTGGGAGGTCTCAAATTTTGCAATGTAAGCAAGCCAACACATAGGTCATTTGGTTTTTGATGGAAAGTTGTCTCATTGGCAATCATACTATCTCGCCTTATTTTATGATGCTTTAATTTCCCCTGAAATGCAAGAAGTTTAAAGACTTAAACAAATATGTTCTATGAGACTGAAATGTGTTATTATTAAAATCAGACAATTTTTGCGATGTTATTATTTGATAGATTTAATACTTGTTTTACTAAATATACATATTAACTTTTCAATTCAAGGGACCAACGAATCTTTTATTAAAACTACAAATTAATAGTAAAAAAATACTGGTCCATCTTGCATTAGTCACGTGTTATTTAGATGTCTTTTTTTCTGTCATTAATTGGCCAGTTGCTGTCTTATTGCACATCGCACATATCCCTTTATTAACACCGAAATTTAGCAACACTTTGAATGTTTTTACATGCTTGTATACTTGTTATAAAAACTCCTTATAAGACTGTAACACCCCAGCCCCCCCCCCCCCCCCTTTTCGGCCCTTTTCTAATGCTTATGTGAGCAATATTCCACTCCCCCCTTCAAACATGCACATTTGTTCATCGTCTGTGGGTCGTTTTGTCTCCCCTTTGGAAATGGTTTTTTTTCATCATCTGTATTTTTACATCATGTCCAACTCAAAACATTAAAAACGCATCCTTTCATGAACATCCAAGAGTGATTTAGCATAAATCGAAATTATAAATGATTTTAAGATCTCGATTTTTTTAAGTTTCTTCTTCTGTCGTTTGAAAAATATAGGTTAATGATAATATCTGATCCGAGAGTTATTTCGTAGTGCATTTCTTTTAGACAATAAATACAATTTAAAAAAGTCGCACCTGCTCTATATCTCAAAAAGACAATCATTGTTGACAATGTAGCGTACTACTTTTTGGATTTCAACGGATTATGCCACACTTTTTAGTGTATGAACCTACCAACTATAATCTGCATAATAGCCAAAATTATACAGTTCCAATAAATCGGCTTCATTTGTATCAACAATTCTTTCTTCGTGGTACTTCATCTCAGGCTCTGGAACAGTTTGTACATAGATATACTAAATTTAAGTTCTATCCATACCTTTAAAAAGTCTTAACAAAGGTTTCGACAGAATCATAATAAATGTTTTATTTACTTTTCAAGTTTTTGTTGTTGTTTTTTAAGAAAGCTTTTGACTTAGATATACATGTATGTCATGAGATATTTTAAATCTGTATTCAGTACATATTTTGGAAAATATTGATAAAAAAATATCAATTTGCAAGTTACATTTGACAAATTTTCCGGTTTCCTGTTTTCGGAGATTTCATGATAAAAATCTTTAGTTTTTGACTCAAAATAGTAATTTTTTGTCATTTAATTTTCTCAGTTTCCGTAAACAATCATCGTTGTTATCTTTAAAATATATAATAATATGGACAATTTTTCCAGTTTCCTATTTTCGGAGATTTTATGATAAAATCTTAGTTTCTGTCTCAAAATAATAATTTCTGATCATGATTTTTTTTTACAGTTTCCTTATACAATCATGTTTGTGATGTTTTAAATAAGTTATATTTTAATGAAAGATGCTGCTCCATCAATAACATAAACCATAAAAATTTCCAAGTTTTCATTATTTTTTTTTTATAACGAAGATTTTAACCCAAACCTATCTAGTACCACCACTATTAACTTGGATGTTGCGCACGGTATTGGTGTTTTTACTGTTATAATTTATATAAGAGTTGAAAGTGGCTTTTAACAATATCAGAAAATTTATACGCTTTCTGAAGTCGTCACTATATAACTGCGGTCTTACTTTCAAAACATCGTCAGTTTTCCCGTGTCTAATAACATGTCTCGATGGACAAAATGACACATAGAATAATTTGGAGGCCGTTTATCAAACGAAATTTCACTTGATCTCCAAGTTTAAATACCATTCAACTGATATTATAGGAAAAAACATTTAATTTCCTCTAAAATGTTATGATATGTCTTTTTGTTTGAGCTGCAGGTAGAAAATTGGAAACGATCTAATATGTCCAATGACATGTCCCCATCACTGTAATTTGACGTCCACATGGTAACACTAAACTGTACATGACTTTTCTTGTATATTTGGCATACAATTAATTTCACAAAATGATCTGATCTATATTATATAAAGCTGGGACTATTATACTAACTGTTAGTATAAAAGTAGTCCCAGTATAAAGTTATTGTTTAATATGCACCAGAATATAGGTCTGCATTGATTTAAGATGACGAAATATTTAACTCAGATACTTGATAAAGATCAACCTCCGGGGCAATAAAAGTGAGACATGTTTACAAATCACCACAGTCATACTTTTAGAAAAGGGACATACAGTGAAAATGAAAATCCGATCAAAAGTGAGCTCATCTTATTTATTTTATCCTTTAGCAAGATTATGAACGATTCAAAATCAAGCTATACCCCTTTCATTCCTAGTATTGCTATTAAAAGAATTGAAATTCAAAATAGTAATAAGGTTGTGTATAAGGCGATCAATACGAATAGTAATATGTGTATGTGCCGACGAGATTTGTTTTATATGACCAAACAAAAACTATTGTCCGGAATCTATACCTGGTCCGCTATTGATAAAATTTAGAACCGTTTACTCACATCCTGTACTATTTTTATCGTGTTGATCAAAGTTTGAAGTCCTACATTCTGACCCATTTTTGATAACTGGTAACATTGCAAGCAAAGGCAAGATGGAGCGCATAAGTGTTATGTTTAATCATTTGTCTTCAAATAATGATGTTGTATTTAATCAAACAGCTAGTGGAACTATTCCACGGTTCAAAGATACGCCTGATGATATCGTTATTGTTTCTGCACTTAGAACACCGATCGGAAAAGCGAAGAGGGGATCTTTTAAGGTAAATATACTTTTTAAACTGTATATATATGAACGTTTATTAATTGTTTCATCTGTACACAACCGTTTCCAACTTTTAAATATTATTTTAGATATATATACATGTATACAAAAAGGTTGAAAACCCACTCTGGTATCCAGACCGGAGTTTAAACTAGATTGGATACTTCGGGGGCCTCGGTAGGTCAAAGTTGTTCTCAGCTTGACCTGGAGATCAATCTTCTGAAATCTCTTCGGGTTGTCTGTTCCCGTCGAGAAGCCCGGTGGTTCTCTCCGAGTACTTCGGCTTCCTCCACCATAATAACAGACTTCCCGGTGTCCAACACGCTCCCTTGGGCGGTGTTGTTGTGGGGATTGTTCTGGTGGTGGGTTAATATTGTAAAGGACACATCTCCCTTAATTCTTAGGGAGTGTACATGGATCCGCTGTACCCTTGCAGTCAATCAAGGGGTGCGTCTACACTGGCGGAATCTCGAAGTACATACATACATTCGTGCATGTACATTGTAAGATCTTGTCAGTGTTCTCTGGAAAATACGATAATGTAAAAGACAGGCACCATAAAAAAAAACTACAATAATTGTAATATCATATGGATGAGAGAAATAACAAAGTAAAAATATTAAAGAATTAAAAATATATATTAACAGGATAAATAGAAAAGAGCTAGCCAGTGAAATTGCTCCAATCTTAACCATCATATACAATTTTTCAATGGAGAAAGGAAAGATACCCGATGACTGGCGAACTGCAAATGTCACTCCGGCATGTAAGAAAGGCCAGAAATTCATAGCAGCTAACTATAGGCCAATATCCCTAACATGTATCTGCTGCAAAATAATAGAACATATAGTCACCAGTAACATCATGAAAACATGCAGAGGTAAATAACATCCTATACCCACTACAACATGGCTTCAGAAGTAAAAGATCATGCAAAACACAACTCCTTGAATGTATCGATGACATCACAAAAAACCTGGAAAACGGAAAACAATCAGATCTGCTAATACTTGACTTTTCAAAAGCTTTTGATAAGGTGTCCCACAGCTTACTCCTCCATAAATTACACCATTATGGCATCTGAAGTAAAACAAACAAATGGATAAAGGAATTTCTCATCAACAGAACCCAAGTAGTAGTTGTTGAAGGCGAAACATCTGACAAAGTAAAAGTAGAATCCGAAGTACCAAAAGGATCAGTATTAGGACCCAGTCTTTTTCTGTTTTACATCAACGACCTACCATAAGGCCTACACTCCACAGTAAGACTGTTTGAGGACGATACTGTGGTCTACTTGACCATTTCATCAGACAGCTACTGCCATACACTCCAAGAAGACCTGGACAAACTGGCAAAATGGGAAGAACTCTGGAAAATGGAGTTCCATCCTGAAAAATGCAGTGTCCTCACAGTCACAAAAAAGAAAAAGCCAATCAAGTGGGACTATAAACTCCACGGCCATACTCTGGTGCATGAAACATCAACTGAATACCTAAGCTGCACCATTGCAAATGATCTGGATTGGGGAGAACATATTATTAATATTAACAACATCACAGGAAAAGCCAGCCGAAGCCTTGGTTTCTGACATCGAAACCTCTACATTAGCTCAAAATCCATCAAAGAGAATGACTATAAAATATTAGTAAGACCGCAAATGGAATACGCCACGACAGTATGGGACCCATAACAGCAAAATCACATAGATAAAATTGAAAAGGTACAAAGACTAGCTGCACGTAACCAGCAGACATAGAAATAGATCAAGTGTCAGCAACATGATAAATGAATTAGGATGGAAAAGCTTACAAACAAGACGAAAAGAAGCTAGTCTCATCATATGTTACAAAATAAAAAACGACCTTGTAACCATAGAAAGAATAAATATCTACAAAAACCAACAAGAAGCTCAAACCGGACAGGACAACATACTAACCTATTACAGCCAGCCACTAAAGACTGTAGGAAATGGTCCTTCTTCATAAACACCATCAAGGATTGGAACAAACTGCCACCAGATACCGCCACAGCAAAGTCTCTTGAGATATTAAAGTCTCAAGTGACCAAAACCACAAACTAAATCAAGAGAACAATTTGTTTTTATCCTGTTTTAAACCTGTTTTAATCATGCGCAACTTGCCAGAATATTCATCATGTTGAATGTGGGCAGTATTTGGAAGAAGAAGAAGGGGGTCCTTTCCCCAAAGGGCCAGTGGTACATGTATTTGACCTACATAAATAACATTTAAATGCATTTTGTGTTCCAGAAAATTAATAACTGTTTTGGATATTTTTGTGTGCATTTTCTTCATTACTACAGAAGTTGCCAGAATATTAAAACTAAGTTCCCATTTGAGAAGTTCCCCTCATGTAATAATTGTTGTAATTTGATTTGATTGAAATGGACAATACATTGGCAATGGATATCTACACAACAATAAGTCATTTAAACTGTGTATACACTGAGTGGACTGTTATTACAATGTAGGTGAAATGCAGGGGCTTGTTAAATTTACCTCCATCTGCTGAATTGAATTTTTTTTCACATTACCAGTAAGACATTATCTGTAATGACAGTAAGACATTCTCTGTAATTACAGTAAGACATAACCAGTAATTACAGACTTTACAGTAAGACAATACCTGAAATTGCAGTCAGATATTAACTGAAATTACAGTCCAACATTACCAGTTATCATAGTAAGACATTAACTGTAATTCCTGTAAGACAATACTTGTAATTCCAGTAAGACAATACCTGTAATTCCAGTAAGACATTACCAGTAGTTACAATAAGACATTACCAGTAATTCCAGTTAGACATTACCCCTAGTTACAGTAAGACATTACCAGTAATTACAGTAAGATAATACCTGTAATTCCAATAAGACATTACCAGTAGTTACAGTAAGACATTACCTGTAATTCCAGTAAGAATTACCAGTAATTACAGAGTGACATTACCAGTAATTACAGTAAGAAATTACCAGTAAATACAGTAAGACATTACATGTAATTACAGTAAGACAATACATGTAATTACATTAAAAATTACCAGTAATTACAGTAAGCAGGGAAGCAGTACAACAATGGGTAACTGGAAATGCCTACCTTGGAAATATATTACTTCAAAGTAAAAAAAATAATAGCTCAATGGATATCTACTCAACAATATGTTATTTAAACTGTGTAAACTCTGAGTGGACTGTATTACAATGTAGGTAAAATGCAGGGGCTTGTTTATTTTACTTCCATCTTCTGATTTGAAACTTGTTTCCAAAATTACAGTAATACATTACCTGTAATTACAGTATGAAACTACCAGTAATTACAGTAAGACATTGACTGTAACTACAGTAAGACATTCTGATTTTATAATTTGTTGATATATTGTCTTGTTACACCTGACCACTGTCCCATGTTAAGGGAGGGTTCGGTGCCCACAAACATGTTTAACCCCGCCACATTCTATATGTGTCTGTCCTAAGTCAGGAGCCTGTAATTCAGTGGTTGACGTTTGTTGCTGTATATTATATTTGTTTTTTGTTCATTGTTTTATATATAAATCAGGCCATTAGTTTTTTGGTTTGAATTGTTTTACATTTATTATTTCTGTTTTACATTTGTTATATCAGGTCCTTTTATAGCTGACAGTATGCCGAATGAGTTTTGCTCATTGTTGAAAGCTGTACAGTGACCTGTTGTTAAATTGTTAACTTCTATGTCACTTGGTCTCTGGGTAGTGTTGTCTCATTGGCAATTATACCACATCTTCTTATTTTCATATTGATAGTTTGTGCCTTGTGTATTTCGCTGAAAGCTTTTGCTTGCTAGGTTTTATGGAAACATGGTCAAGACAATTATTTATTTTCCATTCATCATGAAATCTTACATTTATACTTTGATTTCACATTTTTCTATGCACATATCCCCTTTTATGACCCTCTTTTAAAATTTCTTATTTTTCTTATGATTCTTTGTTTACAGGATACCTATCCAGATGAACTTTTAGCTACAGCCTTGACAGCAGTTATTAAACAGTCTGGTATTTCACCAACACAAATTGGAGATATTTGTTGTGGTATGACTTATAATTATTTGCAAATTAAAACCATGCAATTTATAATTTATGCATTATCACAATACTTTAACATTTTGAAAATAACTGATAATTCATCATTGCTATTCATTTAAAATGTTTAGTATAAAGTAGTTTATAGACTTATATGCCCTCTTCACTCATTAGTGACCAGAGCATACAGTGTTATCAATGTCAATCCTTCTGCAATTGCCTTATTTTACTTAAGGGGCTCTATACATTAGGGTTAGGGTTCATTTATGGTATACTTATGGGGTGTTCTTCATTTAGGTTAGGTTAGATAGGAGTTAGGGTAAGGTTTAGGGTTAAGTATAATTTAGTATAGCTCTATATGAGTTGGGACCCCTATAAAAATAAAAGAAAGGCCCTGAAATCCAACAGTTATCAGATTTTTTTTATTTTTGTATATTTTGCCATATATAAATGTTTAGTTCATAAGTATGTTCTAGGGAGTTAAAGATGAAAATCACCATTGTTATGAATGACACACTTATCTCCAAATTATTATTATTCAATTCATTCATTTCATAATTATAAGATTATCCAATAAAAACTTAAAACAATTGAATTTAAAAGTATTTGAACTTGACATGTGTCACTGTGCTTCCGGAGGCTTTTTTTCCCATATAATGGACCAGAGAATGCAAACTTCATTTTAAGCATGTACATGTAAAAATATATTGACAATGTATAGATGAACTTGGTTAAGCTGACTTTTTACCTAACATACAGTAGTGTTTAATCATTCTACATTGTGACCTTTTATATCATTTTTAACATTCTACATTGTAACCTATATATTTTTCAATCATTTAAATGACTTTACAAAATGATCTCTATATTTGATCTGACAAGCTACATTCTACCTTTTTAAGGAACTGTTGGAGATGGGAGAGGTGCTGTTACAGTCAGAACTGGACAATTTATGGCGTAACTATCTTGCATTGATTATATGTTAAAATTCTGATAATTAATTTAATAAACAGAAACTACCAAATATCTGCCATTGCATGTAATATCAAGTTATCCATAATAAAAAAAATCCATTGAAATATGGAACAAAACAACAAACTGATGATGTTCCAGATTTTGCACAGGCAATGTGGGGTTAAACTAGGTCTGTTTATAAAGATCTCAAATCTCACACCTTTTAAACTCCATTGGTGGACTAACAAAGGGTACTTGAAAGAACATACAATTAAAATCAGTAAAGTTAAAGCACTTTTAAATTCTTAATTAAGGTTATAATACATATAGCTAACAGCTAACAATAAAAAGTACAAAAAATAATATGATATTATATCAAAGAATACATGCAGTTACTGACAGGAAGCTCAAAGAAATAAATGCTGATATAAAAAAGTCCCATCCTTCACTCATATATCAGTGTCTGTACTTCGTCAATAGCACAGGAAGACATGCATTGATTTAACAATTGTACAGAATTAATATGCAATAAAATAAAAGAAACATTTATAAGTCTTTTTCCAAACTTTATATCAGCAGATTGATGATTTTTCCCAAAAAAATACCAGAGACATTGATATTATTTCAGTATGATGACAACATTAATCAACAAATCTGTTAAGCCAAAAAGAAAGATTTGAAGGACACTTCTTAACTTTTTAGCTTTATGAAATATATAAATAAATTTTAGATACGAAAGGTATGATTATATTCATGCTACATTTTTAAGCATTATTAATTCACCGGGGCCCGAAGCAGTAAGAGCAAAACTGACATAGGTGAAAGTGTTAAACAGGTTTAGATCTACCTGTCAAGTAATCTTCAGACCAATATGACAACTTATTGTTGGGTTACTGTCCAGAAATAGTTAATTTTTAGGAAATTTTACAGTTTTGGGTTCTGTATTATCTTTAATATTATTATAGAAAGAGAGAAAGTGTAAATGACAAAATTGTTCAGCAAAGTAAGATCTACAAATAAGTCAAATGCCTGAAACCGAAATTGCAGGTAAGCGAGATCAGGCTCTCATGAGCCTCTTGTATAATTTAGTTTTGATTTTTTTCAGAGGTATTCCAGATTCTGTGCCATCATCTGCAGTTAATAGACAATGTTCGTCTGGTTTACAGGCAGTCATGAATGTGGCAGGTAATTACTTTTATATCATGTGAGAAAAGTCACAAAACAGATGACCACAGATATGTTCCATGTGTTGTGGCCATAATCCCATCCTCCTTTCATTTTATTTTTATGACTAATACCACTTGACTTTTACTTGTCAAAACAACACCATTGGTGTCATAAGTAAACCAGGAAATGATAATCGTCTGGGAGCATCAAAGTTTAACCCTTGAATTTTAATGAACTCTTCCTTTTCCTTATTTTCTGTGTATTTTGTGATGTATTATATCGAAAATAATTTATACAATAGGATAAGAGGAATCAACATGAATTTGGACAGTGCACAAAAGAATACAACAACCAATTTTTGTGTCGCCTTAATTGATTCAAAAAGCAATATTTAGGCCCTTTATAGCTTGCTGTCAGGTGTGAGCCAAGGCTCCGTGTTGAAGGCCGTACTTTGACCCATAATGGTTTACTTTTACAAATTGTGACTTGGATGGAGAGTTGTCTCATTGGCACTCATACCACATCTTCTTATATCTATCAAAAAGCAATACTTAGGTATTCTGTTTTCGGCATTGACGGCTGCATCAACATTTTTTTAAACTTTGTGATTTGGTCAGCTTAAGGGGAACCACTTATGATTAGTCAACAATATTTTGTATGCAGTTGTATAAGCATTCTTACTGATCTGGTGGCATATACTATTTGCTACAATTAGACCATATAGGTTCCAGTTGAATCCTTAAGTAAATATCATATGTGTGTTGTCTAAGAAATTACTTAGCAGACCTAAACCAATGTTGTATTAAAGATCATTAAAGGTTTTTTATTAAAAGCTTATCAACAGATGAATTAATACATAATATTTGTATCCAAATAAATAAGGAGACCCATTATATGTTTGAATGTTATGCCGTAATAAAACTGTAACTTTTGTGAAGTAGCCAATATGAGTCCTTAATACAACAATTACATGATAATACAAGTTCATAATGTCCATTTGATCTCTTTTAAAGGTAGCATAAGGATGGGACAGTGCAATATGGGAATAGGAGCAGGGTAAGTTGGGAGTATTTAGGTCAAACTTACCATTATGTAAAAAATTGTTCTCTTATAAAGTGACAACAGTAAAGTTTTAAAAATTCTGTAAAAAATAAGACCCCTTCAAGGATCCACTTTTCTGTGCTGATTTGATAACATAAACATAAGATCCAATGAGAAATCATATATTCATCTGTTATGAAATGAGTTATATCAAATTGGTACAACCTGCTAAATTGTAAGAAATACTTTGGTATTCATCCTTAAAAAGACATTTTTTACATTATGGTTTCATAAAATACATGGCTACCATATGTATTTCTTGATCCAGATTTGGTCATATTTCAGATGCATTATCTTTTGCAGCTGCAATACTTATTTTCAAACTTTCAAGAACTGTAGTTGGAAGACTGTCCACATATATTACCCTATTGTAATCAGGAGCGGATCCAGCCATTTTTAAAAGGGGGGTTCCCAACCCAGGATAAAAGGGGGGGGGGGGGGGGGGTTCCAACCATATGTTCCCATTCAAATGCATTGATTGGCCAAAAAAAGGGGGGTTCCAACCCCCTCCCCCCTTCTTTTATTCAAGAAATTTTTAACTTTGATACTTGTATGATTAGATCTATCTTAATCATTTTAATAATATATGCAATATATTGTTAATATTACACATTGAGACCTTACTATAAAAACCAGGTAAGTGATAGAGACTAAGTAGAAGCCTCCTGTTATTTCAGTGTACAAGAATGAAAAAAGAAAATAATTAAGAAATCATTCTGATAATGATTAAGGGATGTTCCAGAATTAAAAGAATTTGAACAACACATGGGTGGTACATTTTTAAGACAATGACCACCCATAAAATAAAATATGTCATTTGATTTGAAAATTCTTACACAATTCTATGGAAAATGCCACTAACGATATTTAATTGATTTGAGTGCTTCCCATTCCCCACCCGATAAATTTTGGAACAGCCCTAAGTGGGAACATAAATAATTCTTTTGTATAGTTATCACAATATCACTTATATAGCTGGCATTATTATGACATCAATATATTTATGTGTCTTTTGTATATATTTGAATCAAAGCTATGAAATACTTATGATTTAGGTCCTATTAACTCATTCTTTTGGGTGTTTTTATTAACAGAGTTGAATCAATGTCATTCCATAGAGGAGAGAACAGTAATGCTCCACTTAATCCCAAAATATTTGAGCATGAAATGGCAAGAAAGTGTTTAATACCTATGGGGTAAGTAGAACAATGGCAAGAAAGCGTTTAATTGCTATGGGATAAGTAGAGAAATGGCAAGAAAGTGTTTAATACCTATAGGGTAAGTAGAACCATGGCAAGAAAGCATTTAATTGCTATGGGATAATTAGAGAAATGGCAAGAAACTGTTTTTAGGGGTAATAGACAAATGTCAACAAAAAGTTAAATACATAAGGGGTAGCTGAGAAGTTCCAAGAAAGAGTTTAATACCTAAGGGGTTAATAAGAATTCTAATGCAATTAATTTGTATCAATGGTTCTAATTGGATGACAGTAAGCGTCAAATTCTCTATCTCCTTGTCTGTAACTAAGGAAGCTGACATTTTGAATTCCAGAATGTATTGACATGTAATTTCTCAAATAATAAGCAAAAAAACTCACATTTTGCACCTAGAAATCTTCTTTTTATCAAATTTTATTACATTCTGAGGCGGTCAAGAAGCCAGACTAGAAAATGCCCAGTGTTTACGTTTGACGCCGGAAGTATACCTATGACGTCACCTACTTTAGGGGCCAAAGAAGATAACATCATTTCGCGGAATTTTCTTTTAATGAAAATTTTACACTAAAATAATGACTAAAATTGAATAATGTATTTATTTTGCATTAGAATAGAGATAACTGTATTGTATTTGAAGCTTTGCGGACATCCATCGATAGATTTACAGTCGCAAATATCTGTTTACCTGTCTCCGCTACGCGTCACTGGGTAAACTCAATTTGCGACAGTAAAACTACCGATGGACGTCCGCAAAGCTTCAAATGTTATCTCTTAAGTGGCAAGAAACAGTTTAATACAAATGGCAAGAAAGAATTTAATACCTATTGGGTAATCGAGAAGTGGCAAGAAAAAGTTTAATACCCAAGGGGTAATTTATAATTGAGAAGTGGCAAGAAAGAGTTTAATACCTATTGAGTAAGGAGAAGAATGGCAAAAAAGTGTTTTGAAATAAATGAATGTAAATAATGCTTCTGACTTTTTTATGTTGCTATGATTTATCAAAGTACACAATAATATATAAACATTATTATTCAATTTTGTAGAATTACATCAGAAAATGTAGCTGAAAAGTATGGAATTACCCGGGAACAACAAGATAACTTTGCTCTTGCATCACAACAAAAGTAAGTAAAAGTACATGCAGGTCAAATCTTTATGTGAAAATATAGAAAGACTGTGGCATAGCAAGGTACGTTTTATTTTATTTTTGAATTTTATTATCCTCAGTGATTTTTAGGGAGCTACCATTTGATTATTATGGGGGGCTAGGATGAAAAATTTTGTCCTGCTTTTTTTTAGTTGTAATCTCTGTCCTGCCTTTTTATTTTTTACTCTATTCGGTCCTGCCTTTTTTTTTTACTAGTTTATCCTGAATTTTTTTACACAAATTGTCATCCTGCCTTTTTTTTACCAAGTTGCTCATCCTGCCTTTTTTTTTACTCTTTTACTCAAAACTCCTGTCCTGCCTATTTTTTTCAAATTTCATCCAAAATGGTCAGTTGACCCCTTAAGGAGTTATTGCCCTTTACAGTCAATTTTTAAACATTTTTCGTAAATTTTTGTAATCCTTTACAAAAATCTTCTCCTTTGAAACTACTTGGCCAAATTTAAACAAACTTGGCCACAATCATCATTGGGGTATCTAGTTTAAAAAATGTGTCCGGTGACCCAGCCAAACAACCAAGATGGCCGCCAGGGCTAAACATAGAACATAGGGGTAAAATGTAGATTTTGGCTTATATCTATGAAACCAAAGCATTTAGAGCAAATCTGATGTGGGTAAAATTGTTTATCAGGTCAAGATCTATCTGCCCTGTAATTTTCAGATGAATCCGACAACCCGTTGTTGGGTTGCTGCCCCTGAATTGGTAATTTAAAGGAAATTTTGCCATGTTTTTGGTTATTACCTTGAATATTATTATAGATAGAGATAAACTGTAAACAGCAATAATGTTCAGCAAAGTAAGATCTACAAATAAGTCAATTGACCAAAATGGTCAGTTGACCCCTTAAGGAGTTATTGCCCTTTATAGTCAATTTTTAACCATTTTTCGTAAATTTTTGTAATCTTTTACAAAAATCTTCTCCTCTGAAACTACTAAGACAAATTTAACCAAACTTGTCCACAATCATCATTAGGGTATCTAGTTTAAAAAATGTGTCCGATGACCCCGCCCGCGAACCAAGATGGACGACATGGCTAAAAAAATAGTACATAGGGTAAAATGTAGATTTTGGCTCATATCTCTGAAACCAAAGCATTTAGAGCAAATCTGACGGGATAAAATTGTTCATTAGGTCAAGATCTATCTGCCCTGAAATTTTCAGACCAATCAGGCAACACTTTGTTGGGTTGCTGCCCCTGAATTGGTAATTTTAAGAAAATTTTGCAGCTTTTGTTTATTATCTTGAATATTATTATAGATAGAGATAAACTGTAAACAGCAATAATGTACAGCAAAGTAAGATCTACAAATAAGTCAACATGACCAAAATTGTCAATTGACCCCTTAAGGAGTTATTGCCCTTTATAGTCAATTTTTTACAATTTTCATAAATTTTGTAAATTTTTGTAAATTTTTACAAAATATTTTCCACTGTAACTACTGGGCCAAGTTCATTATAGATAGAGATAATTGTAAGCAGCAAGAATGTTCAGTAAAGTAAGATCTACAAACACATCACCATCACCAAAACACAATTTTGTCATGAATCCATCTATGTCCTTTGTTTAATATGCACATAGACCAAGGTGAGTGACACAGGCTCTTTAGAGCCTCTAGTCTATGATCTTGTTAAGTTTATGTGATGCTTGTAGTAAAACTTTATATTTAGGACAATCAGTATAAAATCAATGGTCAGTAAAGCAGGCAAGACATTTCAGTGTGTGCACTCTTGTAATTATAAAAGGTCATACAGGAAAACCACATCACTATGTCAACAGTTTATTTAAGATTATTAGTAAAACTGTGTTAATTGAAATTTAAGTAAATTTGGGAGAGAAACGATTAGAAATTTGTTACACTGACGGTCAGGGGTGATACTTATACAAGTATTTTTTATTCAATGGTATATACCGTAATTGTTGTGGTAAAGTTATCTCCCGTAGTCATCTCTTTGTTGAGTTCTTGAGATAAAAGGTTGAACACTCAATGAAAAATTTGTAAGCAAACCAGAAAAAAAATGTTTAAGGCCTGTTTTGACTTCCCAAAAATTGAATTTCAATGGGTTGTAAAAAAAAAAGGATTGGAAAAGTAAATTTCTGGAAAAGCATAAGGGGAGATTATTCAAAAAATTAAAAAGAAAATTTAGATTTAACGAATTTCTTATACAAGTAAATAGAATTTATGACTTCAAGTATATAAAAATGACCTTTGAATTACTGATATTTAAAAGAAAATAATAATCTTTGCTGCATATTGATAAAAAAAAATAATTGATAAAAATCAAAATCTAAAGCTCTTTCAATACTTAAATCTTCAGAATGTTCTACATAATTCTTTTACACGATACACTTTCCTTAATCTGCCCATTTTCATCAGCTAAGTTTTCCAGCATGGCTGACTGTTCATTGTCAAGGGAACTTACCATATAAAAATATTGTCTTTGTTTTGATATAAATATTTGATAGTTGTGTCTGTTAAGGTTAAAAAACTAAAGGAAATAAGTTTTTATAGTATCAGTCAGATAGTTGGGTAACACACTTTTCAGATCATTAAAAAAATAAGCGACGCAACGCGACATAAAATATTGTAAAATTCATTTCGTCACGCGTTACCCTGGTGCTATCCAAAATTCCTGGGGAGAACACTGCATTACTTTGTACAAACAAAATCAACTGTTATACAAAAAAAAACAACTAGGAGTATGTTCCACAATGATAATCATTGAATTATTTATATGCAATTTATATTGTCACAGAGCATTAAAGGCAACAAAGGATGGTTTATTTAAAGATGAGATTATACCAGTAACAGTGACTTTCAAGGACCAGGATGAAAATGAAAGACAAATAACTGTTAGTATGATATTGTGATGTCTATTGGATATATTTTGTGATATCATGATGTCTAGTGGATATATACCCTGATATGCGTCGTCTATCCATATCTCATTTTTTCTATGTTAAAATCAGCAATAAAACTATATTATACACAATTATTTTTTGCTAGCATGACATTTTTGGGGGGTCGGACCTTTATCGGGACTCTGGGATCGGGTGTTTTTAAGCTCGGGATTTCGGTATTGATCCTTTTGGGATCCGGGAATTCTTTTTTCCAATTTCGGGATGTCAGGATTTAAATTTCTTAAAATTCGGGACCTCTAGATTTCATGTTTTTAAGCCTGGGATTTCGGGATCAGGACCCCTCCAAAACATCATCCTATTATCTTGATAAACCTGATTGATAAAATGCTCTTTATACCATCTCGTTCTGACATGCAGTTCGCTCTGTTTTTTAATAAACCTTTTTTTTTGGTGAATGATGATTACTTTTAAGTGAAAACTCATATTTAATTCAAATCTTTAAAAAGAATTGGAAAATTTTGTTATGTATTTGTAATCATTTTTTGCATAATGAAATCTATAACATTGACAGGTAACCACAGATGATGGAATAAGACCTTCAACAATTCAAAACTTAATGAATCTTAAACCAGCATTTAAAAAAGATGGTACAACTACAGCAGGTAAGTTTATTTAACTGTTATGATATAGTTAGTAGGAATATGACAGTTGTTTTCCATTTGTTCATTCTTTCCGTTGGTTGATAAAATGTAACGTTTGATTGTGTCAGTTTTTTGGACTTACCTTTTTTGAAACAGGAATTAAAAATGCAAATGTTGACACTTCAATGCCACGCAGCAGTTCTACTGACCATCAAGGAGATCTAGCCTGCTTCATACAGTCGAACCTCAGTGTGTCGAACTCGGTTGTATCAAAAATTCGGATGAGTTGAAGTAATTTCTCGGTCCCGGTAAAATTCCCGTTTGATAAATGTATAATTACCTCTGATGAGTCGAACTCAGTTGGTTCGAATACTCAGTTAAGTCAAGTAAATTTTATAGTCCCATCGATATAAAGTTAATGTAAATTGACCCCGATGTCTCGAAGTTCGAAAGTAAGAATTTTCGAAAGATGCAGACCTAATGATAAAAATTCAATCGGATTTATTTCTTATGTAACCTAATCATTTTCAAAAGAGATTAAAGCAGAGTAAACATACTTGTTTGTATAACAGTTAAAATGACATGTTTATGGTGGCCGGTAATTAACACCTTTGTTGATCGTTCAGCGGAACGTAAGTGTGTTGAACATATTTCACATAAGATAAAAAAGAAACGAATTAAAATAACCCAAGCCAAGATTAAATGAATCGTTAGAATTAAAACTCATTAATTACAATAAATAAAAGGATTAAGACAATTATGATAAATTCATGATTATTTAATGTAAAGCAGACGACCTCATCAGAGACCGTTCAGAACTTATTTCGTTGCGCAAACGATTTCATAATTTAAAGTGACTGACCTTTGTAAATATTTATGTAGACTATTGATTTTATTTGTGCATGATTTGTTTTTATACGACCGCAAAAATTAAAAATTTTTTGGTCGTTTATTGGTATGACGTTGGCGTCGTCGTCGTCGTTGTCGTCGGCGTCTCGTCATCGTCGTCCAAAGACACATTGGTTTTCACACTCTAACTTTAGTTTAAGTGAATGGATCTCCATGAAATTTTACCATAAGGTTTAATACCACAAAAGGAAGGTTGGGATTGATTTTGGGGGTTATGGTACCAACAGTTAAGGAATTAGGGGCCAAAAATAAGCATTTTTGTAACTTCCAGACATAACTTGTGTGTTAGTGTATGGATCTCTCTGACATTGTACCACAAGGTTCCATATCACAAAGGGAATGCTGGGATTGATTTTGGGGGTAATTGCCTCAAAATTTGGGGAATTAGGGGCCAAAAAAGGGGCAAAAAACAAGCATATTTCTAGTTTCTTGATAATAACTTGTGTGTAAGTGTATGGATCTTTCTGAAATTGAATTACAAGGTTCCATATCACAAAGGGAAAGCTGGAATTGAGTTTGGGGGTAATTGCCCAAAACGTTTAGGAATAAGGGGCCAAAAAGGGGCCAAAAATAGCATTTTTCTAGTTTCCAGACAATTACTTGTGTTCAAGTGTATGGATCTCTCTGAAATTGTACTGCAAGGTACCATACCACAAAGGGAAGGCTGTGATTGATTTTGGGGGTAATTGCTTCAAAATTTTAGGAATTAGGGGCCAAAAAGGGAAAAAAAACAAGCATTTTTCTAGTTTCAGGACAATAACTTGTGTGTAAGTGTATGGATCTTTATGAAATTGTACTACAAGGTTCCATATCACAAGAGGAAAGCTAGGTTTGAGTTTGGGGGTAATTGCCCTAAACGTTTAGGAATTTGGGGCCAAAAAGGGGCCTAAAAACAAGCATTTATCTAGTTTCGAGACAATAACTTGTGTTCAAGTGTATGGATCTCTCTGAAATTGTACTGCAAGGTACTATACCACAAAGGGAAGGCTGGGATTGAGTTTGGGGGTGATGAATCATAAGGGGGTTCAAAAAATTTAGGGGAGGGATTTTTTTTTTCTTTAAAATTTTCCATTTTATAAATGGGTTATTTCTGATTTATATATAAAAGCAAATAATAATGATATGGTTTGAATAGGTAAATTAAAAATGTTTAAGTTCTTAGACCACATTCATTCTGTGTCAAATATTTAATCACAATCCAAATTCAGTGCTGTATCAAGCTTGAATGTTGTGTCCATACTTGCCCAACTGTTCAGGGTTCGACCTCTGCGGTCGTATCAAGCTGGGCCCAGCGGAGCATTTTATTGTACTTGTGTGTTTAATTATTATGAAGGACCAAAAATGGAGATTAAATACACAATCATAAAGTGTCATATCGAAAAAAGGCACACTGTTCAAAGTATCTAGTTTACGTAAATTTATACCGTATTTCATGCATTCCAAATTTATGATGACACACTCGACCTCGGATGAGTCGAACCTCAGATTAATCGAATACTTTGGTCCGGTCCCTTCGACTTCGTCACAACGAGGTTCGACTGTATTATAATTTTTGATTGAAATTCATGATTCCAGAAATGAGTTTCTTGAAATGGCTTAACAAAACAAAAGCTATAGAAAGTAGTTAAATTAGGACACAATAGAACTTTAGGCAATACATGTATAAGGTTTATAATATACTTAGAACTTGTGGGATGATTTAATAAAAGACAAATTTTTCACAGGTAATTCAAGTCAGGTTAGTGATGGTGCTGCTGCAGTGTTAGTGGCCAAGAGATCAGAAGCTGAACGATTAGGGTTACCTATATTGGGTGTAATCAGAGGATATGCAGTGGTAGGATGTCCACCTGAACTCATGGGTATTGGGCCTGCAGTTGCCATCCCTGAGGTATTAAAAAAGACAGGTAATATAATGATATGTATTTTTTCTCCTTGCTTGCATTTGTATCTTGCTGGTGAATTTGAGTTTATTCCTGTGGGGTTATGTTACAGAATATAAGTTTGAAGTAGAATGACTTGTTAATCATTTGTTTGTCTTTTCTTTGACCATGTTATTGTCTGACAACAACATGATTCTGTTAGTTTTCACCTAACTCATCTTTCAAACTATTGTATTTTTACTAATTTGTGAATTTAAAAAGTCTTAACCCTTATTTTCAAAGTTTATTGGTCATTGTTAAGATTTTATGATCATGTCACTTTCTTGTTGCTATTTTGGAAAACATTACCACAAAAAATAGTTCAATGGCATTCTTATTGGAATTGTCCATGTTAAATCTACCAGAAAGTAGATGATTTTGTTGTTTTTTTTATTAATACAAAGAGAACAGTGATTGTTTTTGTATTATTTTTTATAGTAAAAATATGGTAGGCATTTAAAATATATGAATATGTGCAAAAGACAATAAGAAAAAAAATTACACAAATAGATTCTTGCTTTTTACACATATTGACAGGTTTATTCCATGGTGAATGAGCTCTATATAAAATTAAATATCGTTGACATTCATTCATTCATTGTAATTAAGTTTATTTGATCATTTATTTTCAGGATTATCAGTAAATGACATTGATATATTTGAAATAAATGAAGCCTTTGCCAGCCAGGCTACTTATTGTGTAAATAAAATTGGTATTCCCATGGAAAAAGTAAATCCAAAAGGTGGTGCTATTGCCTTAGGTCATCCTCTTGGTTGTACAGGAGCTAGGCAGATTGGAACTTTATTACATGAGTTGAAAAGACGAAGAAATAGGTAAATTTAGTATTGTTTAATTGAATAAATTGTTTAAACATATAAACTAATTTATATGATGGATAGATACAACTGTAAAACTGAAGAAGTTAAGATTTATGACAGGAATAAACAATCAACATGAAGTGAAGCACAGATGGTTCCAATATGAATGCTGTCTGTTTAAAATACCTCCAACAAACATTACCAACACTACATTATAAATATACAAACTACAGTTGGACAAGCATAGAGACGCAATATTTTATAAATGTATTCTCAAAATTTCAGCTTTTAGAGTGCCATCTTCCTTTCAGTTAAACACAGTTAAGGTTATATTTTCATATGATTTTGTATTTGATTTTGATTTTGAAGGGATTCAGAGGAAAAATGAGGGGCAAGATGTATAAGCAAAAATTGTGCAAAGCATTTTAACATTATAATTCTTTTGATATATTGTAATTCAAATTATAACCTAATTTCCGATGGCCTTACTGTTTTATGACCTGTACAAATCAACATTAATGCCAATTGATAAAACTTACTTCCATTGTTCAGATCATTTGATTTATTAGAATGATTTTGGTAAAATTAATATTTTGATCCAACTAATACTTCTTCTTTACTATTTTGTTATGTCTCGATATGGTATCACTGGTGTAATTTAACGACAGGTGCCACATGTGGAGCAGGATCTTCCCTAGAAAAATTTTCATGCATGGTGGGTCCATGGTGAATTTGCAATGCCGCATGCGATGCTTCTTTTTCAGAATTAGTTACACTACATAGTTTATATGTTTAAAGCCATATACCAATCTAATTGTTTTATTATCGGTACAGCAATTCATATAAGTCATGGAACTTTAAAGTATTTATCACAGATGAGAGGAATTAATGAAAGACCTTATAAACAATAATAAAAATAATCCAGTCTGCAATAGTTATTTACAAATTAATGTCATGTACACATTATTTTGTTGATATCTTCATCTGTTTCAACTTTCCAAAGGTCACCACACATTTTTCAAAATCAAAATCATCTCTTTTGGTCCTTCAGTTGATGTATACATTAAGCAATTCAGCACTTTTTGGCATAGTCTGTTTCTCAAAGGTGTTTTAACTCTGTTTAAACATGAAAAACATCTTTCACAATCAGCTGTTGAAACTGGCAAAACAAGACCAATTGCTGCATACTTAGACAGACAAGGATACAAAGTTCCAAGACTGTCATCATTGCTTCACAGAGATTTTACAGGAAACAATAAAAAAAAGTTTATTTGCGTTAATTACAGAAGTCGTCAGTGAAGAATGCCTGACATACGGACTTACGGATGACATATTTGGCAATTACCTGTTTGTTTGGAAGCTAAGCTGACATTTTATTTCATGACAATTAACTATTTTTTTTTATTAAAATACATCCCTGTCCGATTTATTTATAACGCTTCATAATTGTAAAAATCCTATCTTGCCGAAGTGAAAGAAATTTAGCCACACTTGTGTAAAAAAGGAAAATGAATCCACTATACTTAAGCTTGTGACCCATTGAAATAAAAATAGAACAACACAAGTTATTAAAAACAATATTTCCGTAAATAACTACGTATGTTTTGAAAGTTTTTCTATCAAATCTTTTAAATATTTCATAAGACACGTCTTTTTCTCGGCCCAGTGGTGGTGATGTGTATTCTTTGATATAATCAATCAACCGCGACTAATCTAAAAATAACTGATTGTTGTGACCAATCAAAAAATAATTCGTCAATGTAAATATAGCTGATGAAATAACTGCCAAACTTTATTAAAAAAAATGTTTTGTCCATTCTGGATGAAATTACGTTAGTTTTATTTAATAATACCAGAGACTATACCAAATTTTAAATTTCTACTTTTTAAAGATCACATTAAAAAAATGATGTCAAACACCCGTTTTAAAGGTGAAATTTGTACTGGAAAAGGTTTAATTTTTTATTTAACACAGAAAGGTATGCATTGGAGATTAATCTGACTATTTATTTATCAGCTAACTGGCAACTTCTATTATGTAACCAAAGTCTTGATGTATAACCAACTAATCAAGAAGGTTGTAAAATCCCGGCATGCGCGATGTGATGCATCCAATTTTCAGTCGGATGAGTTTAAAACACCTGTTGAGTGTTGTCACTTGTCACTTCACTTTCAAAATATCGATTATAAATATTTTACACAGTTATAATTTTCACACATAGCGGGATGCATTGCGGCAATGATGAAAGCATGGCGGTCGAAATTAATGCGTAGCGGTACCACAATGCTTGAATAGCCTAGGAAAAACACTGACAGCTTACGCTTCCGGAGAACCTGAGATCACCCCCAGTTTTTTGTGGGGTTCGTGTTGCTTAGTCTTTAGTTTTCTATGTTGTGTTTTGTGTACTATTGTTTGTCTGTTGGTCTTTTTCTTTTTTAGCCATGGCGTTGTCAGTTTATTTTCGACTTATGAGTTTGAATGTCCCTTTGGTATCTTTCGCCTCTCTTTTACTTTCAAAGTCTGTTCCATGATCTTTAGTTGCATGCATAATTTTATAAATTCCATACCTCTTACAAGTACTGAATCATACATATGCAGGGATTTCCACTGAAATAGCTGTACCAGTGAAGAAATCTGTTAACAGCATGTGCAATATTGTTGTTGAATAAAAAAAAATCAAAAAAAAAATCATACATATGCTTTTAATGAGATGATAGGAATAAACATATGCAAATTGACTAGTAGCAGCTTAATCATTTACAAATAAGTAATGAAAAAAAAAAAACATAGGGAAAATGGACTTTTCTGAGGCAATAGCAGAAATGTTCTAATCATGACTGTAAAAGTCTGGGTCATAATTTTTCTCTCAAATATATTAAGGAACAATATTTTTGTGTGTGTGACATAGAATAGAGAATTGAAAATGGGAATGTGTCAAAGAGAGAAAAACCCAACCTAAGAGAAAAAAACAGCCCAAGGCCACCAATGGGTCTTCAAAGCAGCTAGAAAATCTCACACCTGGAAGGGGCTTCAGCTGGCCCCTAAACAATAATGTATACTAGTTCAGCGAAATTGATGCCACACTAAACTCTGAAACGTACAAATGAATCTAAATTAAAAAAAAATACAAGACAACAAAGGCTAGAAGTTCCTGACTTGGGACAGGCGCAAAAATGTGGCAGGGTTAAACCTGTTTTGAGAGATCCCAACCCTCCCCCATACCAATAAACAAACACACAGCAATACGAACAGTAAAACTCAATTTAAAAGAAGTCTGATTCTGATGTTAGAATAGCTAACAGAAGAAATGAAGCAAAATGACAATGATCAACATAAATTAACAAAGGACTACTAGCAGTTACTGACATGTCATCTCCAGACCTGAATTAAACTGATCAAAAGATTATGTTTTTATCATATGAAAATCAACCACAATCCCTCCCATTAGGGGTTTAGTGTTATGCCATCGTAAATTATACGAGAAGAACACAACCCATATCATGCCAACAACTGGTGTTAGAATAGATGTGTTTATTTGCGATGCAAAGACCCTATAAGTGAATCAATATTAATTACAAAAAATGCAGTCTTTAATGACTTGACAACAGTATTGTAACTATATCCCTGGTGAATAAGTCTGTTTAAAAGTTTGGTTAGCTTTTGATATTAATATTAATGACGACATTTTTGTGCTTTATATAGAATATTACCCCTAAAAAATGGGCTGTGAAATACATGAACTTATATGATGTCTGCACAATTTATATTTACGAATGATGTCCTTGTACCGATGATAAAATTTAGTAAAAGTTTTGACAAGTTTGTGTTTTAGAAACCCTGGTGTAATAATTTTTCAGTTATACAGAGATTTCTTTCGTTAAAATCAAGTATGTTGTTACATACACGAGCCAATCGAACAAGATGAGATATATAAACACCATACAATGGTGCCAAGGGAATGTCACCATCTAAGAACGGATAATTAACGATAGGAAATGAAAAATCAACTCTTTTTTCACCATCATAATCTATTTCATATTGCAGATCCTATGGTGTTGTCTCTATGTGTATAGGAACGGGTATGGGAGCTGCAGGAGTGTTTGAATATCCTGGAAGATGAGATCAACAGACAAATCAATCAAAACTTATAATATAAATGTGATTCAAGTGATTAATTAAACTGATGATTAAAATTAAAGGAGCAGTATTGATTCTACTGATATACTAATCAGATTGATTACATATAGTCATATAATGGTAGATTATTCCTAAAAGGTTATTCCATGTAGTTCTAATGTGAAAAAAATAAACATCTTAAATATGTAACTATAACGAGAGGAATCTTAGCATTCATATGCTTTAATACATTTGTGACATATTCATTGCACTCTTTTGAGAAAGAAATTTTTCAATAAAGGATGACCTAAAAATGTATGACATTATATTGTATTAAATTTGAGGAAGGGTTGCATGCAAATATGTGCTAAATATATGAGTTGTCAGAAGAATATTGACAACTATTTAGTGTTTTAGTAGTTTGATATGGAATAAAATTTAATGTGATTTTAATCCAGTTGAAGTTGTTAAAATCACTGTAAGGTATTGCTGTAAATTTCTCATTTAGAAACATGTTCGAAGTTATAAATACAAATGCACTGTTAATTCAAGTAGTGAATGATTTGTTTATTTGTGAAAATATATCTATTGAATAATAAGTTAGGAATTTTCCACATTGCAGCATTAAGGGAAATTTATATAGTTTACCTAAAAAGGGATTTTTGAAAGGACATAATTAACATTTTGGAATTTTTTTCAAAGTAGTTTGTTAAAAGACATGTCTTTCTATTTTAGCCAGAAGCTCAGTGGATTTTTAAACACTTACCAAGTAGTAGTTATATGTAGTTAGATTTTTATATTATAACTGAAACAACTTTATAATTGAGTAAATTTAATTGAAAACTAAATGATGGTTTGTTCTTGGTTGTATGATTACAAGTACTGTGATATTTTCTCTGTTTTGATGGAAAATAAATATTCTGTATGAACATTTAACATCATTTAATTTATGTGAACTTTAAGTATAGTTTATATAGGAAGTTTAAAAGTTAATTATATTTTACAAAACTAATCAAGTCTTTATTACACTGTCTACCAAGCAAATATTATTAATTTTGATTCATACAATCAGATAAATACATATGGATATTTATGGTTAATACTTGAGATGATAAATAGACATTAAGAACTTTCTTTAAAAATAAAGAGACCAAAGGTGTTTTAGAGATCCTTAATTTAAAATAAGGAGATGAGGTATGATTGCCAATGAGACAGAGAGACCACCAGAGAAAACAATCTATATAAAAGGACATGTTTATAAAACATAATGTTTAATCTGATGAATGCAGCCATTTAACAATCTGGAGTTGATGTAGAGATGGTTCCAAATTGATAAGCCCATTTCATTTCATTTCCTCTCACAGAGCTGGACTATCATATGACCACTGTAATCGTATCCCTAACAATGTTCAGTTGATGTGGAGATTGTAACAGTATGAATGCCATATTTATAATAATAAATACATTGCCTCCAACTGAGCTGGTATCATATGACCACCTTAATGGTATCCCTAACAATGTTCAGTTTATAGATGGTTATAGTATGAATGTCTCATTACATTGCCTTTGACAGAGCTGGTATCATATGACCACTGTAATTGTATCCCTAACAATGTTCAGTTGATATATAGATGGTTACAGTATGAATGTCTCATTACATTGCCTCTGTCAGAGCTGGTATCGTATGACCACTGTAATGGTATCCATAACGATGTGTAGTTGATGTGGAAATGGTCACAGTATGAATGCCTCATTTCATTGCCTCTCACAGAGCTGGTATCATATGACCACTGTAGTTGTATCCCTAACAATGTTCAGGTGATGTGGAGATGGTTACAGTTTAATGCCTCATTGCATTGCCTCTGTCAGAGTTGGTATCACTATGACCACTGTTATGGTATCCCTAATGATGTATAGTTTATGTGGAGATGGTTATAGTATGAATGCCTCATTACATTGCTCTGAAAGAGCTAGTATCATATGACCACTGTAATGGTATCCCTAACGATGTATAGTTTATGTGGAGATGGTTACAGTATGAATGCTTCAATTCATTGCTCTGAAAGAGCTAGTATCATATGACCACTGTAATGGTATCCCTAATGATGTATAGTTTATGTGGAGATGGTTACAGTATGAATGCCTCATTACATTGCCTTTGTCAGAGCTGGTATCATATGACCACTGTAATGGTATCCCTAACAATGTTATGTTGATGTAGAGATTGTTACAATATAAATGCCTCATTACATTGCCTGTGACAGAGCTGGTATCATATGACCACTGTAATGGTAACGATGTTATGTTGATGTGGAAATGGTTACAGTATGAATGCCTTATTACATTGCCTCTGCCAGAGTTGGTATTATATAATCACTGGAATGGTATCCCTAACAATGTTCAGTTGAAAAGATATGGAGATGGAATTAATGCCTCATTACATTTAATCTGTCAGGGCTGGTATCATATGACCACTTTAATGGTATTATTAACGATGTATAATTTATGTGGAGATGGTTTACATAAATAAGAATGGCCAACATAGATACATATCTTGTCTTAGGGAGGAGTACATATCGTACTTAAAAAATCACTCTTATTCAAACAAAACATTCTCTGAAACTGACATTATCAAGATGCTTGATTTATTTCTTGAATGACAACCTATTTGTTACGTTTTGATGGACGTGTTTTTTAACAAACAATCGGCATTCCAATGGGAACCAACTGTACTCCTCTTCTTGCCGACTTGTTCCTTTATTCATATTAGGCTTACTTTATACAATAGCTTCTTAGGAAGAAGAAAAGAAGTTTTAACTTCACTGTCCGCTATATAGATGATGTTCTCTCATTAAGTAATTTAAAGTTTGGTGACTATGTTGAACGCATCTATCCCAACTTGAGATAAAGGATACAACAGATACAGTTAAGTCTGCCTCATATCTTGACTTTCTTCTAGGAATCGACAATGAGAGTCGGTTGAAAACAAAATTTTACGACAAAAGAGAGGATTTCAGCTTCCCAATTGTAAACTTTCCATTTCTATGTAGCAACATTCCAGCAGCGCCTGCATACGGAGCATATATCTCCCAGTTGATACGATATTCCAGGCTTGTATTTCCTATCATGATTTCCATGATAGACGATTGCTGCTCACAAGGAAGCTATTAAACCAAAAGTTCTAAGTGGTGAAGTTTAAATCATCCCTTCGTAAATTTTACGAATTGGTTGACCGTTATGGAATATCTGTTTCACAGATGACGACGGATATGTTCCAATTGTCATAACCACAATCCCGTCCTCTTTTCCCCGAATGTGGCCTACCGAACTAGATTTATCACCGGGTTTATACTTATATGAGAATCACGACAGGTGCCACATGTGAAGCTGGATCTAGCTGTTTCCGGAGAAACTGAAATCACTCCCGGTTTTTGGTGGGGCTTGTGTTACTCAGTCTTCAGTTTTATGTGTTGTGTTCTATGTACTGTTGTTTGTCATTTGGTCTATTCCTCATGGCGTTGTCAGTTTATTTTCGACTGATGAGTTTGAATGTCCCTTTGGTATCTTTCGCCTCTCAGTATGAATGCCTTACAACATTGCCTCTGTCAGAGTTGGTATCATATGACCACTGTAATGGTACCCCTAACGATGTTTAGTTGATGTGGTAATAGTTACAGTATGAATGCCTCGTTACATTAGCTCTGTCAGAGCTGGTATTATATGACCACTGTAATGATATCCCGAACAATGTATAATTGATGTGGAGATTATTATAGCATGAAGGCCTCATTACATTGCCTCTGAATGAGCCGGTTACATATGCCCACTTTATTCTTATTCCTTTCAATGTTCAGTCGATTTGGAGGTGGATTCCCCATCGATTTCTCAGTGGAATGAAAACTAAGTTTGAGGAATATTTACCATGTTGTGACATATAAATAAATTGCGATTTGTCACCATAATATTTTGTCAAAAGAAGCTTACGACTTATAGCCCTGTCGTCAGGGTTAGCAAAGTCGGCCGTTGCCATCTGACAAATACATGTCCTTCAAATCTCTCAGCTTCAAAGTTTTCTTCTTCAGAAATATTTCTGTGTTAATAAAGGGTCAATGAATGCTTGCATCTTCTTGAGTGCCATTTAATGAAGGGTCTGCTGTTTTTTTTTTCATTTTTTTTTGTCCCTCGTCTTTTACTTCTCGATTTCTTAGGTTCACTATTGATTTATTTCGACTGCTGCTATGAAACATAATTTCCCAGGCCCAAAGTTTGCACCTCTTATGCGAGTTACGAGCTCATCTTGTCTCTGTTCTCTGACCTTCAGAAATCACCCCACCACCAAACTCGAACATTGCTGGGGTTTTGTTGTCCAAATGTCTCTTTTCTTTACAGCCTTTTTTCCTTCCTTTTTCCAAAAGATGCAGTCTGGGCTTAAAAGTACATGACCCTCTGTGCTTACGTCCTTTATGTCTGTTCATGCTCATCATAAACCGTTGGCAGCCGTCTCTGTGGTACCATGCACAATCTTCTGAATTTAGGAACTTTCAAACAAATCTCTGCCATATGGAAAAAAGTAAAATAACAAAAATACCGAACTCAAGGAAAATTCAAAACGGATAGTCCCTTATCGAATGACAAAATCAACAGCTCAAACACATCAAACGAATATGGAAAACAACTGTCATATTCCTGACTTAGTATAGGCACTTCCTTCTGTAGAAAATGGTGGATTAAACCTGGTTTTATAGCTAGCTAAACCGAGATCCCTACGGTTCTGCCAAGCGTTAGCTGGAAATATAGTGTTATGAGCACAATGTGAAGTGCTCATAGTAGGATTTATCCGAACGAACTATTACATAATGGATCACTACCTGTGCCCCCAAATTCAACAAATGTTCTCTTGAAAACCTATATTTGATATACAGAACAAATACACTTAATAAACTACTTTAATTGAGAGAAAAAAAAACTATTTTACTTTGAAAACTTCAAACAAACTACATTTAAAAATATGCAAATGTACAAATATACTAAAAGCTTTTATAATATCTGCACTGAATTTTCATCTTAGAGTGCATTTTTTTTAAAATAAATTGGTTGATTCTGACTTTGTTACGAACAAAAAATGTTTCAAAGGGGGAGTTTTTTTGTTTGTTTGTTTCTACTAATAATAAGTATAGGAATAAAGTTAAAACAAAACATTGATGAAAAAGTGACATTATCATTCCAGCGGCTCATCCCTACCACTCATTACATAACAAGTGTCACCACCTCCCCTTGTTGTGTACAAATTATCACTTTGTACAAATTGTAATTTGTACAAAAAAATTGTACAAATTATAATTTGTATATTGACTTTGTACAAATTGTAATTTGTACAAAAAGTGCTTGTACAAATTACAATTTGTACAAAATTGACTAAAATTCACTTATAACTTGTATAATAATTTTAAGTATGGATTTTGTTATAAAAAATAGCATTGATACACACAATAAACTTTATTTACAAAATACAAAAATACCCAGATGGGGACAGGAAATGTAATTGATACATGCATGACAGTTAATTCTGATAGTACAATAAAAATTGGCCCGGTGACAATTCTGAAAGAATACTAAAAATTGGCCCAGTGACATTTCTGATAGTATAATAGAAATTGGCCCCAGTGACAATTCTAATGACACTGCATGACGTTGAAACACCAATCATACGTGCCAGGAAGCGCGCACTGTCTGGCCAACAGATCCAAGCCGAATATCTTAGACCCAAGAAAACGAAACGGAAATAATCATAACTTGCTGTGGGGGATAATGTCATTTCACCAATTCCCCAGTGTGATCGTGCTCCAACTGATCCTCGAAATATCTTGGGTGTAATTATTGAATCTGGAGAATTTGGGTATCGCATTGGAACAGCTGTAGGAATTTTAACAGGATATTTGTCGAGACTGTTAAGACACATCTTTATTCGCAGCAACAGTTCCTAAGCTTCAACTTTCGCTATGTGAAGCAGTTAAAAAGCTTTCAAAAAATGGTGGTCAGGGATTTCTTTCATGTAAATGCAAAAGAGGGGGTGCAGCACTTCTAAATGTAAATGTAAACGGAGCGTCTTTTTACCACAGAATACCACAGAACACCACAGAATACCACAGAACACCACAGAATACCACAGAACACCCAAAATATACCACAGAACTACACAAAATACAATAAAAACTACTAAAATCTACCACAGAACATTGAATTACTTTACAAAATGCAAAACTAATTATTCAGAATTATATTATTTTTTTATAATTCGGGCTACACTAATGATAGGACGATTGACCGGATTTCTTTCATGATCATAACTTTCTTTGTTATTTGGTAGATTTTTTTTTATATTTGATGACCTTTGAAATACTTAACTTTATTTTATAAAAATCTTTTATTAAAAACAATTTATTGTAAAGTTTTCTATAAAAAAAAAATGATTTTCTATAAATAAATGTTTTTTCTATAAAAAAAATGTTTTTCTGTAATAAAAATGCTTTTTTTTACAAAAAAAAAAAAAGTTGACATGATGAATTTTAGCGGCGCTAATTACACTATTAAGATTAAGTTTGTTCTCCCAATTCTGTTGATAAATTTCAAAATAATCAACTATTTACAAAATTGTCAATTGATTGAATTCTAATTGCCATCTGATTATGCAAGGTATATTCCAGTATACTCTAGTATAATTCAATGAAATGGTTTATTCCTCCTAAAATATTGTATGTCATTTGTAAGAAATCCATGTAGGAATAGTTGAATAATGTAAAGAGCAAAAGATGTTGTGCATTTCCGATGCCATAATTCACTCACATGCTCAAACAAATGATACAGAACTATTTTTGTATTTTGTAAATAAGGTTTATTGTGTGGTCATTGATTAAAAATTCTTTAGTGTGTATCAATGCTTTTTTTTATAACAAAATCCATACTATAAATTATTGTACAAGTTATAAGTGAATTTTAGTCAAATTTTGTACAAATTGTAATGGCGTTGTCAGTTTGTTTTCGATCTATGAGTTTGACTGTCCCTCTGGTATCTTTCGTTCCTCTTTTGTAATTTGTACAAGCACTTTTTGTACAAATTACAATTTGTACAAAGTCAAAATACAAATTATAATTTGTACAATTTTTTTGTACAATTTATATGGGGTCATTATAATTTGTACAAAATGATAACTTGTACACAACATATATATAGTCGTTTTTATAAATCATTATCTACAAAAATGTTAAGGTAGGTAGGTAGGTAGGTAGGTAGGTAGGAGGTAGGTAGATAAATCACACGACTAGCAGTATTTTACAACTTTTGAAAGAAAACGATAAGTATTGAAAAAGCTACTGTTCAAAAGACTTACTTTATGATTTACGAAAATTTGTGTCAACAAGTATAAAATATTGAAATGTATGCAGTAATATATAAGAATTAGATTGAAGCATTAAAATAAATCGTTAGTAAAATTTGATAACACTAAATTATGATTTTATCCTGGGACACAATTATAGCTGTATCCTTGTCGTTGCCTTCTTCTGTGTGACCTTGATTAAAATACATACATGTGCAGAAATATTTTTTTAGGTCTGCTAATTTTCAGTTGTTTATTTACGGGTTTCAAAACTTGGCCCGGATTGGAGTATATTGTTTTAGCTCATCCTTTCCAATTGCCTCATTTCCGGTTATAAAAAAAAAATAAGCAACACGGATCTTGTGAATTATCAAAGTCATAATTCACTTGTTTATAAAGATGGCAACAGAAGCAATTGAGTTAGACTTAAGGGGACTGCCGCCATATACAGCTGTCGCATGGGCTCAGTTCGAACAAAATCCGCGAGTAATGTATAATTTGTTTGAACCAACAATCCGACCAGGAGGAAATTACTCTTCAGACAAAGTGTTTGACATGACTGGTGCTAAGCTAAATCAGAAACTTTGGTAAAGATATTAATTTTTTTTTTTAAATGATTTCCTTCAGATTAACTCTCAGAAACCGTTATCTATGCCCAGCTTGGCATAGACTTACTGTACATACATAGTCTTGCATAGTCTTACATATGCATAGTCTTGCATAGTTTTACATATCCTACCGTAGTCTATAATCGGTCATAATGTAGGTTCATTCGGACTTTGTTATTTTACCTATAACACGGGAAAACTCTGCATTGACGTCACTACGCTAATACCAGCGTATAAAATTAGTGCAGAATACTTTTTTCTACACTTCTAAATAAAATGATATTTCTAAAGATATGTTTTCATTATTATTCTTAAGTATTGTACAAAAATGCAGATTTTGTAATGGCCATTTCAAACCTGACTTCTGAATGCCTAAAAACATTTCAGAACTTCAGAAAACCCCTCTTCCGGCTAACTCGAATAATTCAGCACCCTCTATCCACTACTATTCTCGAAATTTAATCTCTTTCTTCTTGCTTTTGGAGTTTGACATGCTGCCAATGGTTTCTTTCCATGGGGTGTGTATCCCGACTTCACTGGAGTCAAACATTCCCTCGATCTTTTCTTGGTTGGAGATTGATTTCAACGAAGAAAATTTTGTAGATGCTACACTTTTCAAAGAGTCTGTCAAAGTAGAAAGTTTCTTCTGACTCCTGTATATACCCTGTATGACATTATAGCACTTACTGCAAACAAAACAGTCTTGTTCAAAACCACTGAAATCATGAAGTTCAACACCACCGTAAACTGACTTCAAAATTTCTAATATATTGATTTCACCGTGAATCTTATGAATATTCCGTCTGCATTCCTTCGCTAAATTCTTCAGATCAAACACGTTTGTACAATGAAAACACGTTTCTTGCTCCATTGCACATGTTGACAAACAATTTTAAACTCCTCCTCTATTTCGCGCCATACGTCAGGATATATTGATCCCAGGATGCAGTTCGTTTCTTTAATATCCAGTTGACGCGTTTTGACTGTAAGTGCATTCAGGCGTTAATGGAGTGATCCTAATATAAAGACAGAATTATTCGGGTTATCTTCCGGCCTCCATTGCTTTGTTTATATTCCATTACACGTCATCATACTTACATGTAATGGCAGACCAAACAGGCTAAATTGTATATTTAAGAATTTCAAAATGACAAGCACCTTACGTCTTTAAGCGATTTTCCCGTGAAAAAGCATCCAAAATGAAAGAAAACCTTGGGGAAACAAGTCAGTGCACATGTACATGCCATATTTTTGTTCAGGAATTATGGAGTAGGTTAAAAAAAACAATTCAATGTTTATTAGTAAATTAATTGAAAAAAAAATGTGTTTTATACACATCCTGTCTATTATTTTTATACGACCGCAAAAAAATTTTGTGGTCGTATATTGGTATGACGTTGGCGTCGTCGTCGTCGTCCAAATACATATTGGTTTTTCGCACTCTAACTTTAGTTTAAGTGAATGGATCTTTTTGAAATTTGACCATAAGGTTAAATACCACAAAAGGAAGGTTGGGATTGATTTTGGGGGTTATGGTACCAACAGTTAAGGAATTAGGGGCCAAAAAGGGGCCAAAAATGAGCATTTTCTAGTTTCCAGACTTTAACTGTGGAACGGTGTATGGATCTCTCTGAAATTATACTACAAGTTTCCATACCACAAAGGGATGGTTAGGATTTGCTTTGGGGGGTTATGGCTCAAACCGTTTAGGAATTAGGGGCAAAAAAGGGGGAAAAACAAGGTTGTCCTGGTTAATGGACAAATACTTTAGTACAAAACATAATTTAAAGTAGTGTAAGGGAGATATATCAAATACATCATTGAAATTATCTCCCTTACACTGCTTTTAAATTATGTATAAAGTAATGGTTAATGAACAATAAAGATAATCTTAAACAGTGTAAGGGAGGTTATCCAAATACAATGTTTTGGTTACTTCCCTTACACTGCTTTTAAATTATGTTTAAAGAAATGCATATTTATAAAGGAAGACCAGTAAAAATATCTGCAAATGTTTTCATCTTTTTTTTTTACAAAAAAATCCATATGAAAGATTTGACACTATATTTTTTTAATTCTATTATAAAATAGATTAAGTTAGCACTATGGTAAATTTAAATGGGTAATTATGGTTGCCAACTCCATTGGAAATTTGAATTGAGATTATGACCATATCTTGAGGGAAAGAATTTTTTTGGGGGAAAAAGGGGGGGGGGGATAAAAAGAAATTGTGGGGGGCCAATTTTTTCTCATTTCAGATTTCAGAAATTAAAAAGAATTATTCTTCAAATATTATTTTTTTTTCAAATTTCAAATATTGAAAAATTTCAAGAAGTAATCTTTAATTGCACAGTATGGTGCATTAGATTTGTAAAATCTTTGATCACATTTATTTATTTGTTATGCCGAATCTAACAGTGTATTTAGATTTTTAATTTTGGGTCCAGTTTTCAAATTGGTCTACATTAATGTCCAAAGGGTCCAAAATTCAACTTTGTTTGATTTTAGCAAAAATTGAATATATGAGGTTCTTTGATATGCTGAATCTAAACATGTATTTAGATTTTTGATTTTTGGCCCAGTTTTCAAGTTGGTCCAAATTGGGGTCCAAAATTAAACTTTGTTTGATTTCAACAAAAATTGAATATATGGGGTTCTTTGATATATGCTGAATCTAACCATGTATTTAGATTTTTTATTTGTGGACCCCGTTATCTAATTGGTTCATATTGAGGTCAAAAGGGTCCAAAATTAAACTTTGTTTGATTTCATCTAAAATTGAATTATTGGGGTTCTTTGATATTCCAAATCTAACCGTGTATTTAGGTTTTTAATTTTGGGTCCTGTTTTCTAAATTGGTCTACATTGAGGTCCAAAGGGTCCAAAATTAAACTTAGTTTGATTTTGACAAAAATTGAATTCTTGGGGTTCTTTGATTTGCTGAATCTAAACATGTGTTTAGATTTTTGATTATGGGCCCAGTTTTCAAGTTGGTCCAAGATAGGGTCCAGTATTTAAACTTTGTTTGATTTCAACAAAAATTGAATATATGGGGTTCTTTGATATGCTGAATCTAAACATGTATTTAGATTTTTGATTATGGGCCCAGTTTTCAAGTTGGTCCAAATTGGGGTCCAAAATTAAACTTTGTTTGATTTCAACAAAAATTGAATATATGAGGTTCTTTGATATGCTGAATCTAACCATGTATTTAGATTTTTTATTTGTAGGCCCCGCTATCAAATTGGTTCATATTGAGGTCAAAAGGGTCCAAAATTAAACTTTGTTTGATTTCATCGAAAATTGAATTATTGGGGTTCTTTGATATTCCAAATCTAACCGTGTTTTTAGATTTTTAATTTGGGTCCCGTTTTTTAAATTGGTCTTCATTGAGGTCCAAAGGGTCCAAAATTAAACTTAGTTTGATTTTAACAAAAATTGAATTCTTGGGGTTCTTTGATATGCTGAATCTAAACATGTGTTTAGATTTTTGATTATGGGCCCAGTTTTCAAGTTGGTCCAAGTTGGGGTCCAAAATTAAACTTTTTTTGATTTCAACAAAAATTGAATATATGGGGTTCTTTGATATGCTGAATCTAACCATGAATTTAGATTTTTTATTTGTGGGCCCCGCTATCAAATTGGTTCATATTGAGGTCAAAAGAGTCCAAAATTAAACTTTGTTTGATTTCATCAAAAATTGAATTATTGGGGTTCTTTGATATTCCAAATCTAACCGTGTATTTAGATTTTTAATTTTAAGTCCCGTTTTTTAAATTGGTCTACATTAAGGTCCAAAGGGTCCAAAATTAAACTTAGTTTGATTTTAGCAAAAATTGAATTCTTGGGGTTCTTTGATATGCTGAATCTAAACATGTGTTTAAATTTTTGATTATGGGCCCAGTTTTCAAGTTTGTCAAGTTGGGGTCCAAAATTAAACTTTGTTTGATTTTAACAAAAATTGAATATATGGGGTTATGATATGCTGAATCTAACCATGTATTTTGATTTTGGACATTGGACCATAATAGGTAAATTAAAAAAATTCAAGTTCTTAGACCACATTCTTTCTGTGTCAGAAACCTATGCTGTGTCAAATATTTAATAACAATCCAAATTCAGAGCTGTTTCAAGCTTGAATGTTGTGTCCATACTTGCCCCAACTGTTCAGGGTTCGACCTCTGCGGTCGTATCAAGCTGCGCCCCAGCGAAGCATTTTATTTTATTTAAATTTAATTTTTTAAAAACAAGTTGAGTTGACCCAATTAGAGTGATATCAAGGTAATAGTAATGAATAAGTTTGTAGTGTTATCTCCCTTGTTTAACTCCAAATTTCATATTTGTTAATAAATATTGCATGTAATGGCAGAAAGTCACACAATTTGTAAAATTTGATAGATGTTACTATTATTAATTTTTTTTATAGAATACTTTTATTCATATTCAGAAATTTATACATTTGATTTGAAACATTTAAATTTTTTTTATACCTATATACTTATAAATTAATAGTATTTATTGCCTAATTTTTGCTGTCACTTCAAATCAGTGACAGAGCAAGGGCTGTATAGTCAGTCAAGGTAAAAAAAAAAGCCAGTCAAGGTCGTTAAAAACTCCCATCATCAACTTCAAATCATATATTTCTTTAAACAAAGAAAACAAGTGAAGTGTATATTTTATCAGTCAGGGGTATACTTATACAAGTGATTTCAGAATCACATCTTTAAGTGATTTTGGCTTTGAAAAATTGAAAATTTTCACAAAAATAGACACAGACTTTTAAAAATCACTGAAACAAGTAATTTGAGAAGTAAAAATGTAATCACTTCAATAAGTGTTTAAAACATTTTCTTGATATTTTACCCACAAGCTTGAATTTTTTATTGGTAAAAACACAAGGATTCCATTGAAAAAACAACTATATTCATGCAGAAATGATCTTTTGCTTGATGAGCCTGTCAGTTTTTACAGTTTATTTAAAATATGCATAAACTGGAATAATTTGTAGATCAGGACATATAACCTTGAAGTAGATCATTCTAACTCTAAAGAAAACCAATCAAGTTACTTAAAATTGTTGACCTTTGTCTGATTGTTAGAGAAGTTAATGAATATTTGATTACAGAAAAATTCCCAATGGTACTTTTAAAAGCTTTAGCGCACTAACTTACTGCCCAAGCGCACTGCTGAAATTAATATACAAGAGAAAGGGATAATTGATCTATGTAGGAAATTTACAGAAAAATTTGTCAAAATATGGAAAATTAATGAAATTAGCATTTGAAGATCAAAGGAAACACCGAAATCACTTAAATAGGTGATAGCTGAATTTATCAAATCACTAAAATAGGTGATAATGAAATCACTTGTATAAGTAGTACCACTGACTGTTTATATAAACTTACATATACCTTATCATCAGTTATATATTGCACCTTTCTTTTGCATCCACGACAGAATTGATCCTGCTACATATACTAATAAAATTCTTTTCTTGTATAGTACCTACTGTTGATGTTTTTGGTAACACTACTTGATATTTCTGCACTAAAAAATATAAGTTCTCTTTTTATGAGTATTGTTTTATTATCATTTATTATTAAGAAGATGAAGGAGCTTAAAGTAGAAGTATCCATGGTAAGTCTAAGAAAGTTTGTTATTTGTGAAATCAGAACAAAAAAAATACATGTAAGATAGATTAAGTAAAAGACCAGGTTAACAGGAACAGGAAGACAACAAAACAATTTTACAATAAGAATTTTTGAAAGTTGTTGATTCTCGTAAACCAGAATTGCAACACTGAGAACTCAGTATTGGGAAATAATGGGTGAATGATGTGTATGTACATAGTTTATGCCAGAACAGACATGTAACAGTGTGAGTTTGATCTTCACAAAGTGGGCACTATGTGATAGCATTAGGTACATTTGAGAAATACTTACTTCTAAAAAGAAAGTTACATAGGTACATGTACATGTAGTATGTGAGAAGAGGTGGCAACTTTCATAGTGTACATGTACATTAGGAAAGTGTTGATTATTATAGATGCGTATTTGTTTGTTTCTATAATTATTATGTGTAATATATATTTTTTTATTGGAGAGAATTTTTGTCTATACTGGAATATCAACATGCTCTCCAATCTCAGTACTTTATATATTTAATAAAAAAAAATCTTTTGGTATAAAGAGATCAATATTCTGACCATAAGTGAAAATTCATAAAAACTTCCATTGATGTCAAATTTCATGGTAAATAATGAGGTTTCTAGTTAAATAATTTATATAAACCCCCAATTCATTGCAAACAATTTCAAGTCAAGATCATACAAACAAATAATATAATTGGCTTAGACTAAAAAATCCCCAAATTGGCCATAGGGCAATTTGATTCGTCTGGACGATCCAATGTGTCACATGGTTTTGACGCCATTAGAATTTGGAGGTAAACAAACGGGGTCAGCTGCTTCAGTTTGTAACAAGATGGTACATTCAGTGATTGAGGAACAATTATGAGTAACCAAGCTTGACAATACACGGTAATAAAAAAACAAAGCTAAGTCTACAGAAAAATAAAATAAAAAATGTCCTTAAGTGACCGGAGTACCGTCATTACGGGATAGTCTGTAACTGAGTGCTGGATCACTCCACTACATGTATGCTCAGATTTCAGTTATTTGCTGACTTGTTTCGGTTCCGGTTCCTATGTCAGCTTTTGCTCTATAGTTATATTTCATCTCAGTGTTTATCCAAAATTTGTCTAGTTGGCTCTCGAACGTCTGAATAGTTGGTGCATTAACAACACTGCTACAATTAGACACAATTAGGAAGGTTAGGAATAACTGTAAAAAGCTCTAAAGAGCTTATTTGTATCCATCTGATGAGTTAAGGCTTTTTCAACTGATTTTTATAGTTTGTTCTTATGTTGTACTGTTACACCACTGTCGCAGGTAAGGGGTAGGGTTAAGCGCTCACAGACATGTTTAACCCTGCAACATTCTTTATGTGCCTGTCCCAAGTCGGGAGCCTGTAGTTCAGTGGTTGTAGTTGGTTCATGCCTGTCATATTTGTTTTTTTTTAAAAAAAGACACTTTAATATATATTTTAATATTTATTTATGTGAAATAATTAATATTTTAGATTTTTAACCGGATTTTCGAAGGAAAAATCGGTTATTGATTTGGGGATGTATGGCCGGCGGGCGGGTGGCTGCCAAACAGTGTCCGTTCATTAACATGAAAACCCTTTGAGAAAATCTTCTAAAATTTAGATATGTTGTTTCCTGTGACTAAATGAAGGTCAAGTTCAATTTTCATGATTTTAGCTATTATCGTTGTTGGATTTTTGGACCTTTCAATAGCAAAAATTATTTTTATTATATGAATTTGAGTTATTTCCCTTTGAACAGAAATTGTGATTTGCAAATATCATTTTCATTAGATAATAATCTATTTTTATTAAAGGATATATTTCATTACATTACATTGTGTAGATAAAATTGTTGACATTGATAGATAAGTTGCAGATCTATATTAGTTTGTGACAAACGAAAGAAAAAATATTGGGAAATATTAATTATATATAACAAGTTTGATTACACTAAGTGTTTTTAAATAATTTTCACCTGTTAATAGATAACAAAGCATCTGGTAAATATCTTATCACACAATTATAATTGGAGTGACAGATTTATTTGAAAATTTTCTGTTTCCTAAGTGTTGATGATAAGATCTATAGGACAGTATAAATAAAATTTGAAATTTACTGTGCATTATTAGACATTTTGAAGATAATTACAGATAAGTTTTATAGATTTTTAATAGATATTGTATTAATGATAAATGACATTTTGGATTTTTTTTCTTCTTTTCTTTTGTAAATTGTTTGAAGAATTTTTGTGGTTGGTTTGTTTGTTATTCTGTATAAACTTATTTTCTGAATGCTATATATATATATTTTTTTATGAAGCAAACTCCTTTAAAAACTAAGCTTAGTTTGTCTATTTATAAACATATATTTAGATTTCTGATTTTGGGCCCAGTTTTCAAGTTGGTCCAAATTGAGGTCCAAAATTATACTGTGTTTGATTTCAACATAAATTGAATATATATAGGGTTCTTTGAAATGCTGAATCTAAACCAGTATTTATTTTCATTATTAATTAGATAATACCCCATTGAGGTCCAAAGGGTCCTAAATTAAACATTTGTTTGATTTCATCAAAAATTGAATTCTTGGGGTTCTTTGATATACTGATTCTAACACTATTATTAGATTTGGATATTGGACCATAATAGGTAAATGTCCAATTTCAAATTTTTCAGTTCTTTGACCACATTCATTTTGTGTCACAAAACTATGATGTGTCAAATATTCAATCACAATTTAAATTCAGAGCTGTTTTTAGCTTAAATGTTGTGTCCATTCTTGCTCAACTGTTCAGGGTTCGACCTCTGCAGGAAAATCCGGTTTGCTGTCACTCTGACAGCCTTTTGTTCATATGCTAAATTTGTTTTCTTGTCACTAAACTACTTCTTGTTGCTAAATTGTTCTTCTGTCGCTAATTTTTTTCTTCTTGTCGCTTTATTTCGCTTCTTGAAGCTTCTTGTTTCTGATTAGTGAGACCCTATATATGTGACCCGAATAAAAAATAAAAAAATAAAACTTTCGTAATCGTGACCATTAATTGAGTGGATTATACCTTGATGCACATATTATCCACCAGTTGATGTATACTTTGGGTGCGCTCACTCTGTTGGCATGTTCCGAACAGATTCTAGCTGTCCTAATTCCAGACAGTGATTGAAATGAACTGGATGTGTCATTTTCAAAATGGGAAGGTGGGGTAGTTACTACAGATGCTGCACTGGCATTTATTAATTGTGATGAAAAAGATCAAAATAAAGATTCTGCTGTGGTATTAATCTTATTTTTACATTGCTTACCAATATATGTTTTGTGCGGTAAATGTAGAGCAAATTGTCCTCTGATTTTGTCACAATAAATGAATGAATGCAATTTCTAGTGTCAAGATTTTACTACAACTGGCTTCACTTTTGAATAGGTTGCATAGATTGCTGTTTGCCAAAAAAAAAATGGCATTATAAATGTCCAAATAAAAATTTCTGGCTTCAAAGTCTTCCTAATTATCATGATTATCTATTAACAAAAAGGACATCTGACTGACACTGTACAGTGTTAGAAAATACTCAGATTTAGACAATGTCTGGTGGTGATTACAGACATCATTCAGTAAACAGACATTTAAATTTTTTCAATTTGTATGAATATAAATGGATGAAACACTATAGATTTATGTTTGACATACTACATGTACTAACATAGTCCATCAAATTTGATTAAACATTAAAGGCTATTTTGAAATTAATTATTTGAAAATACAGGACCTGAAAATGTTAACCCATTATTTCTTAAATCCATTTACAATATTATGCTATTCTCAGAAACGCACTGTGGTAAACGATAATAATTTATTTATCTCCGGCATGTTGGAAAATGTAATTATACATGTAACACAATCATGATTTGTTCTTAACTTCTGATATCACATATATGTATCATGTAATATCTTTACAAACAGTATGATATTTTACAGTGAATTGAAAGTAGACAATGTTGAGGAGTTACACAGATTGACCAGGGATCTCCTTAAAATGCCAATTTTGTTTCGAGTGAAAGTAGAACATACAAGGACAGATCATTATGTTGTGATGAAAGTTAGAAAGAAGTGGCGAGGTATTTAGATACAGAAAGTGTAACTAAATTTGTATCCAGTAATCATTATCACTTGAACATTTTCTGTTTTTTTAATATATGCCCGTTTACGGGACGTATTATGGTATACCGTTGAGCGTCTGTCCGTTCGTCAACATGTCGGACATTAACTAAAAAAAGCTTAAAGCAATATGCATGAAACTTTGGTGAATTGTTTATATCTATTGACGTGAGCTCCCTTTCGTTTTTAAAAAAAATCAGATTTACCGTTTCGGAGTTTGGGGGTTTTATTCATTAAAAAAGGGGGGATTTTCCAGTTTTCCGACAATAACTCAAGAATGCTTTCACCAACTTGCAAGGAATTTTGGTGAATTGTTTATATCTATTGACATGAGCTCCCTTTCAATTTTTATAAATTTTAGATTTTACGTTTCCGAGTTACAGGGTTTTATTCATAAAAAAGGGGGGATTTTCCAGTTTTCTGACAATAACTCAAAAATGCTTTCAGCAGTTCTCATGAAACTTTGGTGAATTGTTTATAACTGTTGATGTAAGCTCCCTTTAGAATTTTATAGATTTTCGATTTTACATTTCTGAGTTATGGGGTTTTATTCATTAAAAAAGGGGGGATTTTCCAGTTTTTGGACAATAACTCAAAAATGCTTTCAGCAGTTCTCATGAAACTTTGGTGAATTATTTATAGCTATTGATGTAATTCTCCCTATTGATTTTCATAAATTTCAAATATGACATTGAGAAGAAATTGAACTTTATTTGTTTATAGTCTGACAACAGATTTACTAAGTATTGCACAACAGCAAGAAATCTTTAATTGAAGATAAATTCAATTCATATAACCAATTTCAAGTTCTTTGACTACATTTTTTCGGAAACCTATAATATGTCAAATATTTAATTACAATCCAAATTCAGACCTGTATCAAGCTTGAATATTGTGTCCATTTTTGCCCCAACTGTTCAGGGTTGGACCTCTGTGTGGGTATCCAGCTGCGCTCAGCGAAGCAGTTTATTAACAAAAGTAGTAACATTGTATTAATACCCAAGAAATGTTCTAGAATTAAAAAAAAGCAGGAAATAATTAAGCTATGTAATAACAATTTTATAATAGTTGTTAAAACAAAGGAAAAAAATAAAAATATTATTTACTCAATGGTCCTAATATTTCTGGATTTATGCCACAATATACAAGTGTTTACATCCATGGTGTCTTTCCATTCATCAGACAACATCACACTATCTACAATATCACTGCATTTTCCTTGGGTGAACTACATGTAGCAGACTTTTAGCCTTCATATGTAACCTGATCAATTTCCTTACAAACTGCTGACACCTTTTTTGTTCAGACATTGCATGGTACAATGTACTACCAATGTTACCATGCAAGGTCGGTACCATTGGTAGTGTCTCATCTTATTTAACAATAAACTTTCTGTAAATGCAATAAAGTTTGCAAGTGCCCTGATTGTCTGTTGAGCTATTTTTGCCAGCTGCTTATCAGGCAATTTTCTGTTGACATAGTCATGATATCCTTCTACCAATACATAGAAATAAGATGTGTTATGAGTGCCAACTCTCCATCTAAGTCACAATGTAAAAAGTAAACAATTATAGGTCAAAGTACGGCCTTCAACTTCAAAGCTCACACCGAACAGCAAGCTATAAAGGGCCCAAAAATGGCTAGTGTAAAACAATTCAAACAGGAAAACCATAGTCTGTTTCTCTATTAATTGAATGTTTCTCCTAATTCCTTATTTTTACAATGATATTATTGGCATTTGACGACCATTCTTTTCCTTTTTAACCAGATTTTCGAAGTAAATATCGGTTATTGATTTGGCGATGTATGGCGGGCGGGCGGCTACCAAACAGTGTCCTCTCATTTACATGAAAACGCTTTCACTTTTCTTTTAGGTTTTAACTGTCAGGACGAGAACCAGCAATAAAAGCTCTGTTCATGATATCTTTTCTAGTACCAGTACATTTATTTTGTGATACCAGACAAAATATTAACCTATTTTTTACATTTCCCATAAATTCCTCATTATTTTAAGGGACGTAAATATTTCAGTGGCCCCTCTGTACAATGCTCCATATGCATATATATGTTGATATATTTTCAGATGAATTTGCCATCCTTGTGAATACACAACATCCACAGATCAGAGAAATTCTATCTAGACGCTTGTCAGAAGCAATGCAGTATATGACAGAAGGAAAAAACTTTTGTTTAAAGGTAGAATGATTATGGATGCATTGTAGTTTTATTTTTCAGAAATTACAATTGCTGTTTGAACAACCAGATACTTTCAAATGAAAACCTGTTTCATTAATTTGATGAAATGCCAGGGATTTTTTTTATATTATCATGATTATATGTTAAATTACAAAGTATCTGACAGTCTCAAACAACATGAACAATTAAAGAAAATGTATATTTATACTGTTGTTTAGTGAGTGTAAAACTGTCATGAACGTTTGTATATCAGGTTTATAGTTTCATCAACTGTCAGAACTGCAATCACATTAGTTATATACGATTTTCAGACAGACAAAAGGAAGAGCTTTTCAGATAACAGCGACTTTGGGATACACTGAAAGAAGAGCCTTTTTTCATATCACACTCAAAAATTTCCAATTTAAATTTTTTTTTTTTTATTTTTTTTAGAAAAAGTTCTCCTTTAAATTTTATTTTTTAGAAAAGGTTTTCCTTTTAATTAGGGGTCCGGCTGCTGACCAGAAACACACCTATTTTTTTCCAACCTTATTCTATATTTACAGTTGGTTTAAGATTATTTTCCACACATTGTAATCAAGTAATGGTAAATGTTATTGTAGGTGTCTTAAATGACTCAAAGGTATTCAACATTAACCAAGAGTTTCCTTAAAGCTTGTAAAAGTCTTCCCTACAACAGTTAAACATACTCTGTGAAGGTATTGAACTTGGTTGAAGTCTTAAAATTTTGATGCAAGTTACAGATATGTGTGATGTTTTACCAGAGCTTACCTTAGGGTGTCACAGTTACATAGATAAAGCTGGATAAACATGAAGTTATAATCCAAAAAAGTGATTAGAAATTGCAATACATCAAGAAAAAAGCTTCCTATTTTGATGTTTTTTGAAAGGAATAGTTGCTGAAAGGCCTTCAACTAAAACCTTGCAGCAAAGGCAAGTCATTTCCTACCTGTGAATAATAAGTAATCATTTATATTTATCAATATAAACAGTTTCCAATCTACTGTGGATTCATTTATTTTCGTGGGTATCAATTTTCGTGGTTAGAGAAAAAAAGACGTTTCGTGGTATACGTAAATTCGTGGATCGCTGATTACAAAAAAAAAAAAAAAACAAATCAGATACGTGATTCTTGGATTTCATTTTGATTTAGGAGATCATATAACCTCCTTGGTTTGATCAATAATAAAACAAAATAAAGAAGGAATTCATTGAAAAAGTTTTGAATTGTCAAAATCCTGGCTTGGACATTCTAGGTTAAAGTGTTTATTGAAAACTTCTATTACAATAATGGACAGAGACAACTAATTATTTGTTTGTTTTACAATTTATAAATTCTTGTTGGAATTTTATAAGGCATTCAAAACTCTATGATTGAAAGCTCATTTCCCTAATCACGATATAATAAACAGTCATATAAGTAAAAGGTGTGAAAATAAATGTTCCTGTCATAAACAATATTACCTACGGGATATTGCCCGTACTTAATCTGATTGATTTTTAATCACCATTAAACCAAACTATGACACGGTAATTAACAACTTGCAGTTATTTTCCATGAACAGTTTTAATCAATTTTAAAAAGTAAATTATCACTGATATTCGATCTATTTATTATTGATTTAATCAAAATACTTGTATCTTCTTTCAATAAAAACACGTGTTATGTTACAATGTTTATCGCTAGTCAACACTATACTAGAACTGCATAACATAACCGGAAATAAACATCCGACTCCATACACATTTATTCTTCGTTGAATTCTTAAATTCGTGGTTCACTGTGACCCACGAAACCCACGAAAATTGGTATACCACGAATAAAAATGAATCCACAGTATAGCAGTTAATTTGCTTGCTTGTAGAAATGTGATATGTTTGTTGTAGATTGGATTTGGCCAGAGTGTTCGCCAGTGGTACAGTGGTGTTGTAGATGCAGAGGTTTCCCTTTGTGACAGCCGGTCCAACAGTGATGATGGCCACATGAGTATTTATATCCACAACTATTCCACACCTATGGACTGTTGTATGCATCCACTGTGTATCTTCTGTTGTTTCCCTTTCTGGTTACTCTGTGGTGGACCATGTTATTTTGTGAGTATATCATCATTGTCACTTTTATTAGCTACATGAAGCTTACTTCATTATACACATACTTGGTATCCAGGTGGTCACTTAGTTTAATACAGTAAATTCAGAAATTAATGTGTGCATTTATTATGGCGATTTTTGAAGAATGGACAAATGCGAGATTAATTATTGTGATTTCAGGAAAATCTGCATACAGATAATGTATCCTATATCAGAATGCAGATTCTTATTATTGCAATACTCACCAATAAAAGTCTCATTCTAAATATATACAGTTCATGAAGTACACATGTTCATTATGATGGGAACCTTTAAGATATTTGCTTAATTACGGTTTTGACTAAGATTTCGCAGTTTACTTACCATGAAGTGTGAAAGTAGGATTGTGGCATGGGGCCGCAATTAAAAAAATCTTTGTTTCCCCACACCCCTACCCAGATTTTTACTGGTGAGTAGGCAGGTAGGTGTTTTTCTTTGTTTTTTTTTATATATGTATTTGTCAGACATTTAGAAAACATAATGCGTGAAAAATTGGCAACTACACTCAGGGTACTTCTTTTTTGTGTTGATGGTATTCATTAAGCTTTGTGTTCACCTTTACAGTGAATAATTTGTACCCTGTTATCAATAAGCAGCTTTGTACATTTTGATAACTACTGTATTGCATACAAAACATTCTCATTTCTGATCGTATAATTGTGCAGTTTTTGTGTAACAGTGACATGTTGATATTGTTTATACACAAATAAAAAAATCAATTTTCCAGTGAGCAACAGCTCGACACTTTGTTGCAAACTTGACCCAAAACCTTGTCAGAAGGAAGTAATGAAAGACTGCCTTCACCCGTGTCAGTGACATCTTCCAATTCATCTTTCCAAATTGATTGTTTTCCAAATGTATACAATCTAATGTTTACTTAAAAGTTTTTATTTTTCCTGTGTGTAGATATTTTATACTTACACACGAAGAGAGGGTAATTTTGTCTGCCATTGACGCAGATCAATTGGAACTGCTCAGCCTTTTTTGATTTCTGGACACAGACACACATTAAATAAGAAGTCGAATCTGCCTTTTTTCCAATTGGTCTGGGCATGGGGAAACAAACCTGATTTTTATACGTAAGCTCCCTTTCGATTTTTATAAATTTTAGATTTTACGTTTCCGAGTTATGGGGTTTTATTCATTAAAAAAGGGGGATTTTCCAGTTTTCAGACAATAACTCAAAAATGCTTAGAACAGTTTTCATGAAACTTAAGTGAATTGTTTATGTCTATTGATGTGAGCTCCATTTCAATTTTTATAAATTTTAGATTTTAAGTTTCCGAGTTATGGGGTTTTATTCATTAAAAAAGGGGGATTTTCCAGTTTTCCGACAATTACTCAAAAATGCTTTGAGCAGTTTTCATGAAACTTTGGTGACTGGTTTATATCTATTGAAAAAGCGACGGGCATATCATGCGCTCATGGCGCAGCTGTTTATTTTATTTTGGCTTGGTGTTCTATTATAAAGCAATGAACCGCATTTTTTGTAACGTTTATGCAAAATAGCTGAGATCTTTAAAGGGAAATGTCATCTTAGAAACAGAACTATTTTTTTTAGTCTTAATATGCATACAAACCTTAACATATTGAACGAATTTATAAATGTAAATGTAAATTACAGACTGCATTATTTATTGTTGGTTTGTTTTCACCATATTGTAGGTGAATCGTAAATTGAAATGCACTGATGTTGAAGAGCATGTAAGAGATCTGCCAGTTACCATGGTAACAGGACAAAGAACCATATTGATTGAGCACCATATCCAACCAGAACCTTGTGCACGAGCAGATCAGTACCGACATCAGCCTCCTGGTTATCCTGGTCCTCAGAATGGGATGCAGTATAATAATGTCCTTCCTCCACCACAATCTGCACAACAGATGCAACAAGGGCAGTATGGAGGTCAACAAATTCCATGTGTGCAGTTTGGAGGCCAACAAGTTTCACCTGTGCAGTATGGAGGTCCTCAAATGGCAAATCCTCCACCATATTCTCCATAATTTTACAATTATGGATTGTAGTGTATTTTGTTACCGGTGATATAATATGAACTTGGAAAAATTTAAAAGTTAAACAATTAGTACACCTATAATCTTGTTATCACAATATATTTTGTACTTAACTTAGAAAAGAATAAGTGCTAAGATTGACAATAATTTTTGTAATAATTTTAATCATTAATCTTATATGAAAACTTGGACTAGAATTTTGATTGACTATGTTTATTTTTATAGGATAATAAGAAAGGATGTTGATATCATACATTGCTTAATTGCATGTCATGTATTTACTTTCTTGACGACAAAAAGTTTTGTTTCAATGTGAAATGTTGGAATGACTTTTTTTTATGCCCCCGCCGTAGTGAGGGGGCATTAAGTTTTACCCTTGTCCGTCTGTACGTACGTCCCAAAATTGGTTTCCGTTCTCTAACTTTAGTTTGCCTCAACCAAATGTTATGAAACTTATACATAATGCTTATTACCACAAAACACAGATCAAGTTTGAATTTTGGTGGCGTCACTTTTACCGTTCTAGAGTTATGCCCCTTTACAAATGGAAAATTGCTGAATTTATCGTTTCCATTCTCTAACTTTAGTTTGCCTCAACCAAATGTAATGAAACTTATACACAATGCTTATTATCACAAAACACAGATCAAAGGAGTAGGCCCGGTAAGACCCCTTTTTGGCCCCAAAATATAGCAGTTTTACAAAATTGTTAAAATGTAAATTTTAAGCTATTTATTGGAAAGAAGAATACTTCTGTTACATAAATATGGGCTGTGTTTGACAATACAATACACATGTATCGGGTACTAGCATCATTAAGTCATGCTAAATTACTGAAATCTTCGAAATTTTAGCATTTTGGTTTATTTTTAGACGGTTTCCGTCTGAAATGGAAGTGGCCGCATTTGTGTTCATTCTTAATATTTAAAGGTAAGTTGTATTTGATGATAATACATAACATATATAAAGGTTGAGAATGAACACGGATGCGGCCACTTTCATTTTTGACAAAAACCATCTGAAAAGTGACATATTATGGCATATTTGATAGATTTTTCATATCTAAGCTTGAAATTGAGCGTCTTTAATGACTAAATCAGTTCAAATCTTTCACATAAACTAATTGAATCGACAGAAGTAGCCACTTAAGTGTTTAAAAAGTGTCCAAAATCTTTCATCAGATGAACCTGAATTTTGAGGCCAAAATCGGGCCTTACTGGACCTACTCCTTTGAATTTTGGTGGCGTCACTCTTACAGTTCTAGAGTTATGCCCCTTTACAAATGGAAAAATTGCCGAATTTTTTGTTTCCGTTCTCTAATTTTAGTTTGCCTCAACCAAATGTTATGAAACTTATACACAATGCTTATTACCACAAAACACAGATCAAGTTTGAATTTTGGTGGCGTCACTTTAACCATTCTAGAGTTATGCCTCTTTATAAATGGAAAAATTGCAAAAATTTTATTTTCTTCTAAATATCAAGTAATTTTTATTAAAATTGGAGTTATCTTTCTTTGTCCATGATTATAAATGAATCAACTACATTCAATGCTTTATACAATGCAATGTCTAATTTTGACTTCCACTGATAAAACACAGATCAAGTTGAATTTGGGTAGTGTCACTTTAACCATTATTGAGTTATGCCCCTTTATAACTCGAAAGATTGCAAAATTTTTAGTTTCCATTCTGTAACTTAAGTTTGCCCCAACCAAACATTATGAAACCTATACACAATATTCATTACCACAAAACTAAGATCAAGTACAAATTTTTTGTTTCCGTTTTCTAATTTAGTGCCTCAACCAAATGATATGAAACTTATACACAATGCTTATTACTACATAATACAGATTAAGTACGAAATTTGGTAGCAACACTTTTACCATTCTTGAGTTGTGTCCCTTTATAAACATAAAAATTGCTGAATTTTTCATTTCCGTTCTCTAACTTTAGTTTGTATGAACCAAATGTTATAAAACTTATACACAACCGTTCTAGAGTTATGCGTGTTTACAAATAGAAAAATTGCTGAATTTTAAGTTTCTGTTCTCTTCTTAAGTTAGCCTCAACCAAATGTTATAAGACTTACACACAATGCTTATTACCACAAAACTCAGATCAAGTTCAAATTTGGGTAGCGCCACTTTTACCGTTCTTCAGTTATGTCCCTTTATAACTATATGATATGCAAGCGGGGGCATCATCTGTGTCCACATGTGGACACTATCCACATTTATTTTATATTTAAGAACAAAGTATCAGGCAGACTTTTCAAACAAAAAGACACAATTGTTAGTGCTATATTTTGGTTGTACATATTATTTGAATTTTATATTTATAGAACAATACAAAGAGAGTTGTAATGGATGATAGAAGGATCAATTTTTACATTTAATTAATTTGTGCCATTTACCTCAAATAGGTGACTGCTGATAATGATATAGTTTTAAACAGAACAATAACATGTATATATATATTTAAATGTAGCTTCTACTTCTACTTTGTAGTGACCACCTTCTACATGTTGAAGTTTATGTCACTTTTACTATGCATGGCTTTGTGGAAACATATTTTTAGCTTTTCACCTAAAAATTTGTATTCCTGATATTTTGGCAAGAGAAGAAATATTTTCAAAAGATGGACAACTGTGGAAATAAATCAATTCCTGTGAAAACATGCATGATCTTGCTGTAATAATTGAAAAAAATAATACTCTAAAGGGAAATACACAAAATTTTGTATTTATGATTAGATTTTATTTTGTACTGGCAGTACATGATTGTGATAAAGTTGTAAAGGGGTTAATTCAATAGCAAAACAACTTATTGTTAAGGTTACATATTTTCCTTATTACTTGTAAGCTTATTTTGATACTTGATAAACAAATATGAAAGAAACAGTTTGTTTATAACTTCCTATTTCAGTCCTCTGCATCTATATATTTCCTTGTCAGTATGGATTTAAATTGTCAATGGCATACATAAGAGATATATCAATGTTATACTTTATTTAAAAGAACAATATGGAACATGCATTATCAAGTCCCTTTGGCTTGAACATGTGACCTAATGATTTTTTCTCTCACATTTATAAAACTATAAGGCATATTACCTAAAAGAGCTGTAAATTGAGTAACATATGCAAATATTAATCATTGTTAATTCAATAACCTCATGGTCTGTTTATGTAGATCATATATCAATGACTGAAACTTTATGCTTTTTATTACATGACAAATAACATTGTACATTTATTCTGTAAACTTTACATAATTAATTTGTATATATATTGTAAGAATATATTTGGTTGTGTACATATAATAAAATGAATAATATATTCTATCAAGCTTGTTTATCCTTTCATGGGACTGCATTTAATATTTACTGGTCCATGGAAGGATGAAATCACACGATAGAATATGTTATTATTTGTCCTGATTGATTGATTTTTTGCAATACATACATACATACATATTATTTGAATACTTTTGATTTAAGTTTTATTTGGTGCAAATGTATATTGATTAAACTTTATTCCTCTTTATGGAAATTATATTGGCCTGTAACTTATGAATTAATGAAAAGGCCTTCCAATGGCATAAAGTTTCTACTGGAATAGCTTAAAGACAATAGGTTGATTTACACACTAAAAAAACACCAATGTACAACTATCATGAAATTGTATATTAACTATATATTAATCCCAATTTGTCTTTAAGAATAATTGTTTTGTTGCCTACACAAGGTTCTATAATTCACATATAAATGTCAAAAAGAAATTTGAAATTGTTTTCAGTTTTTCTCAATGATGCAATGTTGTTTGGAAAGAACTGTCTTCTTATAATTTTTAGGTTGTTTAGCATTTTTTATTTTTTTATTGATCTGTTGATGTGTAATTTTTTTTTCAAAAACATAAAAAAGCATTAAAAGTGTGGATTGGTTATACTATACGTAGTTACAAGGTAAAAAAATTACTTTGATTAATTACAGTGATTAATGGTGTTATTTGAAAATAATTTACAATTTTGTATTCAATCATAAATCTGTTCTACATTTTCTATTTTATTTGTTTTACCTTAGTTATAATACATGTAATATATTTGTTAATAAAATAAGATAAAAATAATTGAATATCAGATTCAGCCATTTTACTGCAATTACCAACCTTTCAGTTGTTGTTGAGTAGTTGAATATATATATTTTCTAATGGGGTTTGTTTGATTATTTAGCAAAGCGCTATCATTAAGATCAAATACATTTCATTTTCTTATCATCTATTGCAGCTCAATTGTTTAGAAGATCCTTTATAAAAATCTTCATTTTATTCATTTGTCATATGGCATCAGAAGAAAATAAATTACCTCATATGTTAGTATATTGTAAACTGCAAAGGATGACTTAAAAAGAAGCAGAAAACGTAGCGTAAACTATTTCTTTAAAGTTTTATATTTCAGAAGGTAGAAGGCCTGGATGCTTCATACCTTCTATGTAGATGCCTTATGTTACGAAGTTTCCATCTGTCTCATCTCCATTGTACTTGACCTCATTTCCATGGTTCAGCAACGGCTTGAAAAAAACATTGGTTTTTTTTGGCTTGTGAATTTCCTTACTTATTATTAGTAATATGATATCTATATTTGGTATATGGGTTCCTTGCAAGGTCTACATGCCTGACAGACAGATTTCACCTGACCTCAGCCACATTTTATGGATCAGTGATCAAGGTTAAGTTTAAGTGGTAAAGTCTGTATCTCACATTCTATAACCAATAGGTCAACTATATTTGGTGTATGGAATGATTGCGATATGTACATGTCTGACTGGTAGGCATCATCTGACCTTGACCTCATTTTCATAGTTCATAAGTCAATGTAAAATTTTCAAGATTATGTTTGTTTTTTCAGATACTGAAAGCAATAGGTCAACTATATTTGTTGCATGGAATGATTGTAAGGTGTACATGTCTCTTGTATGCATCATCTGACCTTGACCTAATTTTCAAGGTTCTTAGGTCAATTTGTTACTTGAAGTTGAACCTTTATCTTTCAGACTTTTATATAAAATAATCATGGTCAGTAGAGCAGATGACATTTCAACGTGTGCACTCATGTTCAAATACTAAGCAATAGATCAGCCATAATTTGTGTATTGCATGATTGTAATGTGTACATGTCTGTCTGGTATAGTATTATCTGTCCTTGACCTCATTTCCACAGTTCATTGGTCAATATTTTAAGTTTCTGTAGTTTGGTCCTCTTTGCAGATTCTATAAGTAATAGGTCAACTATACTTTGGTGTAAGGAATGATTGTAAGGTGTAAATGTGTGTGTGGCAGGTTACTTTTGACCTTGACCTCATTTTCATGTTTTATTGGTCAGTGTTTAGTTTTCCTGGTTTAGTATGTTTCTCAGATAATATAAGCAATAGGTTAACTATATTTGGTGTACAGAATGATTGTTAGGTGTACATGTCTGTCTGGCATGTATCATCTGACCATAACCTCATGTTAATGTTTCATTGGTCAGTGTTAAGTTTTCATGGCTTTGTCTGTTTCATTGATAGTATAAGCAAATGGTCAACTATATTTGGTGTATGGAATGATTGTAAGGTGTGCATGTCTGTCTGCATGTTTATTTGACCTTGATCATATTCTCATGAATTATTGATAATGTTAAGTTTAAGAGATACTTGAAGTGAAACCTTTATCTTTAAGACTTCCGACATTAAATCAGTGGTGGTCAGTAAAGCAGTCGAGACATTTCAGCTTGTGCACTCTTGTTGTAAAACTAAATGGATGACGATAGACCTTAACGATTGATACCAAAGTGATGAGAATAGCTTACTTAACCTGTTCAGTCAGGTGTGCTAAAAAAGGAAAATCTTATTAGGATTGAGATAAAGTAAAAAAGAAAAAGTGTAATTAAGGCTAAGAGAAACCAACCAGAAAATGAAATTAGAATTGACAGAAAGCAAAAGAAATAGTATAATTAGGACTGAGAAAAACAGAAGTCTTAAAGAAACTGGCATAAATGTTTCATGACCATACTATACGAGATCAAGGATCTGAAGTATAAAAAAAATCGTAAGGGTTCCACGGAACCCAGTGTCTCGCCTACTTTTGCTGTTAATCGCAGGCTCAACAAAAATGAGGAAAAAAATTAATAAAAATATTCCTCTCTATACTATCTTTTGATTGTAAGTAGCTTCTGTCCAAGTTTGGTAAAAATCCAGGATAGTTTATGAATCTAATAAATGTTTTAAAAACTTAAACTGCAGACTGTATGTAATGTTAACTGGAAGAAAAACAAAGTCCATTTATAAGTAAAAAACGGAAAAAGTGGAACAAAATTTTAACAAATTTTCCTTCTAGATACTAGCTTTTAATCATAAACAAGCTTCAGTCCAAGTTTGGTACGAATCCAGGATAGTTTAAGAAAGTTGTTAAAATTTAAAAAAAACTTTAACCACAGAGTGAATGTAATGTAAACTGGCAGAAAAACTAAGTCCATTTATAAGTTAAATAAGGAAAAAATGGATTTTTTTTACAAATTTTACTTCTGGATACTATCTTATGATCATAAACAAGCTTCTGTCCAAGTTTGGTACAAATCCAGGATAGTTTAAGAAAGTTGTTAAAATTTTGAAAACTTTAACCACAGAGTGAATGTAATGTTAACTGGCAGAAAAAACTAAGTCCATTTATAAGTAAAATAAGGACAAAATGGAATTTTTTTTTTACAAAATTTACTTCTGGATACTATCTTATGATCATAAAAAAGCTTCTTTCCAAGTTTGGTAGAAATCCAGGATAGTTTAAGAAAGTTATTAAAATTTTGAAAACTTTAACCACAGAGTGAATGTAATGTTTCCTGGCAGAAAAACTAAGTCCATTTATAAGTAAAATACGGAAAAAATGGATTTTTTTTTTTACAAAATTTACTTCTGGATACTATCTTATGATCATAAACAAGCTTCTGTCCAAGTTTGGTAGAAATCCAGGATAGTTTAAGAAAGTTATTAAAATTTCAAAAACTTTAACCACAGAGTGAATATTTGTGGACGCCGCCGACAACGACGACGACACCGACGCCGACGGAATGTAGGATCGCTATGTCTCGCTTTTTCGACAAAAGTCGAAGGCTCGACAAAAACCAAGCTGAACTGTTGAGCTCATGCTCACAAATGAAACCCATTCTTAAAGTATCCAGCAACAGGATGTTGATGATTGATGGATTTAAAAAGGTATTACACAGTATAGCATGCTCATATAAAGGTTGATTCCAAATTTCAGAAAGTAAAGCCTTAGTTCGTAGTTAACTTAGTTTAGCCTGTGAAAAATGTAAAAATTTCATACATGGCAATTATGTGAAAGAATATGCATGTATTCACTTAACAGGAAGTGGATGAGAAATGAATCTGAAAATGTATCACACAGTATAGGATGCTTACATGAATCTTGGCACAAAATTTTAGGAATCTCTGATTTGTAGTTCAAGTTTCATGAGAAAAACATGACCAAAATTATATACAATATAAAAATAAGGAGATATGGTATGATTTCCAATGAGACAAATATCCATCAAAGTTTAAATGAAGTGGATGTAAGTAATTATAGGCTAGCCATTATGTGTAAAAATAAGTACTTGGTAAACAAGAAGAGAATAAGAAGAGTCTGAGAATGCATCACACAGAAAAGCATGACCACTAACAAATATGTTGAACTTAATCACATTCTGTATGTGCCTGTTCCAAATCAGGACCCTATAATTCAGGGGTTGCTGTTTGTTGCTTATTGTTTTGTACATAAATCAGAAAGTTAGTTTTCTCATTTGAATTGTTTGACATTTGCCATGTCAGGGGATTTATAGCTTGCTATGTCGTATGGGTTTTGTTCATTGTTGAAGGCCATACATTGACCTGTAGTTGCTAACTTTGACTTCATTTGGTCTCTGGTGGAAAGCTGTCTCATTGGCAATCATACCACAGCTTCTTATTTTTTTTATTACATGAAGCTTGATACCAAATTTCAGGAACCTCTGATTTATAGTTTATAAGAAAAACGTGAAAAAAATTTTATACATGGCCACAATGTTTGTAAGAATATATAAATATTTTTAATAAAAAGGAAGTGGATATGTATGAATCTGACAATGCACCACACAGTAGAGCATGCTCATATGATTGACTGATTGATTGGTGTTTCAAGCCACTTTCAGCACTATTGTGCTATTTCGTGGCAGTCAGTTTTTATTGGTAGAGAAAGCCGGAGTGCCCACAGAGAACCAACCAAAGACCTTCGGTGTTGAGAGGCTATTGATACAGTAGTTGACTACTTAGACTACTCGACCACAGAGGCCCCCCATGCTCACATTAAGCTTGATATCAAATTTCAGGAAGCTTTGATTTGTAGTATGTGAGAAAAGGACGAGGACAAGAATTATTTCTGTATATTGTATATTTTCTATAAATCAATTTAGGAACAACATATATCAAAAACATCAACAATCTTAAAAAAATTTAGTTTTATATTTTCTATAAATCAATAAAAAACAGCATACATCAAAAACATCAACAAGAATATTATTGCATCACAGTTATAAAAATATAATTAGTTCTGTGTAGAAAGAAATAATCAATCTGTAATCTAAAATATTGTTTTCTTTTAAACTTATACGATTGTTATTATAATTCCACTGTCTATTTTATAGGGAAATGGTTTGGCTCTTTTCAAATGCCTATACCAAATCTTGAAAATCAAATGTCTCAAAAATGGCAAATTTGACAATATTTAAATAAAAAAACATTCTCCTTTTTATTACATGGACGACATAAATTATATACAAACATGTCATATGACAGTATAAAGCTGATCCTATGCAATTTTTCCTTGTCATTTGGTCTGTAAGAGTAATTACAGAAATGACAGATCCAGTTTTAATAACATTGGTATCCCAATAATAACTGGGTAATTATTACATTAGTTACACAGATACTGCTTCCAAAAGGAAATTAAAATGAGAAGTTCTTCAAGAAAAGAAAAAAAAACAGTTTTAATTTTTTTTTGAAGTGGCAGAGCATGAATGTCTTCTTTTCATATACTTTTGAGTATCATTGATTGATTTTTATTTTGACTGAAAAAATGAAATAAAACATATCCTTGTAAATGTAACAATGCAATCATTCATAGTATGGAAATACCTACCTAATTTAACAGTATATGATAAACATCAACTATCTCTAACTTATCTAATTAGTACGAACACAATGCTGATTTCGATATATTATTTGTTGTGGCACAAACAAATAACTTTTTTGCAATTAGGCTTAAAGTAACTCTATGGAATGCTGTAGTAATAACTATTTGTTTGTGTTGTAGTAATAAATATTTGTTTATATATCAAACAGTTTAAAGTCAGATTTCTGTTTATTGCCAAGTGTTTCTCGATGATTATTTTACAATTTGCTGTCCGTTCCTGAACACCACTGACTCATAGGTACCTTGTTCTCACTTAGTTTTAGTAACAATCTACTTGGTATCCAATGACTACTGTAAGCTGTTAATAAAAAAAGAAGTATGATAGTCAAAACCATTTAAATGGATTCTTGCAAATTGTAGTATTGTTTTGTTTTCCCACCACTGTCCTATGTAATGAGAAGGGTTGAACATTCATAACCATGTGTGTTCCAGGATTTTCTTTATATGCCTGCACTAAGCCATTAGCCTGTATTCATAATCTCTTATATTGTTATACATGCTTATTTTTATGCCCAGTATATAAAAGTAGAGGGCCATTATGTTTTCTGGTCAGTGTGTCCATCCCTCCATCTTTATCAGGTTAAACTTTTTGTTTAAGATTGGTGGAAGTTGGGGTAGTTTGTGGTCACATCAGTTTGAAATTTAGTACACATGTTCATTATTAAGTCAATTGTTTCATATTTATTCCAAATTAAAGAACCTTAGTGAGGAGTTGCGATGACAAACTGTTGCAGAAGTACATTGATGCAATAAGTTCAAAGGGGCGTAACTCCTAGAAAAAGAATTGAATCGTAATTTCCTGTCAATATGCACATCTAAATAGTATGTCCTTATTATCTAAAATGATTTCATGAAATTCTGTTGTGTGGTTTCAGAGGAGTTGCGATGACAAACTGTTGCAGTAGTACATTGAAGCAAATATGTTCAAAGGGGCGTAACTCCTAGAAAAAATATTGAATCATAATTTCCTGTCGATATGCACAACTACATAGTATGTCCTTATTATCTACAAAGTTTCATGAAATTCTGTTGTGTGGTTTCAGAGGAGTTGCGATGACAAACTGTTGCAGTAGTACATTAAAGCAAATAAGTTCAAAGGGGCGTAACTCCTAGAAAAAAAATTGAATCGTAATTTCCTGTCGATATGCACATCTACATAGTATGTCCTTATTATCTAAAAAGGTTTCATGAAATTCTGTTGTGTGGTTTCAGAGGAGTTGCGATGACAAGAAACAGGACTGACGGACTGATGGACGGACAGACAGACAGACAGGTCATAAACATTATACCCTCCGCAACTTCGTTGCTTGGGGTATAATTAAGGTTTGAGCCAAATTTAAAGGTTCATTGACATAGAAATGTGATAGTGTGAGCAAGGTATGGTTTCATATGGACACATATTCTCCTTCTATTTGTACTTGAAATTTTTCTAAAAAGGTCTCTTTTGAATTTGTTCACATTTAGGTACGTGAACAGCTTTTTTAGTTTACCTCACAACATAAGTCTTTCTCTATTATTCTTAACTGCAACTTAACATGTACTTATTTACTTTCTTGGTTTTCTTTGTCGTAAAGTTTCTCATTAGCAGTCACACCACATCTCTTTATTTTTATATAAGATAAGACGACAAATACTTTGTTAAAGTATCACCTCATGTTCATATATATGTAGGACTCAAATCTATGGCGGGTTCCAGATCTATGGCAGATTCCTAATCTATGGTAAATATGACGTCATGTCATCCCAAATCTATGGCAGTTTTTTTTAGAATCCTAATCTATGGCAACTTTTTAGTTTCCTAATCTATGGCAATTTTTTTAGTTTCCTAATCTATGGCGGATTTCTAGATTTCAAATCTATGACAGATTTTCTGCAAAGGTCGGACCAGTCAGTACATATCTGACCAATGATTTCGAGGTCGAAATGTCCAAAGGTAGCAAAAAAGCTGCTTTTAAATAAAATCCAGTATAAGAAAAACAAATTAGGACTATTACTAGGAAGCATATACATAAACGTTTGTAAAATGAGCACAGACTGTAGGTTTGAAATCATGTGCACCGGAAGAATACTTATTTCCTACTCTGTGTATACTAGTAGTACCTGTGTGACCCTCTAAAAAAATCCTTATTTCTCCAACATAACAGTTTTTCGACACATTTAGAGCGGAAAACGATATTAATATCTATTAGAAATCTATATCATATTTATTTTTTTCCAAATCTCAAGAAAGATTGTTTGCTACAATAGTACAGGTAGTCACTGTTATATAGCTGACAAAATACTTTATGTTGTGTTACTTCTTACAGAAAATTAAAGAGATCATAGGAATACAAAAAAATAGCATAAAAACACAAAACAGCAAACCAAAATGCACGGTAAAAGCTCGTACAATTAAGGGTGATGCCAACACCAGCAACACGAGAAGAAGAAAACAAGGGTAGAAACAAACACAATTTTGAATTATAATTTATTTATTAATTTTTATCCTTGCAAACTTGCTTTTCGATCTTTTTCTTTTCCTTTTGTATAACAAAACCGTCGTCGTCATCAGCAGCTTCAACGTTCCATGACGTTATTTGATTGTGACGGAAAATTACTTAGTATCCAAATCTGCCATAGATTTAAAGAAAACAAAGTACTGCCATAGATTTGTGATTTGTTTGGCGTTTGTGACATCATATTTACCATAGATTAGGGATTTGCAGAAATTTGCCATAGATCTGGAACCCACCATAGATCTGAGTCCTACATATATATACTACATAGGCAATTATAAAAAAAGGCAACAGTGTGCTCTTAAAAAAAAAGTTATAAGACTAATAATCTCACAGACACACAGAAAAGTTAATGTCTGTACAAATATTAACCAATCAATACTCTTCAAACTTACAGGAAATGATAAGCAAACAACAATTTATCAACTGTGTTGAAACCAAATAATATTTTTTCACAGAATAAATTAATTTAATCATGATTATCAATTCATAATGTAATAATCCAGGAGCCTTGGTGACTGAGTGATCTTAGTAGTTCACCCACTGTATCACTAGCCCGTCAACATTGCAGTTGTGAGTTCAACCCAGCTCATGGCAGGTGCTTTCATCTTCCATCTTAGTTAACAAAGGATTGCCAGTTTTCCTGATGAAGGGTTGTGGTTCTCTCAAGGCACTCTGGCTTCCACCAATAAAACTAACTACCATCATATAGCAAAGAGTGTTGAAAGTGGTGTTTAACACCATCAATCAATCAATCAATGTAAAAATTCATTTAATCCACAAGTAGTATATATTGTGACATTGAAATTATAGTTTTTTAATATTCTGTGACACAGTGATCACTAGCCTATCTGCTGATATATATCCATGTCATCACTTTTGTATGGTGGTGTCAAACATTTTCTCCCGTGTCAAAATCTTATTTACATGTCTGTGATGTATTGTAACAGTGGACAAATAACAATAAGGTGTATGGCAATATATCTTGCTTTTTTGGCTTAAATCTTTGTCATAAATAGTAATGAGAGATAGCACTTCTATATAAATATCAAATATAACAGTTTTTCTTTGATTCTGCTGCTAAAGAATTTAACTTAAATTTTCCTTAAATTACATAACTTCAAACTTTAATCAACTAATCAATTTGTTACAAATTTTAAAACTTTTGTTTACAAGCAGATATACTTACGAAAATTTTCATGATAATAACAAATTCTTTGGTAAATTTTGTCTAATCCTATTCTGTTGGCATAATACATTGGTCCACCTAAATACTTCGGCCAGGAAAATCCATATATCCTTAAAATAATATAAACTCTATATTTTCATGACAAACATAAATATGAAAATAAGCTTAAGACTGAAAAACAGTGTAGTATTATCTTTTCATCATTTCTAATATATTTTCTGACAAAAGTTGTGGCCTCAGTGGTGGACTGGTCTAAGTAGTTCATCAACAGTGATCAGTGGCAGACTGGTCTAAGTAGTTCATCAACAGTGATCAGTGGTGGACTGGTCTAAGAAGTTCATCAACAGTGATCAGTGGTGCATTTGACTTCTGATTGTCTGTAGTGCTTCCTCCAATAATAAAAACTAACTACCATGATAAAGCCAAGTGTGCTAAAAGTGGTGTTAAACACCAACCATCAATCAATTAATCTTTCTTATTAGTAGTCAGCTGTTGTTCGAGCTTGATTACTATCTCCTTATATGTGTTTCAAAATAGATTTTTTTTCTCAATATTATCATTTCTCAATATCTCTTTTCACAATCAGAATGGATTGAACAATTTCATCCTATAGTTGTTAATTTCTGTGTCATTTGGTCTCTTGTGGAGAGTTGTCTCATTGGCAATCATACCACATCTTCTTTTTTATATTGTAAACTAATTCATTCCCAATACAATGTGTCTAGGGTATAAGTAGTCCATTATAACTTTTTGTCATCTTACCAGGAAATATCAATGTCCTCAGGAGTGGCAGCTACACCTTCTTCTAATATCTTAAATCCTTCATTGATACAGGAGTACATTAATCTTTCTAAAATTTCCTGAAAACAGTATAGGAGTAAAATTAACCTTAGTATTCACTTATCATTATATTTGACAATCAAAACAGGAGATGGTTATAAACAACAAATTCATTAGTGTATATATTCTGTACAGGTTTTATAATGGGGATTCTTTTATTTTCGTGAATTGAGGAAAAGTGATATTTTCTTGGATATTTGATTTCATGTTTTTTTGCATAAGTCTACTTACAAGCCTATAGAAATGCATTCTTCAGTGAACATTCAAATTTTTGGATCATCTATACCCACGAAATCCATCAAAATTACTACCCCACAAGTAATAGTGAATCAACAGAATAAAATTATTTTATAAATTTTATAGTTGTTTGCTGACTACCTTTTACGGCTTATGGATAATGTTTCCACTGACTACCTTTATACGACTTACGGATAATATTTCCACTGACTACCTTTGTACAGCTTACAGATAATGTTTCCACTTACTACCTTTGTACGGCTTACAGATAATGTTTCCATATACTGTGGATTCATTTTTATTCGTGGTATACCAATTTTCGTGGGTTTCTTGGATCACAGCGAACCACGAATTTAAGAATTCAACGAAGAATAATCCCGAGAAATGTGTATGGAGTCGGATGTTTATTTCCGGTTATGTTTTGCAGTTTTAGTATAGTGTTGACTAGCGATAAACATTGTAACATAACACGTGTTTTTATTGAAAGAAGATACAAGTATTTTGATTAAATCAATAATAAATATATAGAATATCAGTGATAATTTATTTTTTAAAATTGATTAAAACTGTTCATGGAAAATAACTGCAAGTTGTTAATTACCGTGTCATAGTTTGGTTTACTGGTGATTAAAAATCAATAGGATTAAGTAGGGGATATTGCCCGTAGGTAATATTGTTTATGACAGGAACATTTATTTTCACACCTTTTACTTATATGACTGTTTATTATATCGTGATTAGGGAAATGAGCTTTCAATCATAGAGTTTTTAATGCCTTATAAAATTCCGACAAGAATTTATAAATTGTAAAACAAACAAATAATTAGTGATAATTAGTTGTCTCTGTCCATTATTGTAATAGAAGTTTTCAATGATTACATTAACCTAGAATGACCAAGCGAAAATTCAAAACTTTTTCAATGAATTCCTTCTTTTTTTTGTTTGTTTTATTATTGATCAAACCAAGGAGGTTATATGATCTCCTAAATCAAAAAGAAATCCACGAATAACGTATCTGATTTTTTTTTTTTGTAATCAGCGATCCACGTATTTACGTATACCACGAAACGTCTTTTTTTCTCTATCCACGAAAATTGATACCCACGAAAATAAATTAATCCACAGTAGATGTTTTCCAAACTGATTACACTTTTTCTGTGCAACACAAAATTACATTTTAAAACATTATAAATAATATATGTGTTTAGATTTCTGCAACAATAAAGAAATTGTAAATTTCATAAGTCATTGGTTTACTAGTTGATGATATCACAAAATGAAGTCTTCAAGTCATAATTTCTACTAATTTAAAAGTTCTATTTGTTTTATGTTTCAAGTTGACTGATTAGCAAATCATACTGAAAGTTTATACCTGAGTTGATATATTTCGCCTTTGTATTCCAGCTTTCTTACAGTGATCTTTTATAAGTTCCCTTACTTCCTCATCAGGGGTAGCTAACTTTCCTCCTGGTTTCTCATACCTATACCATCCTTTTCCTAATTTGACAAATAAATAAGTTCAATAGGTTAATAATAACCTTTAAAAAGAAAAAAAAACTGTAAAACATATATTAATTAGTTATCTTACCATGCACATAAAAATTTGTTATGTAGGTTACCATAAAATATAATTTAATTATATAAGTTTTGATGACTTTTTGAGGATTATGAATAAATACACCATGTTATAATCAGGCAAATAGAACAATATAGTAGGGGAAAATAGAAACTGTGCATTTGTCAATTAGAGGAAAATATTCAAATAAAACATTGTATGGAATAGAGTAACAACTGCTGGTTTTTTTAACACTTAAAAAAAAATTGTGAAATTAAAGGAATAGGACAAACTTCAAATATAACAAGGATTACTTTTTTTACCAGAGGCTTTCTGTATGAAAGCAAGGAACTAGAAAAACAATAGAAACAATATTCAGCTGAGCATTTTACATCATATGTATTTCATTTTTTTTTAGTGTTGTGACTTTTATATCTTCTTGTGTATTTGGATTTTTTTCTGTTTGACATGGAAGTAAGAAAACTAGGCCTACACCCAAAATTAAACTCTTTTAGTATGGTATTATATATTTAATACAGTATTTGATATTGTAAATTTTTTCAGAATTTTGAAGTATAAATAACCTGTTTTTCTTCCAAGCCTTCCTTTATCATACATTGTCCTTGCCAATGTGGAAATTCTCTCGCCCATCAGAAACTTAGAATCCACAGTTAATTCTACACCTTTTGATTTTGCCAACTCTGTCTGTATCTTGTAACCAATATCAAGTCCTATAATAAACCAATAGACTTTAAGGTGGATCATCGGTATATATATAGCCTCAGATGGAATTTTCTTATACTTTGCCAAAATGTAGATTTTACCATGCTTTTTTCAAAAAGAATGGATCACCGTGCTATTTTTCAAGCTACAAGTTGGGCAATTTTGCATAGATTATTCAAGAAAACACTTTTTTTGCCAAAAAAAAGAAATCTATGAGAAAGAATTTTGAAATAAAATATGAGAAGATAAGTTTTATAATATGCTTTAAGAAAATGAAAAGAAAAAATGGGGGTCACCCAACTTGTTTTCTTGCTACAAGTGAAAAATGTAAATTTCTTTAACATTCTTTTGGTATAAAACCACTAATTCATAGCCCCATTGCTTTCAATATTAAATTCTGCAATTTCAAGCATTAATGGCTACTTTGTCTTAAGTTCAAATAAAGTGGCAGACATTTCATGTTAAAACTATACCTTATCCTGACTTGTGCTGAAAAAATCAACATTCCTTTAAATGCATATTAGAGCGTACTGGTTCTGGAAGTCAGATAGTACAAAAAACGGTACTTCTAATCTGAACAACAGGGCAAATGTGCCCTCCTATTATAATTTCATATACTTAAATTGTTTATTATTCAAAAGAAAATTTCAACAAGGGTTTTACAGTGATCCCAAGTCCCCAAGCTTTCATTTGATACCAAAACTACCCAAATATTTCACCTATTGACAAAAATACAGCTATGCGTAGGAACTATTTTGTTTAAAATATGTACTACTTTCTTGTATCTTCTTTCCGACCGGGCCTGAATTAGTGGTTCTATATACCTTTTATAAAAAATTTACTATTAGAGCTATCGCCCCTTAAATGGTTAAGTTGAAAAATTGACTGAAACAAAAACAAATATTTCGTATTTGTTAAAACAGTCTAAATAATGCAATAAATCAATTAGTTTTCTTTATTTAAATAAACAGTCTTACACATTAATTGCCAATCTGTCTCAATATTTGCAGATTTAAGCAAAGAACTAGACCGTTTGTGTACTGCTATTTTACAATCCAAGATGGCATATACAGATAATCTACCTTGAATAAAAAAAAACTCTGCATATCTTAAAATGTTCACTTGATTCTTTTCCTTATAATTGTAATTTATGTACCAGTCTTATCTGTACTTGACTGACTCACTAGCCTTGACTGAACCTCACTAGCCTTGACTGAATAAATATTCATTATAACCATAGTTATTTTTTGTGAAATATTCTTATCTGTAAAATTCTATACAACTCTTTTGAAAATATTTTCCTGATGGCTATTTTAAAAGTACTTTTGATTCTCAACCTCATATTGTATAAAGATGAACATGACACCTTTTTATTCTTTTTAGGAAAAAAATCATAGTTTATCAACATAATTTTCAATCATACCACACCTCCTTATTTTTATATCAATGACTTTGTAGTATGGAGTATAAATATTTTTAATGATTGAAAATCTAAAGGCTTCGTTTCTGTGCAACTAGCAAGATAGTACAGTACCAAAACTATACACAGCCTGATTTGTCAAATTTATTTCATAGGAAGTTTTCTAATTATTTCTTAATATTGTGTATAAACTGCTACTGATAAGGGTCTGTGATATTATACTATTTAATGAAACATTTAAATCAAATTATCTATAAAACTTAAGGTTAGGCACCTTGTAGGTAGATTTGGGCATTACCTTGATTTCCAGTAAGTGGCTGTCAGTTTTAAAAGAAAATATGTACCGGTAGACATTCATTACCTGAGAGATCCCCAGTTTTAAATGGTCCCATTGGCATTCCTAAATTTTCCATAACACTATCTACTTCCTGTGGTGTAGAACCTTCTTCAAGCAGAAAATAAGCCTAAAAATCAAATCATCTTCAAATAAACACCTGTCTCTTTTAAGTTCCAGGACAAATATAGAAATAAATTAAAAATTAGACTTGTGAAAAAAATGCACAACCAATTTTCTGTATTGCATGAGTTTTGTGCTATTTTTTTTCTATAATTCTCACTTAAACAGTAATATTTTATAGCTTTTAATGCTTCTTTAAACATAAAACTCAAATTTCTGAAAAAAAATTATTATAGCTGTGAACTCTTTGGTACCAATGATATAAACAAACCTCAACAGCAAAGGGACCTCTCATCCTATTGGCTAGGAATCCTTGACAAGATTTGACCAGTACCGAGACTTTACCAATTTTCCTTCCAACATCCATGATAGTAGCTGCAGTAGTAGGTGAAGTCTGAGTACTATATATATTCTCTAATAATCTCATGTAATAAGCAGGGGCAAAGAAATGCATTCCTGCTACTTTGTCTCCTCGTTTGGTAGCAGTTCCAATCTGTAAAAGGAAAACAAAATTGCAAATTCTGATGTATATCTCATTAGTATATATAGAAAAACCTTGGTCATTTAGAGGATGATATCTGAATATCTGAGAGTGTTATTAAATATTCCAGCAATTTGTTATTATCATTTTTCAATTGAAAAAGAAAAAAAGATGAAAATATCTGTAAGCATATGTTACAGTACAAACTTCTTACAAATGATAATTATTCCTCTTCATATTTCTTAAATATAATTCATCTAATCTATGTAGTACATGAAATTTGAATGTTACAAAACATAAAGACATCTGTAGATAGAAACAAGACAAATAATAGAGATTCCAACGTTTTAAATGCTTCCCAGACTAAAAAATAAAGTTTCTTACCCTATCTATGTCCAGACTAGATGTATTACTGCATAACAGAGTTGTAGGTTTGCACAGCTTGTCTAACTTATTAAATATTTCTCTTTTCAAACTCAAATTTTCATATACAGCTTCAATAACCTATAAAATGAAACAATCTTTAGAGAAAACAATAATCAGTATTGCAATTAAAGAACTACAAACCTATCATACTTATTGTCCCTTTCAAGGATCTTTGATTAAAAATGTATTAACAAAAATATCCTTTTATGTGTTATATCTGATAAAGTTCCAATCTTGTAGGGTTATTCATTTTACACAAATGGGACTCTGAAATATATTTCCTTGTACTACTACAGAATATTTTTAGAATGAATAGTTTGTTTGTATATTTTCAGAAGTAATTTATTTTTGTTGCTTTCTGGTGGAGGGAGGTATTTATTTTTCTCTTGTATTTTTAAAATTTTTTCTGTTCCTGTTTGGTTTTTTTTCCGGACATTTTGTTTGTAAGAATGTGTGCATTTTTTTTCATAAGAAGAAGGTATTTTTGGGGCCTATTAAGTTCTAAAATCAAATGTATTAAAAAAAAATTTCATTATAATACAGATCTTATTGTTAAATTAGTTTACTTCAATAAAGCGTGGTTATTTTTTGTTATCCATATTTCAATTTCATGAATGATACAGCTAAAAAGTAAAAGTTAACTTCACCTTCTCCTAATCTACTTTAGATTGTTGCTTGGATGGCTTGATTGTTGCATACTTAATGTCCAGTGGCAAGGACAAGAACAAATCAACAATTACTGCAATAAGTTGGCAATTTTTTTGGAAAAAAACTATATAGCCTAAGGGGAAAAAAGATCTTACTGTTCAAGACAATTTTTTTCAACAAACCCTCTGTCAAATTATACACATACCAAATCAACATCTGCTAAATCTTCGTATTTCATTGTAGCTTTCAGTAAAGTTGCTGCCTTCTGAGCTACAGCCATTGGTGTTTTCCCTAATCTTACACTTCCTTCAATTATTCCTCGAATTGTCTTCACACCATTTTCTAAAAACTATAAAATAAATACATATAAACTCCAAAAGGATAATTTTTACTATAGCGTAAATATACAGAACAGTTGAATAATTCTATTAGAGATACTGTCATTTCCTATTATGATCAATTATTAATATTTTTGTACAGAAAGCACACAACTTCTTTATCCTGGTAATATTTTTTATCTGTAATCAGTATTTTTTTTACTTTATTCTTTATTTTTACAAAAATATTCTTGATATTTTTGCACCCTATTATTCTCTATTCTTTAATTTTTACCCCCATTTTCCCTATTCTTTACTTTTTTTTATCTCATTATTCATTATTCTGTAAACCCCATCCTGACCCTCATACTAACCTTTTGATTTTGTTCCAATAAGTAAACCTGGTACCCTGCATTCAATAAACAGACAGCTATACCAGTCCCCATGGTACCTGCACCTATTACTGCTGTAGATTTGATAGGTAGTGGTTTGGCTGTCTGAGAATTTCCTCCAGGCATCTTCCACTATGTATACATATAAAAGATTTAACATTATACAATTACAGCCTTGAAAAGAGGGAAAACACGAGATTAATTTTATACAGTATTATTTCTGTATTTCGTTACTTGAAAACTATTCCTCCTCTACCGTTAAGTTTACTGTAGCTAGACACTTTTAAACAGAAAATGCAACTGAACATGTATAGACTATCATATGATATCAAAGAATCAGAGCTTGTTCAGGGGAAATAACTTATTGTTTGATTCAGGGGAGATAATTAACAAGGATACCCACTATCCTACTAATATCTTGTGAAAAATTGTCAATTTCTAATGACAAGTTTTTGTTTTATTCACAAAATAATATAATCTATCAATATATAATCTGTGTAAATATAGACATGAAAGAAGTATGTTTGGTTAGGGCCCTATTTGGGCCAGAATATTAAGTCTATAGTTTCAAAATAAAAAGGATTTCAAGTTGATGAATCGACTTGTAAGAAAGTGAAATAGAAGTATCTTAATTGAAACATATAAGTCAGAGTGACCTTTTTGTATACGTCCAAAGATGTATCAGGGCACATAATTGTAGATAATTTAGAATCTGATATCTGAACTTGGACTTATAACAGCTTAATTTGAGGCTAACTAAAAACGTCATTTCTTTCTATAATAACTGAAGCTTCTGAAATATCTAAGACATATTATGATGATATATATACAATTTAAAGTAAATAGCTGTGAAATTACCCTTGAAACAGCCCTTTCAGAGAAAAAAGCATATCTCTGTGCAGCAGACTGTCCAGATAGCAGGAGTTTTTGCATGAGCATACTTTCTGTCTTTAGCCCCTCTCTGTATGGTAATGTAGCTGATGCCTTTACTGCCTTTACACAATCCTAACAAAACAATAATCAATGTTGACATTGTGAATATGAAAATTAACAGTAAAAATAATTTCTTCATTTAATAATAATATAGGCAACAAATGTACTTTGACTTTTGCTTCTTAAGTAATCTACTCTCTGAAGTCTTAATCGTTCCTTATTTAACTTGATTTTTCTTCCTCAACATCAGGGTTTTCCCAAATCTTGTCATCACAAGCATAAGTGCTTCATGGTTATAGGTACAAGACAAAGGCTGCGTTTAAATCAAGCAGAACCATTTCTAACTATTGAGAATAATATTCTTCAAAAATCATCAATTGAAAAACTTTTAGGTGTTAGAATTGACTCTAATCTGTCCTGGACAGGCCATGTTAATTACTTATGTTCATCAATATCATCCAGACTTCATTTACTCTCTAAAATCAAGAAATTTCTAAATATTGATTCAAGAAAATTGTTTTATAATGGCTATATTCTCCCACTGATAGATTATTGTTGTATTATTTGGAGTGGTTGTGCTAAAAATGAGCTAGTCAGAATAATAAAATTGCAGAAAAGGGCTGCAAGACTTATTTTAGATGCTGATCCACTTTCATCATCAGCTCCACTGTTTAAACAGCTTGGGTGGATGACAGTAGAGAACAGAATCTCATACCACAAATCTGTTTTGATGCAGAAATGCCTTAAGAACGAAGCCCCTGTATATCTCACTGAAAAATTTAAAGAAATGCCAGAAATAAACCAATATTGTTTGAGGAATGCGTCTTGCAAAAATTTACAAGTTCCAAAAGCCAAAACAGAGCTGTATAAGAAATCTTTTGTATATTCAGGATCTATTTTATGGAATAACTTACCAACATCCCTGAAAAAATCAACCTCAAGTACAAGCTCATTCAAAAAAGATTTAAAAAATTACTTGTTGGAACATTAATTTAAGAAGCTGTGTAATTTTATATGTATAATAATTTTTCACACACTTACTGAAACTTAAGATATTGTTGAGGTAATTTGAATGATGCCAATACTATATGAATTTGTAATTTTTACCTGTTTTGAAAATTGTATATTTCATAACAATTTTTATTTCATTTTTTCATATATGTGTGTTTGTTTGATATTTTGTAATTGTTTGTTATATTTCATTGTATTTCATGAGGGCCTCAGGGAAGATTAGTTTTATAGCTAACTGTGTAACCCTCTTTAAATAAAGAATTATTATTATTATTATTATTATTATGCAGTTTCCAAATTTTTTATTAGGTGATCCCTCTTAAATATTTTACTTCTGATCTTATTCCTGGGAAAAAAAAGTTAACCGACCAAAGCTTACTTCATAAGGTATTTGGGACACCAGAAGGTTTTAAGCTATATGATGCACTTAAAATATCTATCTAAAAATAACTAGAGGCTCTCAAGAGCCTGTGTCGCTCACCTGATTCTTCTTTGGTTTGGGAAATCATGTTAAAATAGATTAAAATCATAATAGATACCCTAATAATGAGGCCAAATTTGGTTTAATATTGGCCCTGTAATTTAATAAAAAATCCTGGTGGCCATCTTGAACAATAAATCAGCAACAAAGTAGCAACACTTCATCAGCACCTCATAAGAAACATTTATGCCATGTTTGGTTTCATTCCATTCAGTGCACCTCTAGAAGAAGCATTTGTATGTATTTCCATTAGGGTCTTATGTTAAAGGAAGTCCCCCCGATGGCGGCCACCATGGATGAAGGATCAGCTTCAAAGTAACAACACTTAGTCAGCACCTCATAAGGAACATTCAAGCCATGTTTGGTTTCAATCCATTCAGTGGTTCTCTAAAAGAAGACATTTGTATGTATTGTCCATAGGGTCCTTTGTTAAACACTGTCCCCAGTTGAAGGCCATCTTGGATGATGGATCGGCTTTAAAGTAACAACACTTGGTCAGCACTTCATAAGGAACATTCATGCCATGTTTGGTTTTATTCCATTCAGTGGTTCTCTAAAAGAAGACATTCGTATGTATTTCCCATAGGTCCTATGTTAAACTAAGTCCCCTGCTGGCGGCCATCTTGGATGATGGATCGGCTTCAAAGTAACAACATTTGGTCAGCACCTCAAAAGGAACATTCATGCCATGTTTGATTTCATTCCATTCAGTGGTTCTTTAAAAGAAGACATTTGTATGTATTTCCCATAGGGTCCTATGTTAAACTAAGTCCCCCCTGGCGGCCATCTTTGATGATGGATCGGCTTCAAAGTAACAACACTTGGTCAGCACCTCATAAGGAACATTCATGCCATGTTTGGTTTCATTCCATTCAATGGTTCTCTAAAAGAAAACATTTGTAAATATTTCCCATAGGGTCCTATGTTAAACTAAGTCCCCCACAGGCGGCCATCTTGGATTATGGATCGGCTTCAAAGTAACAACACTTGGTCAGCACCTCATAAGGAACATTCATGCCATGTTTGGTTTCATTCCATTCAGTGGTTCTCTAAAAGAAGACATTTGTATGTATTTCCCATAGGGTCCTATGTTAAACTAAGTCTCCCTCTGGCGGCCATCTTGGATGATGGATCGGCTTTAAAGTAACAACACTTGGTCAGCATCTCCTAAGGAACATTCATGCCATGTTTGGTTTCATTCCATTCAGTGGTTCTCTAAAAGAAGACATTTGTAAATATTTCCCATAGGGTCCTATGTTAAACTAAGTCCCCAGCAGGCGGCCATCTTGGATTATGGATCGGCTTCAAAGTAACAACACTTGGTCAGCACCTCATAAGGAACATTCATGCCAAGTTTGGTTTCATTCCATTCAGTGGTTCTCTAAAAGAAGACATTTGTATGTATTTCCCATAGGGTCCTATGTTAAACTAAGTCCCCCACTGGGGGCCATCTTGGATGATGGATCGGCTTCAAAGTAAGAACACTTGGTCAGCACCTCATAAGGAACATTCATGCCATGTTTGGTTTCATTCCATTCAGTGGTTCTCTAGAAGAAGTTCAAAATGTAAAAAGTTAACGACGACAACGACGAACGATGATGACGGACTATGACGATGACGACGACGACGGACGCCAAGTGATGAGAAAAGCTCACTTGGCCCTTCGGGCCAGGTGAGCCAAAAAACAGTGGACTGAATAACATCAAATCCTCAGTCTCTACAATTTTTAGAATACTTATTGATTGTGTATTTGCATTTTATACCACTTTCAGCACTATTGGTTTTATCATGGTAGCCAGTCTATATTGATAGTGGAGGCTTGAGTACCCGTAGAGAACCACACACTTCAACAGGAAAACTGGCAATCCTAGTCAATCCAAGATCAGAACAATTTTTAGAGTAACAAACATGACTAAATTTGATCATTATTGCATGCTGGTATTGTGTCTACTTACTATGGGAGCTTCAAATCCTTTGTATTTCCTCTTCACCAATGACATAAATTCTACAAAGATATGGCATTTTATAAAAGAAGGCTACAGTGCAAAATTGAATATACAAAGTACAGTCATAGAAAGACACTCTGTTCCATTGATTATTTTTTAACATTATAGATACTACCATAAACATATACAGATGTGGATCCAGGATTTTGAAAAAGGGGGCCCAGAGCCCCAAACAAGGCAACATTTTGAGTGGAACATTCAAAAAGTCTATGCATTAACCATATATGTAGCTCCATAAAGGGGAGGCTGGGCACTCTGGTCCCCCTAATTAAACCTGGGATTATGTAAGACTCAGAAGTGCTATGGTCTATGTGACTCGTGATTGCTAGTTTAAAATCTTTAGATGAGCAATTTTTATGAAAAATAGATTTGTCTGATCATTTAGAATATAAATTAAGAATTTAGAATGGAAACCGGGAATGTGTCAAAGAGACAATAACCCAACCAACGAGCAGAAAACAGCTCAATGACACCAATGGATCTTTAACTCAGAGAGAAATTCCTGCACCCAGAGGAGGGCTGCAGCTGGCCTCTAAACAATAATGTATACTAGTACAGCAAAATAGAAGCCACACTTTGCATTTATTATTGTCCATAAAACATTGATGGCTTTTTGGTATCAATGATATGTTGGTGTTTTGTTGAAATAAAAGAATTGGTAAAAAAATTATCATCCTGCAATAAGCCTGTTTACCATACAAATTGGAATTATGTGATAATGGAATACTGTTGGAATATCACTCTGTTAATACTATAGTTTCATCTTTAACTTGAATGTACATGTCTTCAAACAGTAATAGGAATTTGAAATACAAGAAATATTTCATATAATGTATAACAGGGTCCCTTATTACAGTTTCATACTAAATGAGGGATTGTCCTATTCAATTTTGCTGCATACTCTCAATGATTTTCTTAAAACCTAAAAAGCTGCTTTTAACAAACAAATTGACGTCTACATCGACATGTGAACATAAAAAACATTGAAAATATAGTTTATGTAATCCATCAAAATTCAGCTTTACCACCAACGCACTTTGGCGAAGTTATCAACAAGAAAGCGTTACAATGCCACCATCTCAATTTGGCATAATCAAAATCACACTTCATCTTTAAACCATCACACTTCAGCGTAACCATTGCGGTTCGGAGTACCAGCACGGTTCAGAATCCTACATATATCATATATATATATATATATCAGATGCAGATCCAGGATTTTGAAAAAAGGGTGACCTGGGCCCCCAAACTAGACAATGTTAGGAGGAGAACATGTAAAAAGTCTATGTATTCACCTTATATGTAGCTCCATAAGTGCCCTACCCCCCTCCCCCCAATCCGCCCTCTGGCCTGCAACAAATGTTTTTTTGTGGTTAAACTTGGTTTGTATCTTTTCTAGCATATCATTATTGACATTTTATGTTAAGCTATCTGTTTATGATAGACCATTGATATTTAGTATTCTTTTAGATGCATCCATAAAAAACTTAAACACAGGAAGTATATATCATGTATATGGTGAAGACACTTTAAATTCTAACATATATTCAAAAGTGTTCTATAGAGGTGTGTTTATATAAAGAAATACTGAAGCCATTAATATAGATATGCTATTGGCTCAACTACATGCTTTTCAATCCTAAACATTTACAGAGGCCTAAATTCCTCAGTTAAACTAGTCTTTACATTCAAATGTTATATTTTTTGGGATAACTAATAGTTGTTTTATGAAAAAAAAATCAACAATTTTTAGAAATGCTGTCACATCAGCCTTAAAATGACACCTTAAAAGCCTTCTTTCTAAGAACATTTTTTTTCTTTAGAGATGTTTCACTAAACTTGTATTAATTGCATAGTCGAATGTACAAAATTATTACAAGTGAGTTTCACCAGCACATTGGTACTTATTGATTTATATAGTTTTGAAAAGCAACATAACTTATACTTTAGTTAAGTATCTGACCTGTCTTACATAAACAAGTCCAAATTGAAAACAACGTTCAAACCTATGATTGTGTTGGAAAAAAACTGCAATTTTTATATGTGTGCATGCAAAACAAATTTCTTGTTAGAGGGGTCTAAATACAGCACAAAAAACATTTTCCAAGAGACCAAAAAAGTGAAAAAGTATATTTTAACAAAACGCATTTGACTAACAGGTCGAACAACAAATGTTCTTAAACCCTGCTGACTGCCATTGGCGTTTGCCAAATAAACGGATCACTGATGTAATAAATGAATCTTAATAATAAATTTAATACTAAACAGAAAATAATAAACTTTCGGAAAAGATGGTATACCGCAAACAAAAGGTGCAAAGGTTTTTGTACACCATATCTGGATTTCGACAATTAATGTCTCTTCAGTGATGTTAGGAATTGAAACGGTATTTGGAAAGCCATACAATTTACCTCAATTTAGGATAGACTCTTGAATTTTGAGGAGTCAAAATAGGATGAACAGATCATATAAACCAGAAGGCAAATATAGTACAAGCCCAAACGAAAAAATATAAACAAGTCTAAATTGAAAACAACGTTCAAACGAAAAAATATAAACAAGTCTAAATTGAAAACAACGTTCAAACCTATGATTGCGTTGGATAAAAACCACAATTTTTATATGTGTGCATGCAAAACAAATTTCTTGTTAGAGGGGTCTAAATATATATACTGTTCATTGGAATCATTTTTTAATTGCCATTTTTATCAGGTAACAGATGATCCAATTAACTTACCATCAGCAATTTGATCTGCCTGGTCAGCATCCTTTACAATTTTGTTCATCAGGCATCTGTCCTCTAAAGGTTTGTTCATCACAGACTTGGCAAACTTTATTCCAGCATTTATAACATCTCCAGTAAACATCTGTCAATGATAGACATGTATACAGGTACACCATGGTTATCACAGGTAAATTCATTTGTAGATGTAGTGCAATTTTTAAGTTCTTCACTTTCATTTAATGACGAAGCCCTAATTATCATAGAGTAAACCAAAATACTGGTCCTCAAATTTCATTCTCAAAAACAAAAGGCCTTTAAAAGCAATCTCCAACAACTTCTTTTAAATTCGGCAAGTTTTGCAGGATTTTGCACATCTGGTTCATGCATATCTTAAATATAACAGTAAAAATTTTGCAAGCACAAAGATTCCAAAAATATTGTTAAAAATGTTTTTAAAGAGCTACAAAACTATCTACTTAGACCTAGCATTATGTTCCATAGACAACACTTGCCCAGGGTAATGTTTGATTACTTAAAATTATACCATGTGTTCTATCAAATCTTTGTTTACTTCACAACAAATAATATATCATGTTTCTTAATGGTCAATTCATTAAGACATGACTTTTTAAAAAGTTTTACAAAGTAGTTTTTCATACATGTTACCATAATTATTGCATGTCAAATTTGAACATCAAATGGCAAGTTTTAGTCTATCGATGAATAAAAGGAGGGGTATATATATCAATGATATTGTCAACAACACAAACAAAACAGAACAGATGTATTAAGGTCAACATACATTCAACAATATATGTAATATGCAAGTTTCTGTACCACAAGTCAAGTTCTAAACTTACTTTGATGGCCTATAGTTTTTAACTTCATTTGGTCTCATTGGCAATCATACCACATCTTCTTATTTTTATATTGGTCAAAAAGAGTTGTCAATAAATTAAATTCAGAAAATTGTCATTTCTGTTTCTTGTTTCGCACTCTTGAACAAGAGGAAATGACAGACTTCTTTCATTCCTGAAAAATATCTATTTCTTAAATACTGAAGAGTATGAAAAAATCCAAGATTACTACAGATGAGTCCGTTATACAAAAACATTGAGAGCACTTTTGACCATGTGACTGAACATTAATTACCTCATCAATGATACCATACTTAAGAGCTTCTGGGGCAAATATATGTCGACCAGATGTAATCATATCCATGGCAACACGTAGACCTGTTAACCTTGGTAGTCTCTGAGTTCCTGCAGCACCTGGTAGTACACCTATCTGAACCTCAGGGAAGCCTACCCTGCAATTAAAAAAACATTTGTTGATTCAGATGTTCATAAACTGACAGCACAAATGATTGACTTATCCAGCTTGAGAAACATTTGCCATAATTGACACAATCATCATATTCTTTTATGGTATCTTTTCTTTTAACTAAATGCATTATATCATTAATGGGGATTTGACTTTTACGAATGCAATGTTAATGCAATACTCTTAAAATGTTCAAAATTTAACATTTCAAATATCCTGTAAACATCACCTGTGATTGCGCAAACATTGTTGCAAATGACTCCTATCGTCAGCAGAAGAGTTGATGGCACTCATCATCCAATCAAAATTGGCTTTACATACCTAATGGCATCAGACTTCTTATTCCCATCTTTTCTACACAACTTTACAAATTACAGACAACATTGTAATGTTTGTTCTGTGTGTACATATATATATTGTAGTATGAGAATGCACTCTCTAGTCATTTTTTGGCATTCAGGGGCCTAACAATATGTTAAAGTAATATTTTCAATATGTGAGTAGCAGGGATTATAAATGCTGAACCTGTAATTACTTTGGTTCTGAATAAATAAATTTTATTCAAGAAGTATATGAACTTACCGTGCAGTTTTCTGTGCAATCCGATAATGGCAGAACAAAGCACACTCTAAACCTCCTCCCAAACATGTCCCATGTATAGCAGCAACAACAGGTTTCCTTGTTTTCTCTAACTTTTCAAAAACAAGTGTCAACCAGGGTTCTAAAAAATGTATAGTATGAACAAGTGATGTTGTGACTACTGCAATATTGAAATAGTTTTATAAAGGGTCATAAAGGGAAATGCACTTTTCAACTGAGTTCAAAGTTTGAGATGCTTCATATTCACTCAATTACAATCCGACTCAATGTTATATCAAGACAATGTTTCATTTCTGCGAGCAGCAAGACAGACATATAAACTCCTCACAACAAAACAATTTATTGAATAAATGTACTGCTAACTGTAATGTCCAGTTGTTGTTGAGGAACAGACCTAATTCTATCAACTTAACTCTTGCTTGAAATTGAGGTAAAGGTCATTAAAAGTATGTCAGACAAACATAAAGACCTTGTAACAATTTCATACTACCTGTCATGCAGTATAAGCCACTGAGTAACATACACAATCCTTGATAACCTCATCTACTTACTAAAGCATAAAAGAAAGTCAAAAGATAACCCAAATTGACATTTGTCAAACAGACAATTTCCTCGCATTTCATCTATTCACCAAAAATTGTTGAACTTTCATGTAAATTTACTAAGGAACAGATCTAATCTTGAAAACTGTTAACCACTAAGAGGACTTATACATGGAAGGACATTGCTGACTAACCAATATAAAAAAAATGAACTACAACCTGCTCACCAATAAAGACAAATTTAATTTTGATGGTATAATGCAAATGTTGAAATTAAAATGGATATATTTAAACCAGTAAACTATGCAAATCATTCAAATTCAATGAATTATGACTGAAGGTACATGGCCAAATAACCTCCATTGAAATGTGAAATGCCGATATAAAAATAAGGAGATGTGGTATATGATTACCAATGAGACAACTATCTACCCAAGTTCAAATGAAGTGGATATAAGCAATTAAAGGCAACCATATGGCCTTCAACAATGAGAACAAGAGAGCACACGCTGAAATGTCTCGCCTACTTTACTACCATTGATTTTATGTTGATAGCCCTAAATATAAAGTTTTACTACAAGTATCACATTAACTTATCATGATCTAAGGAAATGAGGTCAAGGTCAGATAAACCAAGCCAGAAATACATGTACACCTTACAATCATTCCATACATTGAATATAGTTGACCTATTGCTTAGTATACAAGAAACAGACCAAACCATGAAAACATTATATTGACCAATAAACCATGAATATGAGGTCAACCTTTTTACATTTATGTATACCTTTTACTCTATCAAATGATTAACTAATAAAATATTCTTATATTCTATTGAATAACATTCACGTACCTCACAATGAGGTCGGGTGGGGGGAGGGTATATAATTATATCCTGATTATCTGTTAAAAAAATGTATTGCTACATGTATTTAAAAGAAAATCATTCTGATTATTTCATTCGATTCAATTAAAATTGTTGAAAAAATAATCACTTTTCCGCGATAAAATGTCATTACAAAAAAAAAAAAACACATAGCACCTCCCCCTTTCCATAAACTAATTAAGTTGGTACAATACATTACTTACAAAGTGTCTTGTATTTTTCATACACCGTTATCAGATGGTAACAATTCATGTGTGTCTTACTTCATGCAGATACAGTAATATTTTTATTGTGTATGGTTAATAATTTCTTAGGTTTATATCTATATTAATTAGTGAGTTTTACTTCACATTCTAAATGAGCCGTAGGGCGTATTAAAACCTGAACGCATTAGAAAGGAATATCCCATTTTAGTGTGGTCGGTAAAATAGGATGCTAAATTTTGCAAATCTTTATAAAAAACAATATTTTTTTACGGTATATAAGTCAGATAATGCATATTTTAAGGTTTTTCTTGTCGTAGAACACACCTCGCGGTGTCAGGATTGCCCAAAGAAAGACCTCCCTACCTCGGTGTGTTCTAAGACAAGAAAAACCTTAAAATATGCATTATCTATAACAGATATAAATTAAACCAGTCACCAAAGTTTCATGAAAACTGCTCAAAGTATTTTTAAGTTATTGTCTGAAAACTAGAAAATCCCCCTTTTTTATGAATAAAGTCCCAATACTCCTAAATGTAAAATCAGAAATTTAAAAAAATCGAAAGGGAACTTATCTCAATATATATATAAACAATTCACCAAAGTTTCATGAAAATTGTTCAAAGTAATTTTGAGTTATAGTCAGAAAACTGGAAAATCCCCCATTTTTAATGAATAAAATCCCATAACTTAGAAACGTAGAATCCAAAATTTATAAAAATCAAAAGGGAACTTAAGTCAATAGATATCAACAATGCAACAAAGTTTCATGAAAGTTGGTTAAAACATGTTTGAGTTATTGGCCGACATGTTGATGACGGATGGATGGACAACAGTATATTATAAGACCTGTAAACGGGAGTATAAAAATTGGCTCTAAAAGGGAGCTAACTTTCTGCTTGCAATTTTAACAGAGTGCTAAAATTATATGAAAATCAAATAAGGTAACTTTGAGTAATTGTATAAAGTGTATATGAACAGACAGACTTTTAAAATTATAGTCAATGCTAAATCAACAAATTAAATTAAATCCTGAAACCGAAATAGGAGGTTGAAATATTGCTTACAAATTTTAAAGGCACTATATATAGTAAAAATTGCACCTCCATTTTTCATAGGAAATATCCCATAGCTCTAAAGCAACAGTTCAGTCAATCAGTAAGCAAGGAACCCCTCACACTGCCTTAAAACTTCATGGAAATTATTCAAAGCATTTATAACTTATGGAATGAAGTTTGTATCATAATACATTACACAGACAACAGGCTTATACAAAGACATTCCTAAAACTAAGTCAATCTTATTATAATATATCCATTATTTTGTTCTATACTATTCAGCAACACTTTCATAAAGTAATAAGTTAAATTCAAACAGATTTTTCTAATACATCAAGTATTTTCTTTGTTTTAGTATCTTTATGAAATTTACTTTGAAAAAAAAATATTTACTAGCTTCCTACCTTTATGAGGTTGATCAAATTCACGAATATCTGCTCCTGCTGGGAAGGTTCTTCCTTTTCCACAGATTACAATAGCCTTTACATTTGTGTCTTGAATAGCTTTATCAATAGATCTATCTAATCCCACTCTCACATTATGACTAGAAAATTAAATAAAAAAAATTTAGAACTATTGATTTTTACACATATTTTTTTATGTTTTATTTTGTACACAAAAATACTTGCCAGAGAAAAAATAAACAGGTTTATTGAAAATTTTCCATATGATAAATGCACCAACATTTTCAATAGTTCTTTGAGCACTTTTTTTTGTCGTAGGTTTCTTGAAAATCTACAATAATATGTACACAACATCTAGATAACTTGTGAAAAAAGACACAGAGTATATCTAATATAAAGTACACAAATTTGCATTAGAAAAAATCATGAAGAGAAAATAACACCCACTGATTATATTTCTGGTTCTTGGACATGGACATATGGAGGGATTACACTGATTAGATTTCTGGTTCTATGACATGCACATATGGAGGGATTACACTGACAAGATTTCTGGTTCTTTGACATGCACATATGGAGGGATTACACTGATTAGATGTTTTGTTCTTGGACATGCACATATGGAGGGATTACACTGATTAGATGTTTTGTTCTTGGACATGCACATATGGAGGGATTACACTGATTAGATTTTTTGTTATTGGAAATGCACATACATGGCATATGGAAGGATAACACTGATTAGATTTCTAGTGGTTGACATACACATATGGAGGGATTACACTGATTAGGTTTTTGGTTCTTGGACATACACATATGGAGGGATGACACTGCTTAGATTTTTGGTTCTTGGACATACACATATGGAGGGATTAATTACACTGATTAGATTTCTAGTTCTTGACATACACATATGGAGGGATTACACTGATTAGGTTTTTGGTTCTAGGACATACACATATGGAGGGATTACACTGATTAGATTTCTGGTTCTAGGACATCACAAATGGATAGATTACACTAATTTTGCCAGTAAAAACAATCCTCTTAGTGGAAGGCAGGAGTTTGGTGTAACACTTGATTCAGTTGGATGAAGGGTAAATACCCCTGAAGGGACATCAGGAGGCCCCTGGCCAAAAATAGGACTTGAGGGAAGTTTAAACATCTAAAAGCAGTTAAACAACTGCTCATTATAGCATCTTTGTTAAGTATAAACCAAACACTAACAAAAATTTGGTACGATTAATCACAAATTTTTGTTAAGTTTATTTTTTTGCAGATAGTTTTTGCCCTTGAGTTATGAGTACTGTCAGGTTCCTTTGCCTCAATTTTCAAAGACAATTTTGTTCCCCTCTGAATGTGCATGTATGGTAAAAAATCTCAAAATGCGTTTCATTGCATGACAGAATTTATATTTTGATATTTAATCCATTTGAAATTTGGGTTCTTTGGTTAAATTGAAATTTGACAAGTCTTCATTGCTATATGGATGGAATATTTTTTGAAATTTTTTCTTCTGACTTCAAATTTATACATGATTTGGTCCTACTATGCAACTACACGTACAATCCAAATTTTACTATTGATCTTATTTAGAATAGAAAGATGATAAATAAAACTTTTTTCACAAGTCATTTTAATGTTTGAACATTTTTAATTCCATTTTAACAAAGTCATGGTAATCAAAATGTTCTGGAATCAAATGATTAGTATTGTGACAAAATAATCACTGATTTGATTGACATCTGCTCATTTGTCATCTCAATAATTGATGAGAGGAAGAAATAAAGCAAAGATTTAAATAATAGAAATAAAAGACAACACAAATATTTTTTTGCTCATAGCTTGCAAAATATGCATATATGGTTGTAGATTGCTTAGTTATATCTCCAAAGCAAGACAAAGTTTGAATGGTTGAAATACTGACTCCTGAGTGTACTATAGTCACAAATTTTGCATGGGTAACTTTTAATATCAAAAGAAAGTAGACACCCAAAACAGTGAAGAAAGTTTTAAGAATATCACTGAAAGCAATATATCTAAGGAACTTGATCTGTGTCAAATAAATTCATGCCTTCCAGTACACTCTCATTTAGTTTTTTGAGGCATTGTATGAAAATTTTGACTTTAAATTTTCAACTGTTTTGCACATGACCAACCGTTCTCAAATTCAAACATTCAATAATCTGGCCAGATTCAAGATTGAAACAAAAAGAGATTAATATTTGAATTACCTGAATGCATTGACTGGTGGGTTGTTCACTTCTAAGACAGCAACCTGTCCATGTACTGAGTAATCCACCATCTTCCTAATTATTGTACAGGTTAAACTTTGTCAGTCACTTCAGGTAGACAAACTTCACTGATAACAAACATCCTACATTATGAACCCTGAAAGATAAAATGACTATTGACCAAGGTAAAAATAAAGTTAGCATTATTTAATCATAACTTGAAGACTCACACACAACATGCACAAGAGGAACCACAAACTAAATAAATTAAAGGTATACATGTCTATGTAAATATTTTATCACATGTGTATTTCAGCATATAAATAAAGAACCAATAATTATCATATTCATGATAAAGTAATGCAGTTATACTCAATGAACTCTAGTTATCTCAAAATTAACAATAGAAATATTAGTCTTGACTAAGTTCCTAAATTTTATAAATTTCAAATTGATATATTACACCAAAAGTCCTACCTTTGGAATATTTTCACCTTTTCCATACAGGATACATCAGAAATCAAGAAAAGTTAAGTTTTTAGTTCAAGATCGCCTTGAGGGGGGTAAAAGACACAGCGTAATACATAATATACTTAAAATCCAATCAAATTAACAATGATTAAGGTAGATAAAATTAAACAATATCTTGATTTTTCGACCGATTGGATAACCTGCATGCATACAATCACAACAATATCATGCACTCCTTTACGGCTTAAGTACCAGGTAAATTAAGGAACAATATAGTAAGTAGTTTAGGTGTCAGACCACCAATTCAAAAATCCAATATAATCAACCAATTTTTTTCAATTTTCACTTATACTTAATAATGTGTTGACTTTATCGTATTTTATTATGCCTACATATATTTCTAACAATAGCACTAGCCCTTAAACCTAACCATAATCTAAAACAAACAGATAAGTACTGTACAGGGTCCCCTAAAAGTCATAACTGCCCTAATGCTACCCTGGTAGCAACCACTCCTCTTGTGTGGGAGGACATGTGCTACCAATCCCTGGCAAGTCCAAACATTGTTAATAGCTGCTCTCCAACAAGCAACTTTTAGGAGTAAGAGCAAAGACTGGTCAGCTGAAAGCCAGAATAATGTGTCCAGGTAATGTGACATATCAATATCTTCCTACAGACTGTCACCTTGTGAACTAGCATGTTTAAAATCTGACACAGTGTGTCAGTCTAGCACAATGCAGGATTAATATATTCATATCGCATTACATTCTTATGAATCATCACTAGATGTTCAACACAAATCCAACATCATCATCCACCAAAGTTTATGAAGACCATGATTATTCTCTCAAGGAATTTATCCTTCTATAAAAATCCTTGATTGGGTACCAGGATTGCTTCCCTTGCATAGTAGCTACTTAGCCTGCCGTAAGAGATTGAACTAGGGAAGTAGTTCTTTAACTCAGTTGGTTAGAGCATTAACTTGTAACACAGAGGTCCCAGAGGAGACAATGTGATTTTCTAATAAGAATCATGCTCTCTGTTCACATTTGGCACCCAACTAAAAAATCTGGTTAAAGATGAAATTTAGCCAGAGTATGTCAGACATGTGAAAGAGTTGTCAAGTCACAAATGGAGATTTGAAAATTTTGAGTTGGAGTTTGGGCCTCATAACAGGAGATTGTTTATCAACATTTTTGTCAATATTTTCAGTGTTTATTTAGATTATAAAGCAACATATTTCCACCCCCTTTTTTTTTTAGATAAGAGTATTTCTTTTAATGTATGCTCTTAACAAGATAAATGTAGAACTCAATTTTGACTTTTTCATGTTAAAAATTTCTTTGAACTCGTTTTGACTTAATGGAGAAAAAAAATGAATTTACAAGCATTTTTATAAATCAGTTATAAATCATGTAAATATAAAATAAGTAAACAAAAATATAATTTACATGAACTGTTAAAATTTCACTATCTAGTCACCTCCATAATAAACTTTACTATTGGTAATTGATTTGTTTTATATGTAATGTTAAGATTTCTCAAACAATTTTCAATTTTTGTATTTGTCCTAAAGAGTAAAATCATCTAATTACCATTCTTATATAATTCTTTCTTTAAATTATATTTCATTTATATTTTTACCAATTTACATTATTTTAAGGAGTGTAACTTGAAAAACAAGGGAAGTAATGTCAGCATACGTTTATTCCGGCATGCAGATTTTCCAATGAGAAAATTTACACTAGTGTTGTCTTTCTGTAAATAGTGTGAAACAGAACACACACCCATGTAAATTTTTTTTATTTTGATTATCAATTATAGAGTTCTCAATTATAAATTCCTTTAAGTTTTTCCATGCACTAGGTAATTTCTTTGTGTACGTCATTGTCTTATTTCTTTGAAGAATAACTTCAGCCAAATGCAGATAACATAAATTATCCTTTGTATATTTGTGTATAATTTTACCAGGATAAATTACACTAGTGTAAAATTTCCACATGAAAATTTATTTTTACATGCTGATTTTGATATTTTTCTTACCTATTTTTTTAACCCCCAAAAAAGCCCATGCCACATTTTTTTTATAGTCCCCCTAAAAAACACTTTTTAATATGAGTGTTTTGGATACACAAATAAACAAAGGATGATTTACACTAAACATTGAAACCTATAATGTATAGTGCAATTATTCTCTGGAAATTATACACTGGTGTATTAAGGTTCATGTGGACCCTTCGTCTAAAATGGCTGCATTTTCACCTCAAAATTTACTCTGAGTACAGGCAAACCTGTGCATCTGGAAAAGTTTTAAGGCATAGCATGCCCTAGATAAATAAAATTCAAATATATTTTATGTTTTAGAAAATTAAAAACTTAACCGGATTTTGCAGTGCACTTTTTTTCATTCCTCCAGAAGGTGCCAAAATAAACTAAGTTGGGAAAGTGGTTTGAGAACTTCCCCACAGGTAATAATTGAAGTGAACTGTTTTGATTGACATGGACAATAGATGGACAATAGATACCTGACAATAATTGGTGATTTAAACTGTGTACCTGAGTGGACCATATCAAGTGAAACTCAACTGTTTGTTAATTTTATCATCTTCTGCAGGAACGAAAAAAAGTGCACTGCTAAATCCAGTTAAGTTTTAAATTTTCTAAAACATACAATGCATTAGAAGTTTATTTATCTAGGGCATGCTATGCCTTAAAACTTTTCCAGATGCGCAGGTTTGTCTGTACTCAGAGTAAATTTTGAGGTGAAAATGCAGCCATTTTAGCCAAAGGGTCCACATGAACCTTAAACTTGTCCTAATTAGCTCTGGAAAAAATACAATGGCCGAGGGAATACACTGTTACAAATCATGTCTGGTAATTGAGTTGTGAGAGTCAAAATGATATGTCAGATGATTCTTGTGGGGGAAGTGTGATGGGATTGCTTTCCTTGCATAGTAGATACTTGGCTAGCTGATATCTGTTGAGCCAGGGAAGAACTTCAGACTTCTGAAGCTTAGTCAGTTATGATAAGAATGAGAATCATGCTCTCCGGTTACAATTGTCTACGAAAGGAACAAATACAAACATGATTAAGTTTAAAAACATTTAAAAGAAGCAATCAAAATCAACTGAACATCCAAAATTTACTTTGAGTCTTCTTTTTTTGAGGGGGGTATTTCATTGACTTCTCTTAAACCCTGCATCTTTTTATATCATCACATTTTATAAATTTTATATGTAAATAAAACTTGTGAAAATATGCATTTTAGACCTACAATATAAAAAAAAAATGCTTTAAAAACTGGATTCGTTTGGCACGAAAATAACAAACTTTTCCAACCAACTTTCAAAATAAAATTAAGTAATTTATCCCGTGTACCAGTTTAAATACAAAAGTTTATTTCTATCGGCCTTATCTTGGAAAGAGCATTTTACAGATCCATATGTTTTATAAAATACATATAGGTATTCTCATTTAATTGAATATTTGCAAAAAATTGATTTATTATTGTATAATGTAAGATAAGACACCTAAACGGACGGATCATGAATTTAGCTATTCAGTTTCGCTTTCGCTTTTCTAATTTTAGAAATGGCTGACAATGCACTAAACAGAGACTCATTTCACAAAATAACAGAAACAAACAAACCCGACACTACATCAAAGGCAGTTTTAGTTTCAAGATTTTCGAAGGAAGTTACTGATTTCAGCAGTCAATATGGGAGTGAAACAAGTATTTCTTACACAGTTAGCAACCTAGCTGGAAGGAGTAACATATTTCCTGCTTATGGAGATTTTACACAGGCTGCTGTTTTCGTAAGATTTCCAAAAATTAATTGAATTTTTTATCATTCAAAGTAGATTTAAATAATTCCATAAAATTGATTATATCAATACAGATTAAATAGACGACTTTTGAAAGTGTGCGCTTTCCTGTAGGTTTCCTATGTCATAACACATATGTTATTACTCACAGTAAGAATAAATTGTTCAATGACCTCATTTACACCGATTGACCTCATTTACACAGATTGACCTTGGGGCAACTAGTGTAACTCATACATAAAAAAACAACTCGAGATTGGTATATTATCTATACTTATTAAACGAGAAGACCTCATTTTGTGTGTCGCGTCTCTTCCTTCCACAATAAATTTATCATCATGCCTCTGTGTCCTATAGGTACCATGCATAGTCGCATTTGTCATCCATTCTTATGATTATTCAGTTTGGGTTATTTTGGGCGAAAACGAAAATAAAGGCGTCCGGATATTGTTTCCGTAATCAGACCGACTTTTAAGTCATACAAGACAGGGACTTTCTATAGTATAGAAAGTCCCTGTACAAGACTTCCGGTTTTAAACTTGCACATAATTTTCAAAAGTACTCGGGGACAGGACAATTACTTTCGCTTTTATCTGCATGTATACTATGATTTTACTACTATAATATATAGAGTCTCTATATAATATAGCAGTGATCGCCGTGGAGAAGAAACTTGGAATTGATAGGTAATAGCAAATACACTTTATTTATAATATACATATGTTCATAGTATATAGAAACACGAACTGAATAATGGAATTCAACAGAAAAAAAACGGACATTGGGAAAAAGGGAGAGGGCTTAAAAAAATTGTCCTGTCTCCAAGTACCTATGACTTTTGATACCTTTTCTGAAATTCTCCAGACATAAAATCTTTTACAAAAATTCATCCTTCAACAGTTTACATACTTTCAATTAAGCTTTAAATGTCCGCAATTTCGCGGGTGTGTTCTAGTAATACCAGTAGTAGTACAACATAAACGTGCTAAATCTGTTAATTGCCATTCATAGACCCACCAGGTGCCTTAGGTATACGTTCGGCCTAATTACATGTTCCCCCAGTGTTTGTTTGCTCACAGAATGCCTTTGCCCTGGGTTTCGTTAGCCCTATTTATAAAAAATATATATTACACATGTAGTGTTAACATGGTTAATGGGTGTATAGATTTAATTTTAAAGACTTGATTGTCATTTAGAATTTTGATTAGGTATAATTATGATGTCTAATTGATCTCACTAGCTGTTGTATAATAATTGTCTTGTGGTAAAATATTGAAAAGAATATTGTAAAAACAGCTTGGCTCCTTTGATCTGACATGTCTGAAGTGTGTTTTGACAAATTTTTTATATATGGACATGATGGAAGTGGGTTATGTATTGAATGATTGTTAAAATGCATCAATAAAGATAAATACATACAGATAACTTGGTCTTCAATTGTTTTATATTAAATACCGGCCTTATATTCCTGTACACTTCAGTGCAAATTAAAGGAAAATAATTATCTGGTAGCAGCAATACAATATAGATATTTGACGAAATTTTTAAGACTTTAACATACTCTATTCAAGTAATATTTTATACTATTATTTGTGAAACAAGACAACAACATAAAATAAAAATTAGGGCGAATGGACCAAGGGTGAATGGACTTCTTCTTCTTGGATATGACTTCTGAACCATTCAATAACCTATCAGAAGGGAGAAAACATTATGGGAGTGCTGCTTGTATTTCCAGTAAGGATTTGGCTAAGAAATGAAAACTAATTCGGTTTATTCCACACTCCCTATGAACATGTTTAGATTTATCCTTTTAGGGCTTTTCTTTTCTTAAAAATGTTAGTTTATTTGAAGGCTTAGGCCCTGTCCCACTGCTTACCTATGCTAAATAATTGTACCTTCCAATCAACAAAGATGTTCTGGAAAGTTGACCAACACAACTGTGAGGGAATGAGTCATCTCCCATTCACATGGATGGGACTCTGTTGTACCCAGGGGGTTAACCAAGACTTCCATGACCTGCAGATATCCCTACTTATGGCTGTCCTGTACTTGGACCAGCTGGGGTTTCCCCTCCCTACTTCTAGCTGAGGCCAGCTGGTTTCTCTAATCTGTTTCGATGACTGTTCATGGAATATACAGGGACACTTTCTGCCCAGACTTCTGTCTTTCTGTCTGCAGGCAGAGCTGTAGTTCCTCCCCCAGCTGAGCTACCTGACCTCCCTCAGTCTGTCAACCTGTCTGCTCCCTACTGTTCTCTCTTTTTTTTTGTGGTTACCTTACTTCTCCTTCCCTGCCCAAAAAATGTGTGTTAGGTTAACAAAATACAAATTATAAACTGGTACAGGTAACTAATTTTAAAGGAATAGTTATTTGCGTAGGTCATCCAGATTTGTTTAACTTATATAGAAGTAAGACAGTCACATTTTCTTCTCTTGACTACATTTCTCTAATAGAGCGTTTAATTGTCCGTTGTCTTTTTCAAAAGAATAATGTAGGATCAAACAATTTGTTGAGCATACCTCTTACATGTATCCCTCCTCTGGGAAAGCGGTGTAACAGCACAAAAAAAGAAAAATTTGAAAAATTAGTTAACTACATTTGTACATGTTGTAATAAATAAAACCATGTTTCTCAGACTAAAATCATGAAAATATTGATCAGTGCACATCATAAGCAGTCTAATATATAATGTTCAGACCAAAGTACATGAAAATGTTTTGCTTTTTGAGAGAAATTTTACAAATGTACATGATGCAATTTAAGGTCAAGGAACAGCATGAACATGATGAACAGTGATTGGGCTATGTCACAGATTTTGCTAAAATTTTGCATACAACTTTGGCTGGTTGGACGATAACTGAAAATCACAAAAATAATGGATTTATTTCTTTTTATTATCTGAAATATTACTGATTGAATTCTTTCAAAATAGGTGAACATTTGTATAAAAAGCACATAAACTGGCAAATTTTTTTCTTAAATTTGTCTTAAAATCATCAAATCTCCAATTTCTAATACATAGATTTTTCTTAAAAAACTATATGTTGTTGATACATAAATTTCTGTGTTTAAGATATGAAATAATCATAACCTCACCGACTTTGTTTTTTGTCTGATAATCAATCTGTTACCTAGTGGGTAGTGAAAAACGTCAAAAATTGACGTTTAATGGCCTGCAAAGTGATGATGTTATGATTATTTCTACGTTTTGTGGTAATTTTTCACAAAAACACCACTTTTGAATGATGTATACCATTAAAAACAAAGTCAGTGACCCTATCATCATCATCATTATTTTTCATCCTTTAAAAAGGAAATTCATGTAGCAACAACACATAGTTTTTTTAAGAAAAATCTATATATTAGAAATTGGAGATTTGATGATTTTAAGACAAATTAATTTTTTTTTACAAATATTCACCTATTTTGAAAGAATTCAATCAGGAATATTGCAGATAATAAAAGAGATAAATGTATTATTTTTATTCCATTTTCAGTTATAGTATAATGAGCCAACGTTGTATGAAAAATTTTAGAGAAATCTATGACATAGCCGTTTTACTGTAACTTGACCTCAACAAGTTTTTCTTTTTCAGAGAACATATGGACCATGGTGGAAAAATGTAACATCTTCACCCCGAAAATTCAAGAGAACACCACCTAACTTTATAAGTGAAGATTATGTTGGTAAGATTACATAAAGATAGACAGTTTTAGAGTGGAGTCTATTTGACAAACAAAAGATATGGGAATAACATACTTTCCCATTCATTTTTAATTTTGATGGTAACAGAAAACAAAATGTTCTGCATTTCTCAATTTTAAATGTTTTAACATAAACATTACTGGTTATCATGTTTATGAAACATGGTACATGTAAGTAACAATTTATCAGAGATTTGTTTTCATGTAGATAAGGACATCAAATTGCTTGTCCAATGATCTTTCTCCAAATCTTGTAAAAAGCTGTCAGAGATGAACTAAAAATAAAGTGCCAGTGTTTTATTGTGCTCATTACAGTTATATCTTTTCTGTTTTTCAGAGTTGAGTTTCGATTTAGATGTTTATCCATGTAAGATTGAAGTTTGGGAAACTTATAATCCAGGATCAGTAGTGAGAATCCTAGCTTGTGATACAGCTTCAGGGACTGATGTAGATGATGGCAGAGTTAGGTAACATATTATATGATTTATATAGTGTATATGGTCCATAGAATAGGTTTTCATCATTGATGTTATTTTGTATCAATACATTTCTCAAAAAGTCTTCAAAAAAAGCAATGATCCTTTGCTTTTTATACGCCCGTCAAATTTTTGACGGGACGTATTATGTTATACAAATGTCCGGCGTCCGTCCGTCTGTCTGTCCGTCTGTCTGTCTGGCGTAAACATGTCGCACCGTAACTTGAGAATGACTTATCCAAATTTCAAGAAACTTAACATAGTTGTTTCTTATGATGGTCAAACGATCTGTATACTTTTTGGTGAAAATAAGATTAAAACTTTTTGAGTTACTGGACTTAGTAACTAAAACAGGTGTGTGTTTATTTTCACATGTTGCGCCGTATCTCAAAAACAATTTATGATTATTGCTTAAAACTTTACACACTTCTTAGTTATATTAATCTTAAGATCTGTATACTTTTTGGTGATGATTCAAAATTTTATTTTTGAGTTATTGAGTATTTTGTTAAAAAAGGGGGAGGGGTTTTTCACATGTCGCGCCGTATCTCAAAAACAGTTTATGATTATTGCTTAAAACTTTACACACTTCTTAGTTATATAAACCTTAAGATCTGTATACTTTTTGGTGATGATTCAAAATTTAATTTTTGAGTTATTGAGTATTTTGTAAAAAAAGGGGGAGGGGTTTTTCACATGTCGCGCCATATCTCAAAAATGATTTATGATTATTGCTTAAAATTTTACACACTTCTTAGTTATATTAATCTTAAGATCTGTATACTTTTTGGTTTTGATTCAAAATTTTTTTTTTGAGATGTTGATTTTTTTTTTTAAAAGGAGTGTTTTCACATGTCGCGCAGTATCTCAAAAACGTTTTATGATTATTGCTTAAAAGTTTACACACTTCTTAGTTATATTAATCTAAAGATCTGTATACTTTTTGGTTTTGATTCAAAATTTTATTTTAGAGATATTGAGTTTTTTGTAAAAAAAAAAAGGGGGTTTTCGCATGTCACGCCGTATGTCAGAAACTATTTATGCTTATTGCATAAAAATTCACACACAAGACGACGGGCGTATCATGTGCTCATGGCCCAGCTGTTTATTGGTTTTGCTGTGCATATACTGATTTTGTGTCATGGATGGATACCCCATATCTTTCTTTTCTATTCAATACACTGTAAAGGAAACTGCAATGAAAGTTACTTAGAACTATCCATTATCTAACATGTCTAATGATTAGAAGTAATAGATAGGAGGATCTGCATTCAATTGGTTTTCAGAATAGAGAATAATGAAGAAAAAATAAAGAGTTGCAAATTGAGCAAATAAATAAAGAATAGAGAATAATGGAGTGTACACATTGAAATATAAAGAATAGAGAATAATGGGTCAAAATATAAATAATGTAAAAGAAAATGACATAAAAAATTATGGAATACAGAACTTATTCCATCCGTTCTTTTGTCTGTCCTACATCAGGTTTAAGTTTTTGGTTAAGGATATTTGCTAATCTTCTTTTTGACTTTTTTCAGATTTTTGGAATCCTCTCGTTTTATCCATATACTTCCATAAAAAAATATGCCTGCTAAGCCTATCTTCAATTTTTCTTTTCATTAAATTTGATAACATATTTATATAGTTTAAAAAGGCATTTTTGAAAATCTTACAAAATCCTTGTTATTTTTCATAGTTTTTGAAAGAAAAAAAGGTGCCAATGTAAAATGTATGAAAAGTCTAGAGAAAATCATTTCCTGCCAAATTTTGAATGGCTTAATATCTCATAAACAAGGACAAGGACCTATAACTTTTTTCTGCTTTTTAAGTTCCATTGAAAAGCTTGTTTACATGAAACAGAGTAGGGGAGGGTTGAGCACTCACAAACATGTTTAACCCAGCCACATTCTTTATGTGCCTGTCCCAAGTCAGGAGCCTGTAGTGGTTGTTGTTGGTTCATGTCTGTCATATTTGTTTTTTGTTAATTGTTTTGTTATAAATTAGGCCGTTAGTTTTCTCAATTGAATTGTTTCATATTTTTCATGTCTGGGCCTTTTATAGCCAACTATACTGTATGGGTTTTTCTCATTGTTGAAGGCCGTACAGTTGCCTATAATTGTTTACATCCACTTTATTTGAACTTTGGTGGATAGTTGTCTCATTTGGCAATCATATCTCATCTCCTTATTTTTATATAGTGAACATCCTTTAGGTAGTTAACCATAAATTTGTGGTCACATCAATTTGAAACTTGATACACATGTTCATTTTACAGTAAAACTCATATAAACAGACTGGCTATAGGACTATGAAAAAGGGCCGATTTGGACAGTGGATCGATATATTCAGGTTTCAGATTGACAGGAAGTTATTGGCTGGTGACATCAGATATTTTGCATGTAAAAGTTCTCTCTCATTGTAAACTGTAAACTAATAATAAAAGATTCTGTAATAATTAATTTATTGAAGGTTATGTCATGATTTGTGTATAAATATTTTCAAATTTTCTCTACGTTTTCACCATTTTACTTCACATGATCATGTCCTCAGTCATTGTTTTTATTTGCTTTAGAAATTTGAGAAATTGGTTGTCCTCAAAATCGGCCTTGATAGCATCAGTCTACATCTTGTGAACTTCATTTCACTTTGAATTAATTGTTTTCATCTGCATCTTAATCCTCTTGTTGTTTGAATTGTTCAACTAGAGTTTCTTTCCACTGTCCATCATGCATCGTTCATTTTCTAAGTTGGTATAGCAGATTAAATAGCCAGTATTTTATTAAACAAAATTTTATCATGATCGAAACATTGTTTGTACAATGTACCATATCCATAAACTTGACAATGGAATGTGATTACACTGGTCTTTTCCACTATCAGGGTCATCAATTTCATTAGGGTTTACAACAGGGAAGCCAGCATTTTCTGTATTGTACCTTCGATATTTGTTCACCTAGATACATGAAATTAACTGAAACTCGAAAATCAATACATTTTCTGAAAAATCAACATGAGCTTGCCCTGCATTAGATATAACAGTATTTGTCCATTCAATTTTAAACAAATTAAGTCGTCTCACAGGCCTCCAGATTTTTTTGAAAATTTAGTGTTCACCCCAATAACCGGTTTGGCCACAACATAACAATTTCAAGTTTATTTACAATTTACACAGTGTGTATATGTTAAGTATGTTTAAATGAACATATGTTCTCATAGTTTAGGACTTTACTCATTATAGGTTGAAAAATACAGGCAAAGTTTAGATGTTTATGAAGTGTCCTATATTTTGACTTTAGTGGAACCTTAATTAAACCAACCGGTTTTGACAGGCAATAATTAATGTTATCAAGAGTATTGGACTGTATAATTAGACCGGTATTCAGAATACACAGGGTCTGCTTAACAGACTGAGAGGTTATTTTTACAAAAAGCTTTGACGGAAAAAAATGGGACTTCAATATTCGGCCAGAATGGATAAGAAACAGGCTTATTCAGGGTCCAGTTTTCTCAAGATTGACTGTTATGTTTACTATTCAAATTACATGTCAAATTAGGGTGTTGACACCAATTTCACAGTTCACTTTACATAGTAATATAGTGTGATCAGGGCATCAGGTGTCCTATTGACACAGATTGTTGTTGATCATTATGTTGGTTACAGTTAGTTTTTGTTTTAGATGGCAAGTGTTGTGGGAAGGCAAACCAGAGCAATGTCCTGATAAATCCAGGATATTTTCCCCAACATTGAGAGAACCCTTGTTTAAAACAAGGTAAGTTTTTAGATCATCTGTTTCCTATGAATTATTTGTCCTTTTTATATGAGTTGTTATAGACTTTTTTAGACAAACTTTATATATACTGAGTGTCAGTAGAAACTTACATGTATTTTTCATTCAATAAAAATTCTAACCAATAGATCTTTGGAAGTTCATCAATCATAGAAGGATTTGTTATTGTACTCCTTAGCAGTTACCACCTAGAAAGAAGTTGGGGTGTATATGAGTTTGACAAGGTTCTTCATTATATACCTTTTATATTTCAGCTTGATAAGATTAGAACTGTGTTCTACACTATGTCATTACTACACAGAATTAGACTGTGTATGTATGTATGGTACCTTAAATCCTTGTTCTGACATGCAGTCCATTCTTAAACAAGCTCCATCATTTGAAGTGAAAGATTGTAGTGATGCTGATGAAATTGTATCACAGACAATGAAGTATATCAATACCTTGTCTGTGTCATCTCATCAGGAAAGTCTGGATGAAAACAAGGATCCTGGACATTTGTCAAGGGAGACTACTGATGTAAAACAAGAGGAAGTTACTCCAACCGAAGTTACATCAGATGAAAAATTTGAAGAAGATCCTGAAATGGGAAATGGATATTTTGATGATTTACCAGTGAGTTTAATGGGCTAACTTTTTGCCTGTTTACTGAATTATGATCATTTTTATTTACCACAGACTGCGCACAAACTTTGATGAACTTATCAATACAGTGACAATACTCCTAGCAATACAAATAGTCAACATATTTACCAACAACTACTTAGTTATATAAGTCATAAAAAGCTTACAGTTATATTAACATTTGATCCTTTGTTGTTTTGATATTTTTAGAATTAAAACTGTTCCTTTATAAATAAAATATGCTGTGACATTGATTTTCTCTCAAGAAGATGATTGAAATTATAATTAGTTTTACTGATATGACAAGTGAGTATTTTTTATGTTGACAGGATGAAGTTATACAGCTAATACTTAGCTATTTAGATGTACCAGCTTTATGTGTGGCCAGCAGAACCTGTATGTATGTATCATGTTCACCTTAGATATTATAATAGTAGTATAACGTCTAATAAAGGATAAGGAAACTGTCATATATGAATTTGGATATAAATTAAGGAGATAGATATTCAGGACTTGGATATTCAGAATTTTGCAGATCAGTCACTTTGCTATATAGCTACTAGCTAGCATGTCATAACTAGCAACTTACCATTTATATACCTATCAGGTAATTAGACTGACTTTTTAGATTATCCAGCACAGGTTCCTCCCACTAAACAGATATATCAGCCTTGTCCACCAGAGTTTACTTGTGTTTTAAACATCTGCCAAGCTGTTAAGAACAAAGAATACCTACTTCAGGGTTTTCTAAATTGAAAGCAAATTGTAAATCAATCAACCATAATAATGTAGAATTATCTTTTAGGTGCATTTAGTTTAAACAAATTTTTTAACCATTAAATGGAGAGGTCTGTTTAAGTGTATAAGTCTGTTGTACTGTCCAATATTTTCTGTAATTCCGGTTTTAATTTTATGTATTATGTGATATTTATTTACAACAGAGATGTAGTAAACTATTTGCATAAAACTTTATATTACAGAGGGTAGAAGACCTGGATGCTTGGTATCTTGTATACAGATGCTTATGTTAAGAAGTGTCTGACTTTTATATTTCTATTGTTCTTGACCTCATTTTCATGAATCAGTGATTGTATAGTTTTTTGTCATATGTATTTTTCATTCATTGTGAGTAATAAGATAAACTTTATTTGGTATATGGGATCCTTTCAAGGTTGGATTGTCAGGTGTGCATGTCTGTCTGACAGGGTTCATCTGACCCTGACCTCATGGTCCATAACATAATGTTTAGTGTTCCTGGTAAGGTCTGTTTCTCAGGTACTATATATGCAATAGGTCAATTATTTTTGGTGAATGGAATAATTGTAAGGCATACATGTCAATCTGACAGTGTTGATCTGACCTTGACCTCATTTACATGTATCATTGGTGATATTAATTTTATGTAATACTTGTAGTACATGTATACAAATTTTCTTCTATGAAACATAAGTTCAAGTATGATCAGTAAATCAGGCGAGACATTTCAGCGTGTACACTCATGTGTTGATTATCAGTAATATGTCCTTTTTTTCTATTTTAGGCTAATGAAGAAACATTGTTATGATAGCTTACAGTATACAGAGTTAAATTTACAGCCACACTGGACACAGGTAAGCTTTTTCATAACATATCAGTTCAGACAAAGGATTGTACAATAACTTTTTACTAGATACCTAATGATCATATACAAGTATTCACAAAAAGTAAAAATTTACAAAATTTTCATCCAAAAAGCATATTGTATCCTGTATTTTGATAGATACAAACAGTTCACTGTAAGTTGTGCTGCATCATTTGCCTATGTATGTCTCATAGGCCTGGTGGCATATTAAGTCTGTATGGCTTCATCTAGAATTAATTATGCTTCTTACATTTTTTTATTCAAAATGTATTCACCAGAAGTCCTCATTCATATATATGCTTATTGTCCCCCGCGTAACGTGTTGTGGGGGACATGGAAATACCGGGCGTCCGTCCGGTCTTTTTATCGCTCTCACAGGAACAATTCTTGCCAGATTTTTATAAAACTTATACTATAGTTTAATATCAGCAATATCTCAGACAAGTTCTAAAATGGTGGACAATTGACTTTTCATGCCCCACGCGACAAAATGTTGAGGGCCATATTAATTTACCCCTGTCCGTCCGTCTGTCCATTCGTCTGTTCGTCCGTCAGTTCATCCGTCCGGATTAGGATACATTTTTGTCTGGCTATCTCCTCCTACAGTTTGGAGGTACAGCTTTAATATTTTGTAGGATGTTCATACACATAATGAAGGTGTGCATGGCCACAGGATTTTGTATGCCAACATCACTGTTTGTCAAATCTAAAATATGTGAAACTATACTCATGCATATGGCAGAGCAGAAAAGGGAGGGGGGCGGGGGATTGTCCATATCTAGTTTTAAAGGAGTTATGCCCCTTGGATATATTAAATTTATGGAAAATGGCCTCGTTAGCGCTTTCACAGGTACAATTCTTGCCAGATTTTTATAAAACTTATACTATAGCTTAATATCAGCAATATCTCGGACAAAATATAATGGTGGCCGATCGACTTTTTTAAAAGAGTTATGCCCCTTGGAAATATTAAATTTATGGAAAATGGCCTCGTTAGCGCTCTCACGGGTACAATTTTGTCAGAATTTTATAAAACTCATACTATAGGTTTATATCAGCAATATCACGGACAAGTTCTATAATGGTGGAGGATCGACTTTTTATAAAAGAGTTATGCCCTTGGAAATATAAAATATGTGCAACACGGGGGACATTGGAACTCTGTTCTTTTATTAAAAGTCAATTACAGTTTTTTTGAAAAAACACTTTTTGATTTGCTAACCACAGATTTTAAATTGATTTGCATGATATTTTTAAAATAACTTAAGCTGCTGGCTTGAGAAAAAGCTGCAATGGATGTTGTGAAGAGAAGTTTTTTATAAAATATTTTGGAATTTACAGATTAATAACCATACCCTGGATTGTTTAAAAAGCAGATGCCATCACTTACAGCAGTTAAACTTATCCTGGTGTGGGGGAAACAGAGGGATCATGCAGAGCATGACCTTTGGAAAGTAAGTATACTTCACATAGGTAAAGTTCATACAGAAAATGACCTTTGGAAAGTACTTAAGTATACTTCACATAGGTAAAGTTCATGCAGAAAATGACCTTTGGAAAGTAAGTATATTTCACATAAGTAAATATTGAATCACTTTTGGAAAGATGATACTCTTATCAGGAGCACAATTAAAAGAGTCATATTTATTAAAAGTAGGCCTAGATTAGGGGGAGTGTTGGCGCCTTCAAACTAGTTTAACCCTGCCACCTTCTGTATGTGCCTGTCCCTAGTCAGGAGCCTGTAATTCAGTGGATGTCGTTTGTTGCTGTATATCATATTTGTTTTTAGTTCATTATTTTGTACATAAATCAGGCCGTTAGTTTTCTTGTTTGAATTGCATTACATTTGTCATTTCGGGGCCTTTTATAGCTGACTATGCGGTATAGGATTTGCTCATTGTTGGAGGCCGTACAGTGACCTGTATTTGTTAATTTCTATGTCATTTGGTCTCTTGTGGAGAGTTGTCTCATTGGCAATCATACCACATCTTCTAATTTTTATATTACTTACAAATAGTAAATCTTACAGTGTGATAGTAATTTGATTATTAATTATTATGACAAGATTAAGTCACTCTTGCTCTTTCTATAAAATAATGCAAAAAGGGGGTAAAGATGTCACATTTTTCTCCAAAATTTGGCCAGTAGAATTTCAATCCCTTGGAGTGATACCTTTTCTGAAACTGGTTACATATATCTATCAGGAAATCAAATAAAAATCATATGTTTTTCGTCTCATTTTTTTGTAAAATTGCGTCAAAAACTTCGTGTAGAAAAAAGTGTTTGTAAACATTACATTAATTTCTGGACCTACAGCAGGTCTAGCTATGAAAATACGGACAGTCAAACAGAAAATAGCCCATAAAACATGTAAAAAATACTCTTGATTTTCTTATAAACCACCTTTGAAGGCTAAATTAGTACTCAGCTGTCTAAAAATGCATTTTATTGCACAATAACTTTCATGTTTGAAAAATCCACAGGGGCCAAAATGCAAAACCACACTCCTAACTGTGTATTGCTACCTTATACACAAAACTCAGATCAAGTACGAATTTGGGTAGCTTCACTTTTACCGTTCATGAGTTATGTCCCTTTGTAACGTTATATGCAAGCAGGGATATCATCTGTGTCCCATGGACACTTTTCTCATTTATTTGTTATAATTGTATTGTTTGATTGCAATGCTATTGACAATTACCTCACATCTCTTTTTTTTGTATTTTAACTAATTCTGGGAATGTTTATTTGAAGTATCAAATAATCTAAGGGTTAGAGATATAAACTCATCAACATGAATGGTTCATCTTTCATTTTTATGAACAAGTATAAATGGTATTTTGTACTATATGTTATTAGTTACATTTGGTGGTAAGGTTAATTAACTTTTCAAAAGATTTTTTTTTAAATCAAGCAATGTCTGAAAATATAATGGTAAAAGATTAAAGGCAATTTTCATTTGCTTGCATGTAAATTGTGTTTACCTGTTTGTCTTAACTGCATCAAAAGTCATAGTAGGCAAGGGATAGGAGCTTTAAGAGTTGGCAAATTACTGTGTAATTTTAAAATCACTTTCATCAAAAATAACAAAAAAATGTATGGATGTATTTGTTCATGGTGAGACATTGTCAGGCAGTCATTGTCTCCTGATCTTGACTTCATTCTTCTGCTCCAGTGGTCAGGATACAATGACTAGATGAAGTCTGTTCCACAACAACTATACATGAAAAATACACATTTCAAAACTTTTAGCCAAATACTAGGATAAACATTTTGGTATAATTGTAATGAAATTGCAATTACACACTTTAAAATTATCATAATTGAAAGGATTTAAAATTACATATATTGAAATTCATTTTTTTTCAGGTTTATGGAAGAATGTGGCAGTGAGTTAAGCTGTCTGTACTTGGCTAACTGTAAATTTGTTGACTCAGAAGTGTTGAGGTTGCTATCAGAATATTGCCCAAAATTAGCAGGTAAGTTGATCTTCAGTCATTAATATCCCTGAATTTATACATTGACTTTTAGTTTGATATGGGTTTATTTGATTAAAAATTCTGGTCCGACCTTAAAGCCCAATAAAACCTGTGTAATGTATTCTTTGGCCTTGGGCTAATATGGGAGTCTCCAGATGATACCAGGGGCGATATGGAAAAGGACGTGGTTTTCCCGTTTGAATGGTTTTACACTAGTAATTTTTGGGGCCCTTTATAGCTTGCTGTTCGGTGTGAGCCAAGGCTCCGTTTTGAAGGCCGTACTTTGACCTATAATGGTTTACTTTTATAAATTGTGACTTTGATGGAGAGTTGTCTCATTGGCACTCATACCACATCTTCTTATATCTATGTTATAATCTATAGATACGGGATGCTTTCCTGGGATCAATTGCTGATAAAATTTCATTTAGGGCCATCTGATCCACAATTCCCCCAGCTGTTTCCATTATATTAGTTATTTCTTGATGGTATGCAAATTTATTATGCAATTAAAATGAATTGTTAGTACTTATATGCTATGATTATGAAAAATTCTGTAAATCTGAAGTAGATGGATGAAGTTTAAGTTGCTTTAATGTACATTTGTATTTTTATGCCCCACCTACAATAGTAGTAGGGGCATTATGTTTTCTGGTCTGTGCGTCCGTCCATTTGTCTGTCGGTCTTTCCCGCTTTAGGTTAAAGTTTTTGGTCAACATAGTTTTTAATGAAGTTGAAGTCCAATCAACTTGAAACCTAGTACACATGTTCCCTATGATATGATCTTTCTAATTTTAATGCCAAATTAGAGTTTTGACCCCAATTTCATGGTTCACTGAACATAGAAAATGATAGTGCGAGTGGGGCATACGTGTACTATGGACAGATTCTTGTTTAACTTTATGATGTTTACATTGCTATGTTTTTTATTACAAAACCGATGTCAGAAATTTGTGAGAAATAAAGATTGTAGTTTAAATTGTGCAAGGGAAAAAATGAAATGTCCTTATTTTTAATCAAATGTATGTAATATGAGTTTAATCTAAGTTATCTTGAAAACATTCTAGTAAAATTCATAGTCTAACTTAATTTTTTTCTGCTTTCAGATTTAGATCTACAGAGCTGTATGGGATTAGATGGTATTGGATTGATTCATTTAACAAAATTAAAAGGTCTAAAGAGACTTAACCTGTATAGAACACATGTTGATATACACAGTCTTATAGCTATAATTAGGTTAGTATATATATCATTACACAGTATAGCTATAATTAAGTTAGTATGTATAGCATTACACAGATTCTGTGTACCATTACTATGTTGATATACACAATCTTATAGCTATAATTAGGTTAGTATATATAGCATTACACAGATTATGTGTACCATTACTATGTTGATCTGCCTTTCCAGTCCAGCTTTCTAAAATCACCAAAACAAATTTTACTTTTGTTCTTATATTTTTAGGGGTTATTAGTTTTATCAGTATTTTATGCAATTTGCAACCTATTTTCAGTAGGTGGACATGTCCTCCTGTAGACTAATACGTTGTGAGCTATAGCATGTTATTCTAGTAAAAATCAGGGTTCCTATCCATATCACATTATATGGTCTCCTAGTGGTTGAAAGATAATTCACTGACCATTAAACACCAATCCATTCATGTGTGGAACCAGAAAAAAATAATGAGAAGAAGCACTAAACCACAAGATGGATCAGAATTTAGAATTCCTGCAAAACCCGTAACTCTTTGAACAGTATAACTTTGAAGAAAAAGAACATATGCACATTTTATAATTGTTCAGCATTCTATGGTAAATAAAGAAAATTACACCTTTTAGAGAAATATGAAATGTTGTCAAAAATTTGCACAAAATATAGAAAAAAGTAGCTGCCTGCAAAAGGCAGAAATGTCTTGTGTATCTTTATGATCTTATTTTTTGGCAGTATTTGGTACTACTGCTTATATTCAGCCAAAATCAAAAGTTAGAGAAAGATCTCAACTATATTCTTATTATTTTTGAGTGATGAATAAATAGGACAGTTATATGTTAGGGAGAGTTTTTTATTAATATTGTAAAACCAGTATTAATTGTACAAAAATGACTCTAAATTACTTATTTTTATCACAATGAACATATCAATGAAATTATAGTGTCAAATACTTATTTCTTTCTTTCCCAACTCTGTGATCACTGTCCAAAGATATTGTTTCTCAATCTAAAGGGGAAGTAACACAAAAATAAATCTTTGAACTGAAGCATCTTCTTAAATAACAAAAAATTATAGCTGTTAAATGAAAAAAATTTAAATAATTCAAAATTCTTTCACAAAATGTGAGGTAAACCGTAAACATAAATTGATAACCATAATTTATCCATTGTTACTGACTTGCATGTGATCTTAGAACTTATCTTGTTTGATATTTATATTTAGTTGTCATGTATACATATATAGAACATTTAGTTGTCATGTATACATATATAGAACATTTTGTTGTCATGTATACATATATAGAACATTTTGTTGTCATGTATACATATATAGAACATTTTGTTGTCATGTATACATATATAGAACATTTTGTTGTCATGTATACATATATATAGAACATTTTGTTGTCATGTATACATGTATAGAACATTTAGTTGTATGCTTTACTTTGATTCTGCCTTGAAATAGATTGAAATCTTGAACTGTTTTCTTCTGTTTCAGAACTTCTCCACACCTTGAATGTCTTAACTTAGGATCATGTAGCAGGATAAATAATTTTGATGAAGTAGCCATTGAACTAAGTAAACATTGCAAGTAAGTCATGCAAGTTCTGTTCATGTACATAAGGATATACTTATATATGGCAAAAGGAGTAAAACATAGGTATTACTTTTCTGGAAGCCCTGAATGTTTTTCTTCCTAACTTTTGTAGTAAAGCATTTTTACATTTTTACAGAAGGAAATGAGTGAGATACATTTGTATTTTTATTTTGTCAATAACATCTTTGAATAACTATTATTGTCTCGCCCTGACAGAGTCAAAAAGCGAGACATAGGTATGCTGTTTCTGGCGTCGGCGGCATCAACAATGTATTAGTTTGTGATTAGGCCTAGTTTATGGTGAACCACTAGTGGTAGGTCAATGATATTTGGTATGCAGTTGTATTAGCATTGGCACATCTCATTTCCATTGAGATTATTTGGCCCCCTCAGTCATGGTCTATTGACTTTGAAACTTTTGCTTAGTTTACATGTATTAGTTTGTGATTAGGTCAGTTTATGGGGACTCACTAGTGGTAGGTCAATGATATTTGGTATGCAGTTGGTATGCAGTTGAATAAGCATTGGTACATCTCATTTCCACAGAGAATATTTGGCTCCGCCCCTCAGTCATGGTCTATTGACTTTGAACTTTTTGCTTAGTTTACATGTATTAGTTTATGATTAGATCAGTTTAAGATGAACCACTAATGTTAAGTCAATGATATTTAGTATGCAAATTAATTGACATTTGCAAGTCTTGTTTCCATGAAGATTATTTAGCCCCCCCCCCCCCCCCTCATCATGGTTCATTGACTTTAAAACTGTTACATAGTTTACAAGTTAATGTTTGTGTTTAGGTTTGTTTAAAAGGAACGACTTATGATAAGTCAATGGTATTTGGTATGCAGTTATATTAGCATTGGCACATCTCATTTCCATGGAGATTGTTTAGCCATGTACCTTCAGTCATGGTTCATTGACTTTGAATATTTGCATAACTTACATGTTAAAGTAATGCTATTTTAATTTCAAAATTTGCATTATCAAAATTACAAAAAGGCGAGACATATCTCTGTGTTAATAGTTAAACAGTTTATTCTATAAAAAGTAATGTGTGGTTGATAAGCATGCAAAAATAAATTATCAGACATTTGTGTTACACTTGCATCAAAAGTCACAGAAGCAAGAAATAGCACCCCTACACTTAAGTTTAATTTTGTAGTTAAAGTTTTTAAGATATCAATAACTTTGTGAAACCTTTAAGGAATTTAACAATGACAGTGGCAATTGCAGGTTAGTTACAGAGTTCCATTGAAACCTTTACACATTTTGTTATACTTAGGTTTTACAGACTAGCTCTTAAAAGAATTTGAAATTATTTACTCCTGGTTTTGATTTATTTTAGTTTTATAACCATTATTGCTTGAATTTTATGGTTTAGCAAAATTTGCATGTGGATTTTTAAAAGAAAACTGAACCAAGCTTTATCCTCTTTAAAATTAAAAAAAAATACACAAAAGGATAACAGATATTGCCAAAAGAATGAGCAGTACAACAGACCATACCAACACCTGACTCCTCCAAAAAAAAAGATTCACAAATAAAGACAAACAACACATGGTCAAGATAGCCTGACTTGGTCAAAACTTTTTGAAAATGTTATTTTTCCATGTAGTATAAAACTATAATCATTCTTTTTCTCTAAAAAAAAACCCTGCTATAATGTTTCTCTTATAATGTCATCGAAAAAATGTGAAGTAACTTATCATTGTAACAAAAATTAATGTTGTCAATATGAATTTGCATGTATTTTAATGTTGCTGTGGTTGTTTAAAGAATCCAAAAGTGAAAAACCTGTTCAGTCAAACTTCAGTTTTTAAACACTGGCAAGCTTTTATAGAGGCACAAAATCTTTTTTCATAGAAATAAGTGTCATTATAAAATATTTTGTTGAATAATTTATTTTTTATTTTATTAACATTTCATGCCAATGATAAATTCTTAAGTCTTTTCTCTAAAATATTTGAATATATTTTAGGAAGCTGAAATCATTGGATTTGTGGAGGTCTAGAACTATTACAGATGTTGGTCTGAGGGCTCTAGCTTATAACTGTCCAGATTTAGAAGAACTGGATTTAGGATGGTGGTGAGTAATGCTTGGCTTTTGTTATGGTAAATGTGGGAGTGGAAAATAGGTCTGGAAGCTCCAGCTTAAAAAATTAGATTATAAAGGACCTACATTTAGGATTGTTAAGGGCATATGATACAGTTTTGATACCACAGTGATTTTTATGCCCAGGCCGTAGCAGAGGGGGCATTAAGTTTTACCCTTGTCCGTCTGTACGTCTGTCCATGCGTCCCAATGTTGGTTTCCGTTCTCTAACTTTAGTTTGCCTCAACCAAATGTTATGAAACTTATAGCAATGCTTATTACCACAAAACACAGATCTAGTTTGAATTTTGGTGGCGTCACTTTAACCGTTCTAGAGTTATGCCCCTTTACAAATGGAAAAAATTGCTGAATTTTTAGTTTCCTTTCTCTTACTTTAGTTTGCCTCAACCAAATTCTATGAAACTTATACACAGTGCTTATTACCACAAAATACAGATCAAGTTTGAATTTTGGTGGTGTCACTTTAACTGTTCTAGAGTTATGCCCCTTTACAAAGGGAAAAATTGCTGAATTTTTGTTTCCGTCCTCTTACTTTAGTTTGCCTCAACTAAATGCTATGAAACTTATACACAATGCTTATTACCACAAAATACAGTTCAAGTTTGAATTATGGTGGTGTCACTTTAACCGTTCTAGAGTTATGCCCCTTTACAAATGGAAAAATTGCAGAAATTTTTCGTTTCCGTTCTCTATCTTAAGTTTGCCTCAACCAAATTTTATGAAACTTATACACAATACTTATTACCACAAAACTCAGATCAAGGTCAAATTTGGGTAGGGTCACTTTTACCGTTCTTCAGTTATGTCCGTTTATAATTTTATTTGATATGCAAGCGGGGGCATCATCTATGTCCCATGGACACACTCCACTTTTATTTTACAAAAATTTGCATACAAACTATTTTTCACTTAGTTAATTCAAATATATAATAAAAAAATTTACCTTCATGTGAGAAATTTAGAGATAAATGGGGTTGAAATTTTAGACATTTACTGAAAATTTCGGTTTCTTGTTCATTTCTAACCTTTGGACAGACCATGGAAGTATTATATTTCATTTTACTTCCATGGACAGACATACTTAACTTTTTTGTTTCAAAAGATAAACACATGCAGATTTTAATAAAACGATTTGGAATATCTTCTTTACAAAACAATGCTAACAATTCTTTGTAAATTATTCTTTTTTACAAAAATTTCATGATTTTAGTAAAAACAGCATTTTTTGCTTCTTCTTATTCTAATTTAAAAAAAAATCATCAGTGACTTTTTCATAAAAACTGGAACAAATAATCTTCATACAGTATCAAGTCATTTGTCATTTTAATAAAGAGGGGTTCATGTACTTGTTTTCAAGCTAGTGATTAAAACCCCTCGAAAAATGCATCTTTTCCAGATAATTCGCAGTTTGATGTCGCGGAAAATAACATTACGTTAGCAACGTCATTATCTCCCATGTAACTGTATCGTATGCCCTTAAGTGTACTCTGGCTAATTATAAAGCTTGTGAGGGGAGGAAGGCTTGAAACTCCTGTTATGAAGTAAAATGATTTAAGGAAACATGAGGGAGGATTGCTATTATAACCTTCCATTGCAACTTAATAAAAGGGATTTATGAAATTCTTAAAATAAAGACCAAAATGTGCAAAATTTAGTGGTTTAATTTTAATAAATTAAGTTAAGTGTCAATACACTGTTTTAATTTTGGCATAGTGAATTTACTTTGAACCCTGTGTCAAAAAAATTTTGGGTAGTATATAGGAATCTCCTTGTCCATCTGTCTGTCTGATCATCTGTCAAGGCACAAAGCTTCCTCAACAGCTGGATGTATATTGATAGAACTTTAAACAGTTGTAGAACACTACCTGTGGATGTGTATAAAGGAATATAATATTGGTCCTATATTTTTTTTTAAAAGGCAGATATTCCAACTATACCTTCTAAATATAAGGTAATAGTCTTGTAAGAGAAACTTCTCATGGTTTATTGATCAACTTTAAGTTTTCATAGTTGTTTTTTTTTCTCATATACTCATATGCAATAGGTCAACATGTCCTTCTGTCAGGTTTCATCTGGCCTTGATCCCATTTTCATAGATCATTTATAATGTTAATCTTATGTGATACTTGTAGAAGAACCTTTATCTTAAAAACTTTCAACTTAAAATTCAATCATGTTCAGTAAAGTGAAATGCAGGTAAGACATTTCAGATTGTGTACTTATGTTTGTTTTATCTTCATTTTATTTTTCAGTCCAGAACTAAGATCAGGGAGTTGTTGTTACCTGGATCTGGTTGATAAATGTCATAAAATCAAAAAGTTATACTTAACTGCCAACAGGTAAGGATTTTATAACAGTTGACTGGCAAATTTTTCCATTGGACTGGCCAATAATTAGGGCCCTGCCGAATGGCAGATGCCCTTTAGTGATCAATCTGTCCGTCCATGTGTCTGTCAGTCCGTCCATAACAAATTGTGTCCGCTCTATATCTAGAGAACCGTTATGATTTCAAAGTTTATACTTGACATGTATATTAACCAACACCAGAGGGTGTGTCATAATGTATGTACAACTTCAAAGGTCAAGGTCAAAAACTTTGGTTTTAGTTGACAACCCCATGTCCTATGGTAAAGATCGTGTCCGCTCTATATCTTGAGAACCGTTATGATTTCCAAATTTATACTTGACATGTATGTAAACCAATACCAGAGGGTGTGTCATAATTTATGTACAACTTCCTAGGTCAAAGGTCAAGGTCAAAAACTTTGGTTTCAGTTGACAACCCCATATCCAATGATAAAGATACAATTTTTTTACCACACATTATTCACAGCGGGGCCCACAGAGATGGCTCCCATCTCAATGATATCTAGTTTTCTCAACTTCAAATTTTCATAATTGGATTTTACAAAATGTTCAATTTCATGAAAATTCATTATTTCAAATAAAAAGGATGTTCAATTAATACAATCCAAATAAGTAATACATTGTGTACCACACAAAATACCTCATATACAATAAATATAAATTCCATACTTGCTTATTTTAGTTTTATATGCCATTATTCATTGAATTAATCAGATTTAAATAAAAGTACCAGATTGATAAAACAATGATTAATATTTCAGTATATTTAATTTTTTTTCTGCTTTGAAAAAAAAAAAAAATTAAACCAAAGAGACATATCAGCAAAGAAGTAAATTTTGTCACAGGTGAAAGTTTAAATTTCTTTGTAAATTTCTGCATCTAGAATGTACATGTTTGTCTCAAAAACATTTTGAAATGACCTCTTCTCAGAAAAATTAGGTGTCCTATGGGGGTTATATTAGCCTAATTATGGAAAGTGTAGCATAGAAATATAGTCAATATTACTGATAAGAATATAGAAATACTCAATTAAAGTTAATATCATACTATGCATTGATATGATACTCCTTTTGTATTTGTAACAGAACAGTATGCGATGATGATTTGAATGCTATAGCATCCAACTGTCCCGATTTAGAACAATTAGACATACTCGGAACTAGACAAGTCAGTGAGGAATCTGTACTCAGGTAAGTCAAATTATTCATTTATTTGTTTATTGGTAATTGGAACATTTTCCATTTGGTGTGACTTGATGATGTCAGTATTAAATGTGATTCTCTTACGATTGTGGCCTGTTATCTATTTCTTGCATGAAGAGATATTTCTTGTATCACACTGCACAGAGTTTGATACAAAAAAGAGATATGAAAACTGTGTTAATTTGAATGGCTTATCCAGCTCCATGAGGCGATATTATGACATTCCCATTGGCTATTTGTTAGGTCATTGATGACTTTCAAAAGTTAAGATGATGTACATTTCGTCCATGGCAACAGACATATCTGATTTCTTCAATGATATACAAAACATCCACACTTTTTACCAGAAAATCTTCTTTTTGTCAAATTTTTTAACATTCTGAAGCGTACAAAAAGTTTTAAAATATCTAATGTTAAAGTTTGATGCCAGAACAGGACATATGACGTCAGACTGGTTTTTGCAAAAGACTAGATCAACGATTTGCGGAATTTTTAAATTAACACTATGAGAGTATTGACCATAACTGATCACAGAATCATCACAGAATACTGTACCTTGACATTAAAGGGATAATTATAGTGTGTAGAGGACAGATTCATATAATTTGACAATAACTGATCCTATCAAATACCAAACAAAATTAACACTTGTGTGAATGCTTTTTGTTGCTTATAAGAGGATTAAAAGTTTGAATCATATGATGATGAACTTAACTTTTGGTATTCATTCATTATTATATTTGTGAATAATCAAGGTACTTGCCATAGACTTGTTTATTATTATATTGAAATTAAGTAACTCGAGTTGATACGGTTACCCCATTATTTGCAAAATTCAACTCTTGAATCCTTTCAAAATGTAAATTCCATTCTTAAAGATTTGCATAGTACCTTGATGATTCACAAACTTAATTATGAATGAATACCCAAAGTTAAGTTTATCATCATATGATTCAAACTTTTAATCCTCTTATAAGCAACAAAAAGCATTCACACAAGTGTTAATTTTGTTTGGTATTTGATAGGATCAGTTATTGTCAAATTATATGAATCTGCCCTCTACACACTATAAGTATCCCTTTAATGTCAAGGTACAGTATTCTGTGATGATTAAATATAGATTTAACCACAATACCATTTTGATTCAGAGCTCTGATTATAACATCTATCTGTTATAAGGCATAGAGCATTTGAGCTTTATTACTTGTAAAACCAAAGGATATTTGTGCTCCAAACACTATTAATAGGGTGCCCAGTCAACAAATTTGATCGATTTTGGTTAACGGAATAACACACGGCTACATTTTATATCATTGGAAAGAGGAGAACAAGCCTCGTCGATATATTGATGTCTTCGTTGTCTACAGTGGTCACAATTTTCTTAAATTTGGGTCAAAGGTCAAATCTAAAATTTCAAGGAAAACGTAGACTCACGTTTAGACAGCTGGCCACCCCTACATATTTGCGTTTATAGCAAAATAAATTCGAATAATTCAAAGGATTATAACTATAGTTTCTATATTTAGGACTAATTTGATAATTTTATTGCCAAATATTGTTCGAGATTGACATTTGTACTTATAGGGTGCACATTTACAATTTTCATTCAGCTGTTAAATAACAGTGACCTTGACCTTTTAAAAATTCCAAAATCGGAATTTTAACATAAGATTTGATACAAGTGATCTTTAGAGATGTTTTTTTAGATATTAACATTTATAAGTTTCCCTCCCAAAATGTTATTTTTCCCGTCTTTTGATAGAAGGTGTTCGTCATGATTTTCTGGGTAAATATCCTATTTTCTTTTGGTAAACGGGGAAGCACATCAAATAGTACTTAGTTTCAAAACTGATGAATATCAACGCAGAATTGATTGAATTAGCAGGTCTGAGTATATATATTTGCTTTACAGAAATAAAAAAAAAAAAAAAAAAATGCAAACGGTGAAAAAGGGGGAGGGTTTATGTTACAAATTATGAAAACAAAATGAGAATTAGAAACAGCAGGCTAATCACTCCATCTTACACACTTATATCAAGTGTAATGTACATGACTTATCGAACATAAATTAGCCTACATTTGATATGAAGTTAAAGATTATCTACAAAAAGAAAGTTTTGTACAGCATCGATGTATTTCACAAACACTTGTAAACAACATCAATCTAATTAAAATATAGATCTCTGATTTTGTTATCTTCATTTGAGCTTATATATAAGAGCACGCGAGTTAATAAAGATCAGAATTTTAATAAGAGCAACATAGAAAAATTGCCGAAGCTAGTAGTAGCTATTACGTTTCATTGTCTACTGTTAAGTTGAAAGCCCACCTACTAGGTTTAGGTAAGAGAGCTAATTTCAGTTGTTCTTTTTTAAATCGCATCCGACGCAAGTAGTAGAATGCGAGGCATACAGAATACAATCTGATGGTGGTGGCGGCAACACCGTAAACTATTTGTATAGCTTTATATTTCAGAGGGCAGAGGAACTGGATGATTCATAATTTGTATATAGATTCATTGTGTTACGAAGTTTCCGTCATATAATCATTATCCTTGACCTCATATTCATGGTTAAGTGACTGCTAAAAAACTGTATAGCTTTTTTCGTCATGTGAATGTCTCAATTATCATGAGTTCTAGGATAACTATATTTGGTTACTAATATATGGTATCCTTGCAAGGTCTACATGACCGTCAGACATGATTCACCTGACCTCTACCTAATTTCACGGATCAGTGAATAAGGTTAAGTTTCAGTGGTCAAGTCAGTACAGTCTCAGATAGTAGTGGGTTAAATATATTTGGTCTATGGAATGGTAACAAGGTGTACATGATTTTGTGGCAGAGTTCATCTGACCTTACCTCATTTACATGGAACATTGATAGTGTTAATTGTATGTAATATTTGTTGTATAATATAAAAATTAGGAGATGTGGAAGCATTGCCAAGCAATTATAGGCAACCGTACGGCCTTCGACAATGTGAAAAACTCATACTGTATGGTCGGCTATAAAAGACACAAGACAGGATGAGAATGAACACTCTTCAACATGAAATGCAGGATAGTTGAGGATATGAATGTGTACAAAAGTGAAAATAAATTTTCGCGCCGCCAGCCCCATCCCTTTCTTCAGAATATAAAATGTTCTATCCTAACGGCGAGTACTATTATATCGGTTCTTTGTGTTTTTTGTCTTCAAGTTAGTTGTTTTTGTGTTTCATGCCGATTTGATAAGTCAAGCCATTTCAAACTGTTTTTCAGCAGAATTTTCTTATGCTGTGTTGTTATACCATTGTCCAGGTCAGGGGAGGGTTGAAGGATCACAAACATGTTTAACCCCTCCAAATTCTGTATATGTCTGTCCAAAATCAGGATCCTTCAATTAAGTGGTTGTCATTGGTTGTTGTCTATTGTATCTGGGTTTTTTTTAGTTGCACGAACGGTGGTATATTTTTGTTGTCGTTCCCACCGAGAGGAATTTAAGTCGAAAACATCATATAAGACTTTTGATGTGCCATATTCCGGGTGTGAAACAAAACCGACCGATTTGATTCTTATACTACAATTATAACAAAATATTTATTCAATAAAAAGTTTAAAGTTTTGAAAAACAGACACAAAACAGATTTCTCCGAAAAAAGTGACAAACTACAAAGTTAGCTGGCTATTCACAACAAATAAATCAACCACGCAACAAGCAAAAAAGACAAATGTTTTGAGTGACCTCTGTGCTTGTTATTGACCTAATAGTGTAAGCAACGAAATGATTAATGGCACGAGATAATCCGTGTTTAATCAATACCAAAATGTTGACTTAATTTGTGTTTTTAATTGCTAATTTCTTCAAAACGATTTTTATTTCACGCATGCAATTTGGCACACACATGCACTGTGTCTTATTGATTAAATCAGAGTAAAAAATATTGTGATGATACACGTAATAATTTTGCTTTCGATGAAAATAGGGTGAATTTCGGGTAAAATTTTACTCTTACTAAAATGCTGAAATACTTATATCAAAATCACTTAAATACTTTCCGATTTCGTTATATGATATATTTAATATATAAACTATATTATAGGTACTGTTTTAACTACCAACAAAGAACGCAATAATTTTATTTTTCATGTAAAAGATTCCCCGTAAAATACGGTATCTGGTGGTACCCTGTAAAACACGAAATTTAGACAATCGTGACCACGGGAACTTACGGCGACAATCATGATTGTAAAATACAATGATTTTCCTATAATGTGCAAAAAAATCAGCCGTGTGTTATCCGTTAACTTAAACTCGTTACCTAGAGGACTTTTTGGACATTGGGCACCCTACTATATGGACATTTGCCTTTTAAACCTTCATAAACCTGCACTAAATTGACTGGACATCTGTGCTTTTTTCCTATAAAAGTTTAACAGTAAATTGAATTATAATTCTTACAGGTACGATAAAGAAGTAAGGGCAATAAGGCCCTGATTTGGCCTAGATATTAGTGCAAATTTTACAATACATGTTTGAAACTTTGTCAAAACTATACTAGGGAACAGGGTGGTTAAAAAATATAAACAATTTTCACATTTAACAAGTTACCATGGCAATAAACCGTGACAAAATTTGTATATTTTATAAGCTTTAAAATTTCTTGATTTTCCTTTTTCTACATCAATATATATTTACCGGTAAGTATATTTTGGATTAGAAAAGTATGTGCACACTCAAGAAACAACTTTGTATTTAGTAAGATTATGTAAATAGCTATAATAAAGCTTCTTTAAAATTATTTTGTTGTTTCTTGGCTGGCACAATGTTTCCACAAAGGAAATATGGATAGAAAACTGCATAAATTTAGCAGTTTTCTTTGTTTAAATGAAAAATGTGCATTTTATGATGTAATTGTGATGCCATAACATAAAATTCTTGTGTTATTCATTTATATTTCTTGATCTAATGCATTTCCGAACATTATGTGCAAGTAATAAATGGTCCTGAAAAACTTCTTGGGCCAAAAACAGACCTTAATGCCCCTTCTCCTTTAGAGTGCTTGTGGCATGTTGTAGAAACTTTTATGGTAGGAACATTGAAGATTTATGTAGATATAAGAAGATGTGGTATGAGTGCCAATGAGACGACTCTCCATCCAAGTCACAATTTGTAAAAGTAAACCATTATAGGTCAAAGTACAGCCTTCAACAAGGAGCCTTGGCTCACACCAAACAGCAAGCTATAAAGGGCCCCAAAAATGACTAGTGTAAAACCATTCAAACAGGAAAACCAACAGTCTAATCTATATAAAAAACGAGAAACGTAGAAACACTTATGAACCACATCAACAAACGACAACCACTGAACAACAGGTTCCTGACTTAGGACAGGTGCAAACAAATGCAGTGGCTTTAAATGTTTTAACAGGCGCCAACCTTCACCCTAACTTGAAGCAATAGTGTAACATCACAACATAGAAAGACACACTATAAAATATCAATTGAAATGGCTTAACTCAATCAAAAGACATATTAACAAAAACAAGTAAACATACACTGAACATACACTGAACGAATAAAATTGATCTATGACACAATGTGAATACAAAATTAATAAAATAAAAATGTGTTGTATTTTAACTTTCAGGTTAATTATTGCATACAATTTTGCTTGTTAAACTGTAACCGAAAATAAAAAAAATATAATGCAATGTATTATCTCTTTTATTTCCTTAAATATTATCGAATGAATTCTTTCAGAAAGCACATAGAAATTGGCAAAAAAACATTCTTAAATTGGTCTAAAAATTATCTAATCTTTAAAAATTCTACAAGGTATCTCCAATCGTATTGCCTTCCAATGCTTATTACAATACAATGTTTAATTTTTTTTCCCTGCTGCAAAATATTTGCAATATTTACCCTTCAGTGCTCACAAGCACTTTGATGCAGCTTTCCCTATACAATAAAAGGGTTATTGCATGAATATTGGTGAATATCATCCCTAACAGAATATATAGTTCACTAGCAAGCTCATGCAATATAAAGTTCTGCACAGGACAATATTCACCAATATTCCCTATTATTATATATTTTGTTTCAGAGTGCTACAGTCCTACCCTTAGATAACTATGTTGTTATGTATTAAAAGAGAGGCGAAAGATACCAAAGGGACATTTAAACTCACAAGTCGAAAATAAACTGACAATGCCATGGCCAAAAAAGAAAAGACCAACAGTACACAAAATAAAATTGAGAATGGAAATGGGGAATGTGTCAAAGAGACAACAACCCGACCATAGAGCAGACAACAGCCGAAGGCCACCAATGGGTCTTCAATGCAACAAGAAACTCCCGCACCCGGAGGCATCCTTCAGCTGGCCCCTAAACAAATATGTATACTAGTTCAGTGATAATGGACGTCATACTAAACTCCAAATTATACACAGGAAACTAAAATTAAAAATGATACAAGACTAACAAAGGCCAGAGGCTCCTGACTTGGGACAGGCGCAAAAATGTGGCGGGGTTAAACAGGACTGTAGCACGCTGAAACAGAAAGACACATCACAGAAAACCAAAGAATGAGCATTACATGTGAATTTTTTTAAGAGAGCTAGAGTCTTGTCCTTAAATGAGAAGGTTTAATTTATTTCAATTTACATGTGTATTTTGTTTCAGAGTGCCACAGTCTTGCCCTTATATGGTAATGTTTTAATTTGTTACAATTTACATGTGTATTTTGTTTCAGAGTGCTACAATCTTGCTCTTATATGGTAAAGTTTTGATTTGTTACAATTAACATATGTATTTTGTTTCAGAGTGCTACAGTCCTGCCCTAGGATGATCATGTTTGATGTTTTTTTCTGTTTCAGAGTGCTACAGTCCTGCCCCAGGTTGATCATGTTTGATGTGTCTTTCTGTTTCAGAGTGCTACAGTCCTGCCCCAGGATGATCATGTTTGATGTGTCGTTCTGTTTCAGAGTGCTACAGTCCTGCCCCAGGATGATCATGTTTGATATGTCATTCTGTTTCAGAGTGCTACAGTCCTGCCCCAGGATGATCATGCTTGATGTGTTACAATTTTATTAACATGCATATTTTGTTTCATGATCATGTTTGATGTGTCTTTCTGTTTCAGAGTGCTACAGTCCTGCCCCAGGATGATCATGTTTGATGTGTCTTTCTGTTTCTCTATAGAGCACGAAGTGGTAAATGAATGGAGCAGGATTTTTCCAAATTGTAGTATAAAGAAAAGTTTTCAACAATAGAAAAAGGTTTACATCAATAATTATACAATCTCAGGGTCTAAAACTATTTCAATTTAATCTCTATTTAGGGGCCATTGTTTATCTTTAAGTGGTCATATTAGAAGAAATATCATCCTTTTTGCACCATTTTTGTCAAGCCTTTATCATTTTGTCGTGGAAGCAAGACTAAGTGATCCTACATTCTGTCGTAAGCATGGTCAACATTTAGGTTGTTGATTTTATTAAACATCAACAACTTTGTCAAACCAATATGGTGGTCTATGAGACTTGGACACAGCAAATTGTTTTTCATGACTGAGTAAACATATTGAACATATTTTTTTTGTATTTTCCTGATAAATGTTTTTTTTTCGCAGTTAACATTTCGATACATTCTAAGGTTAAAGTTTTTTAGACATTAAAAAATTGTAAAACCTTCATATAAAAATAAGAAGATGTGGTTTAATTACCAATGAAACAACTTTCCACCAGAGACAAAGATGTCAACAACTATAAGTCACCATATGGCCTTCAACAACGAGCAAAATCAAAACTCCATAGTAAGCTATAAAAGGCCCTGAAATGACAAATATAAAACAATTCAAACAAAACCAATGATGAAGGTATATCTAGAAAAGCGCATTAGGCACACCCATACAAAGTTTTATTTTCATATACAAATACAATTTTTCTGATGTGTAATAAAGTTAGACTGCAATATCATAATATATGCAGTGTAAAAATGGATACACTGAAATTGTGCAATGACTAAGCTATATTTGAATATTATTAAACTTGCTGTTGTTGATTGTAAACTGTGATTGATTTTTGTAAATTTTATATCTATTTGTATAAATATTTTCGTTTTTATTGGAAGTTTGATATCATTTGTATATTAGGAAACCTAATATCAAGTGCAATTATTGTTGTTCTATTTTCCTTAAAATAAAACAGAAATTGACTGAAACCTTTTTTGATTGGTTAGCAGTGTCCCAAATGGATATCCAACAAATGATCATGTGTTGTTTTTCTCAATTTTATGTACAAATAATGAACTTACCCACAGTATTTAGATTCTGAAAAGGTGAATTGTTTGGAACAGATCTGAAGAATAGGGCAGTACTACTGAATTAAATAGATTGACCTTTTTTCAATCAAGTCAGCTTTGCGTACTACTAATGTCTGTTGAGATACTGATCTGATTAACAAGCGAATTCAATAAGAAATCTAGTAATGAAATCATTTATAAGTATATTTGGAAGATTTATTCTATTGAACTGTATACCGTATATTAAGTGCTGAGGTCAATTCAACTCTAGTTCTAAATAAGATTCAGTTGACATTAATTGAATTTGTTATTTTATGAAAAATTATATCAATTTACCATTATTTGTATTGTAAAAAAAATATTTTATTTAATTTTGTTCCTTGATGTAGGAAATATTTGTAATAGGTAGATTCAGAGAAGAAAAACACAGTAAATGCTTCACACTCTTAAATCACATTCAGATTTCCTTGAATAAGATGTTGAATAATATATACTGTAAAAATACATTATGAAATTATCATTTTGAAAGGAAACATGTTTAACTTACATTAAAATTTTCAACAATTTGTTGCTCAAAATTAAAGTAAAAGTCTACATACATTACTTCTTTATTGCCTTGAGATTTGGGGTTAAGTATATAGTATTTTGTCAATTGTACCTCATAAATTGCTATGAAGCTGTATGCAAACATTAGGTTACCTAAACTACAAAATATAGTATATGGGATTACTGGTCAAGTTTAAGGTTAAAGTCCAGGGTTAAGCATTGCTTCCAATCATCGAGCATTGAGTATTTTTAGCACACACATCATGGATAGTACTTAAGGCCTATGTAAAAATTGGGACACCTTGAGCTACTTTTTATATTAGGGATGTTTATGAATTTAGATAATTTTTGTGTTCAGGACTTGATCTAACCAACTAAAGGGAAGCCATCTGAATAGCAGCAATAAAGACTGTTTTGTTTACCATTGACTTATAGTTTACCCAAGAGTGACTCCAGTTAATATTCTTTCCAACTTACTAGGATGTAACAAAATGCATATGGGCACATGGTTTATTACAGGCAACAGTAGTTTATCCATGTTCAAATCTCATAAATCAATTATGGGGATATGAATCAAGGTAAAAAAAAAACAAACAAACAAAAAACTTAGGGAATTGCATGAACTCCAAAAGGAGCAAGACCAGGTGCTTTGCAATCATGACTTTATGATTACATATATAATACCTCATAGAGATCATTTTATACTGGATTGACCTCAGACTTCCCTGCAACTTAATTTGATATTGAATTAGATAATAATTGACATGATATACAATTATTGAATGTGTTCAGTCATCCCAGAAACAATTGCCAATTTGATACTGCCATTTTAAGTTATGTTATGGATTTCTTTTTAAAATTTGTCAATGAACATTTACATTGTTATGATACATGTTTTCATTACACATTGCAATTTGTAGTGCAGCTACAACACCTCCTGTTGCCTTACTATCTCACCAGAATAACAAAGTGATAGTTTGTACATGTCAGTTTTATGTCGCATCACTTTTTGTCACAATCAGGGGTTTATTAAGAGATGGACAATTAATTGCATCTTTGTGTTTACATTTTAAAGGCTCCAAGAATATGATGTAATAGTTGTCTGTGAAACAAAACATTATTTGTTGTAAAAATTAACAAAAGAAATACTTTAATGATAGATGTTTTTTATTTACCACATGCAGAAGACTCTTAATCATATTTTCTCTTAAAAATTTATTTGACAATATAACATTTTGTAATATGAAAGTGCATCATATTGAAATTGTGGGAAAAATAAACTGTTGATTATAAACTGTTGTAAATTTTTTGGTAGATTTTATCTTATATGTGTAACTTTATCACCAAACTTTATACTACAAAGCAACTTATTTTTATGTTTAGCTCTTTCTAGTCACATTCATGGCAGTTTATATTTAGAATTTTTAGAGCTTCTTGGTGTATATCCAAAGTTGACATATCAAGGATTATTAATTTGTATTATTTTTGTACTTAAGAAAGTCAAGAAAATAAATTGCTCATTTCATTAATTGTAACATATGATCTCTTCAGTACAATTGATATATTTATTAATTGAACTGTGTATGTTGATTGTGTCAATCTCAACAGTCCCTCTTTTTCTAGATGAGTATATAGTTAAGAAAATATATGTGTTAATACATAGAATATATTTCTTAGTTTATGGATTTTAAGTTATGTAGCAAAACTGTGATACTTAAATGGATTTTAAAATTTTATCTTTGTTGATGACTTACTTTTGAAATACTTTTCCCATTTAACAATTTCTAAGCTATTTAATTTTATTTCATATTGCATTACATTTAATAATGTATATTATAGCTTTAGAATTATTTGTTATGTTGTATCGTATATGTACATTTATAGTTGCAATTAAACATGCCTGTTATGAAGTGATGTTTTATCAATCAAATTATTTAAGTATTTACAAATTTTCTATTTTTATTAGTTAAAATGAGACTGTTATACAAATAACAAAATAAAGGTGTCATCACAAAAGACACAAATAACAAAATAAAAGCATCATCATGGAAAAGACACAAATAACAAAATAGAGGTGTCATCATGGAAAAGACACAAATAACAAAATAGAGGTGTCATCATGGAAAAGACTCAAATAACAAAATAAAAGCGTCATCATGGAAAAGACACAAATAACAAAATAGAGGTGTCATCATGGAAAAGACACAAATAACAAAATAAAGGTGTCATCATGGAAAAGACTCAAATAACAAAATAAAAGCTTCATCATGCAAAAGACACAAATATCAAAATAAAGGTGTCATCATGGAAAAGACACAAATAACAACATAAAGGTGTCATAGGCTTCTCTAAAGTGTATGTAAACTCATCATAGGTACCAGTATTAAAATTTTGTACTGCATAAGACTCATCAGTAATGCTCTAATTAAAAAAGTTATAAAGGTCAAATAAAGTACGAAGATGAAGAGCATTGAGGAACCCAAATTCCGAAAGGTTTTGCCAATTACAGCAAAAATGTTATTAAATAATTTCTGACCACATCTACCTTAATTTGATTAGTTGGTTAAAGCATTTATAGTTAGACATTAAATGTACCAAAAAGAAAGATGCAATATAAGATCAATGATTGGCTGATTCAGGAAGCAATTTATATCAATTTCATGTCATAAGTGTGCATATTTTTTTAAAGACTAGTAACTGATATATTTATGATAAATCATAACGCTAGATTGTAAACAAAGGAAACAATATTTCATAACATTAAGACATTTTGTTTATGCATATTTATGTTTTGAAAATTTTGAGCTTCCAGCAGGAAAATTCGGAAATTAATTTTACTTTTTTGTCCTTTCATTAGAGAAACGTATTCTGAGACCACCTTAACTGTTTATAAAACTTTACATTTTTGAAATACTAA